ATGAGACACCAGTCTCAGATACTGCATTTTCCTCCAATTTACTAGAATTGTGAAACTTACTTTAGTTTCACTAAACACAGGCTACTTCTGATGCTAGTTCTGAGGTGGCTGTTCTGAACAAGAGTAAAAAAAAAAAAAAAAGAACTGCACGTTTACAGCAAAGGTTGCAGTGTAATACATTTTATTAATTTGTCCCCAGAGGCCAAGTTTGTGGATGATAACTCTGCAGCGCTTATTCAAAGGGTTGATTCAGTGATGCCAATAGCAGATGAGTTAAAAAGTAAGGGCATGTTACATGGAGAGAAATATGATGAGATCAAAGCAGAAAAAACCAAGCAGGGACAAATGAGAAAGCTTTTTGATTCATTCAAATCTGGAGATGAAGTCAAAATTGCCATTTATAATTTGCTGGAAAAGCATGAACTACACCTCTTCGAAGACCTGGGTAAGAGAACAATCATTTATGAAAGAGATTTATGAGCTCAATATATAGGTACAGTAGGTGTAATCTATGATCTGTTGTGGTTGATTTTTAACAGGTGGTGTCAGAAGGAAACGCAAGCTTGATAATCCTGATTCACCAGTACCATGTAAAAGTGAGTTTACCTTGTTATTGGTAGACATTTTCTTCCTCCTCTTTTATTTTTGAATAAATTATTCAACTGTGCCAGTTGTAATTACTGATACAGTATGTCCTGATACAGCTAGCATGATGAGAAAATATGTGATAATATATACAGTCCCATGTTGACTGTTCTGATATGGGACAAGGTATATCTGCCACAATTGTGAAAATGATTAGGAGTATAAAGTTAAAAAAAAAACTAAACTGATAAATATGCATACTTTAAAAAATATTGTAAAACTATCAGTATAAAATGTGTCTGGATGTAGGCCTAATATCTTATTTAGCACATTAAAAATTAGTGTTACCCATCCTGAGCTATAGTGTTACATGGGGACAACATTTTTATTAGTGGACAGATCTCATGAGGGGGAAAAAATCACATGTAGGATTTGTATAGTATTACAGCAAAAAGTGAATGTTACAGCTGTACTCTTTCTTCTCTATCAACTTTCAATGCTTACACGTGGGAATCAATTACCTTTGGGAACAATATTCAAACATCTGAATTTTTTTGAAAGGCTAGAGAACAAGGCAAACATTATTAGACTCCATTTATGGTTCTGTCTAAAGCTATATATTTGTTGACGTTTTTTTTTTTTACTTGACAGTCACATTGTATAAGCAGTATTCATATTAACATTCATAATACCTTAATATGTACAACATGAATACTTGCTTTTATAGTTATAGTAGTACATTTATTTATCCCCGTAGAGAAAGTAAGTTTGCAGCATACACTGTAAAATCTATTAGACTTACTTAAAAAAAGCATGGAAACCGATTGCCTTAAAAAAAACAAGTTACACAAGAGTTCTAGTAACTAAAAAAGAACTGTAGAGACTGAGAGTACTTGATAATTTACTTTAAATAAAATATAATTGTTACCATTCTTGTGTCTTGCATGCTGAATGTTGAAGTCTGTGTGACTCAAGCATGATCAATTGCAAGATTGTCACAAATATAGATTAGAGGGATTAAATAAATCCAATTAAAAGTTTCACAAGGTGTTAAGGACACAAGTGTTAGCAACACAACGATAAAAGATAATTAATTTACATGAAATATAGTTATGTTATACATCATTCATTCATACATACATATATATATTAGGGCTGTGTAAAGATTAATTGCGATTAATCGCATCCAAAATAAAAGTTTGTGTTTACATAATATATTTGTGTGTGCTGTGTATAATTATTTTGTATATATAAATACACACACATGCATGTATATGTATTTATATATACAAAGTAATTATACACAGCACACACACATATATTATGTAAACACAAACTTTTATTTTGGATGCGATTAATCGCAATTAATCTTTGCACAGCCCTAATATATATATATATATATATATATATATATATATATATATTTATATATTACTTCTCTTCCTTTGAAACCAAATAACTGTATTACAAATAGTGTAAATGAAGTTCCAAGTGCCCAACCAAAGTAATCACTAATCGCCATAATAGTGACTAAAGACATTTTAGGAAAATCAACATCAATTTATGAAGTCATCTTATGTGATGGTCTCTCAATTTTTTTTGTTGTATTGACAATTCAACATTCAAGATGACTTTGGGAAATGAGTGAATGCAAACAGAGAAAAATAAGTGCAGGAAATGAGTGAAAAGTCCATTAGAATTTCCCTGCCTCAAAAACCACACTCAAACCAATCAATTAATCTTAACTTGGGTTTTCTGAGTAAACAAAGCATATGTGAATTGTACAGATTACTACAGATATTTACAATTAAGTTAAGACATTAAGTAGCCTGGGAAAACCCTGACAACTTCCGGCAAATTTAGATTTGCTCTGAAAGTTAGTCTGGCAAAGAGCTCATTCAAGCCCATTTCCAATCCGCCAAAATCGAGGCACCAATCAGAAACGTTGGGGCGGGCTTTACACGATTTCAGCGCTGGGATTTTGAAGCAGATTTTGTAGCCTACATTACAAAGATGGATGCCGCCGTCGAACATCACTCGTTTGAATCCGCTATCGCGTCTGTTTTAAGCGATTTGAACGTTTCCTTTTTGTTAAAAACCGAGCAAAGAACAACACTCGGAGATGTTTCTCCGCCGCTCTGCATACGTCTTCTCCTTCATCGCTCTGATTGGTTTTAGGTCTATCTGCGACGTCTGTTGGTGACGCCCCTCTGGAAATGATTTGTCTATGACGCTTTGCCAGACCATAACTCAGTTACAACTGAGAATAGCCTGTTTAAGGCTATTCTCATGAACAGACATTTAAAAAGACATATATAAACAATAATTTAATGCAAATAAATCTAATTTAAATAACCAGACCAGCTGACCATCAATTAACACTAGAAGAAGAATTTAAAAATGTAATTGCTTGAGGGATAAAAGATACAATGCTGGTCCGAATTATTTGCCCCCATGGTAATTATGATCAAAGATGGCTGTAAAAAAAAAAACTGCATTGTTTATCCTTTTGATATTTTATTTTTTAAAAATACAAAAATGTTTATTGAGGTAAAATAATTGAAAGTGGGGGGAAATCACATTATGAAATAAATATTTTTCTCCAAAACACATTGGGAACAATTATTTGCCACCTTTTATTAAATACTTTTTGCAACCTCCTTTTTCCAAGAGAACAGCTCTGAGTCTTCTCCTATAACGCCTGATGAGTTTGGAGAACACCTGACAAGAGATCAGAGACCATTCCTCCATACAGAATCTCTCCAGATTCCCAGATCCATGTTGGTGCTTCTTCTCTTCAGTTCAGCCCACTCATTTTCTATAGGGTTCAGGTCAGGGACTGGGATGGCCATTGCAGATGCTTGGTTTTGTGCTCAGTGACACATTTTTGAAGATCCAAACATGGCCCATTATAAGATTTCTAGCACAGACTGTCAGGTTTTGATTTTTTTATCTGTTGGTATTAGTACTTGATCGGTTTATGTGCAAGGATGCCATAATCAATAACTGTTCATGTGTCTTTGTTGCAGGACTCAATACTGAGAGTAATGAACAGAATAACCCTAATTTGAACAGTGCTAGTACTTCAGCACCAAGACCAGCACCAATAAACATTGTGACCAACATAGTTAATGGTAAATTGGGATTTTGCATCTTCTGCATGTACTTTATTTTGTTTAGTACATTCATTTTGTTGCCATAATTTATCTTGATGAAAGAAAAAAACATTAATAATCTAATGCCATTTATATGCAATTTTATATACACATTGGCCCTCATTTATCAAAAGTGCGTACACCAAATTTCCAGCGTACACCTGGCGTACACCCAAAACCACGGTGACTTTGAGATTTATCAATATGGACGTTGGTGTACGGCACGCTCAAATCCTACGCCAGCTCAGGAGGTGGTGTACGCACGTTTTGAGTTAGTGCAGAAAAACAATTCCTAACACCACAAAACACACTGACAAACTAAAAGATATGATATATTATGACCAACAACAACAACATAGTAATTATAAACTTCAGTGTTTATTTTTGTGCAACATGGACTTCAATGTTTAATTTGTGTGACTTTACCAAAGCATTTGATTTGAAGCCATATGTATTCCTTCAGTTGCGAGCCTGTGCGCCTTACCCTGACGTTTCATGGTTAGGCCCGGCAAGTGCGCACGGACTGGGTTCGGTAATGAAAGGCTTTCAATGACCAAAAAATAATTCAGACTGACAAAATAATAAAAAATACATTCTTCTTCTTTTAAATAATAATAAAAATAATAATACAAATAAATAATAATAACGACGTTCTTCTTCTAAATAACAACAAGCGTCATTAATAATAAAAATCATAATAATAAGAAGAATATTACAAATTGTCATGCAATTACTAATGTGAATGAATGGTACTCCACATCACATCATCATCATCACTATTGTAGACCCCAATACATGTGACATGATTCGAAATTAAATGCTAATTGTTTCAAAAGACGTGCTGTAAAATAATGCATTGTGATAGGACATTTCGGCTCCACGTCGGAGAAGTTTCTCTTCTGTGCCGTCTTCCGTGTGTACATGGCGTAAAATGAGGGCGTGGGGGAAGCAGAGACTTGAATATATAGGGGCGTGCTATTCTAATGACGATCGTTTTCAGCCGCGGGATTTATCAAGGGCAGGTATTGCGTACACCTGAATTTCAAAGGTACGCACAGCTTCATAAATCAGGCGGTGAGAGGAGTGTAAGCATAATCTAACGCCAACATATACGCCCGTTTCTACGCAAGAATGATAAATGAGGGCCAATGTGTATGTATTTGTGGACATCACTTAAATATATATTTTTTGTGCTTTATGTTGCTGATGATAGAAACAAGACCTTCTAATAACATAAGCATTATTCCAAAATTGAACAAAATGGAATGGAAGACCCAAGCACCCAAAAAAGTGAAGACCCCAGCACCCAAGAAAGTGAAGACCCCACGACCCAAGAAAGTGAAGACCCCAGGACCCAAGAAAGTGAAGACCCCAGGACCCAAGAGAGTGAAGACCCCAGGACCCAAGAAAGTGAAGACCCCAGGACCCAAGAAAGTGAAGACCCCACGACCCAAGAAAGTGAAGACCCCAGGACCCAAGAAAGTGAAGACCCCAGGACCCAAGAGAGTGAAGACCCCAGGACCCAAGAAAGTGAAGACCCCAGGACCCAAGAAAGTGAAGACCCCAGGACCCAAGAGAGTGAAGACCCCAGGACCCAAGAAAGTGAAGACCCCAGGACCCAAGAAAACGAAGAAGAAACCTGCATCCAAAAAAGCTAAGACCTCTGCACCCAAGAAAGCGAAGAAGTACCCAGCAACCAAAAAAGTGAAAAGGGCAGCTGCTCGAAAATGAGGGAATACAAAAAATGATGAATTTTCTTTTTTAAAGTCTTTTGTTTAAAGTCCCCCTGTGTGTGTCTAAGGGTTATTTTTAATATGCTTTTCTGTTGATTTGAAAAATCGGGTACATTTAGCAATAAAGCGGGTGAATTATGTATATGATGTATATTATGATGTTATGATTAAAGGGTTAGTTCACCCAAAAATGAAAACTCTGTCAGTAATTACTCTTTGGAACACAAATTAGGATATTTTTGATGAAATCTGAGAGCTGGATCACTCCTCCATAGGCTTCTCTGTAATTGAAACTTGCCGGCCCAGAAAGTTAGTAAAGACAATGTTTAAAATAGTCCAAGTGACTACAGTGGCTAAACCTTAAGTTTATCAACGACGAAAATACTTTGTGTGTGCAAAAAATTCTCGCGAATTCTCGCCGCTTAATAAACTTATGGTTGAGCCACTGTAGTCACTTGGACTATTTTAACAATGTTTTTACTAACTTTCTGGGCCGGCAAGTTTCCATTACATAGAAGCCTGGGGAATGAGACAGCTCTCAGATTTAATCAAAAATATCTTAATTTGTGTTCCGAAGATGAACGAAAGTCTTACGGGGTTGGAACAACATGAGGGTGAGTAATTACTGACAGAGTTTTCATTTTTGGGTGAACTAACCCTTGAACTATGCTTTTCTCCACTGACATCTGAAGTTTTTCAAAGTGTTTCCTAGCATGCGGATTTTTAGAAGGCAGCTGTCTGACTCTGAGATGGTGTAAGATGCCACGAAACTTCGTGATCAGGCAGGAATTGAGCATTGTTTTGTGATTCTTAAAAAAAAAAAAAATTATGTAAAGCACATTGAATTACCATTGTGTATGAAATGTGCTATATAAATTAACTTGACTTGCCTTGACTAGCCGTTGCTTACACATTACATCTGCACCAACCTCACTAATTTCAGAAGCACACTCAATATTTTGATTCTGGAAACGGGTCTGTTGGCTCTGTAAGTTTTGTTTGTATCCCCAGCTAACAATTTTTTGTTTTCCAAACGTTCACTGTTGGTTACGGAAACGTTAAAAGGTCCAGTTTTCTTGATGTTAGTCTTGATGTTAATTTTTGCAACATCATTGGAACCTTGATTTGTAACATTCCAAGAACATTAAAATGTCCAGTTTCCTTAATGTTAGAACATAATTTGAAGGTTATTATGATTTTCCTAAATCATTTGAAACCCTGTTAAAGGGATAGTTAACTTTGAAATTAATTTTTGGTATGTTTTATCTGTGAAAACTCAAGGGCATCCAAGATGCAGGTGTCTTTGTTTCCGCAGTAGTTTTAATTTTGATATTTTAAGGTCAAACCGTTCTTGTCTGTCAGTCTATGGTCACCACCTCAAAGAGCATGCACAGAGAAGTCCAAATTAAACAATAAACATGATTTAATGACTTGTAAATGTAAGTACACATTGATGGCCTAAGACACGAAACGAGCGGTTTGTGTGAGAAAACAAACAGGAGCCCTTGAGGTAAGCTAAATCATACCAGAAATTAATTTAAAAGTGAACTATCCCTTTAACAAGCAGAATCACTGAAGGAAAGAGAAACAAGAACGGAAATAACTGACTTCCAGCCACAGCCTGAAATCAACTGAAGATAAAAGAAGACATTACAAATCTCTCGAGTTCTCTGCAGACAGAGAATGCTTAACAACTCCACAAAGGTTTTACCAACTTTACTTATTGCTAACCAGTCAGGGGCGATTCTAGGATTTTTTCAACTGGGGGGCACAAGAGGGGCCACAATTATTACAGGGGGGCCATTCTTATGTTGTGTATTTATATAGAACTGTAGATATCCAAATCATTTCAAGTTCAGTAAGCTTTAAAATCAGCAATACACAGTGATACCCTATTATCTTTTAATAGCAGTTATTCACTGGTCTAAATCAAAACAATAAAATACAATTTATATTAACTTTTCACTTTACAAAAGTGAAAGAAAAACTGTAACAAATAAAATAATCCAATGTATTAGTGTACAACTCACAAATAATAATAGAACAGCCTTGTTTATATAAATGCATAATTATATTAATCATTCATATAATAAATACACAATTAATGAATTCATATAGGCTAACTGTAATAAAATTGTATATAATAAATCTTTTTTAAATCCTTGATTATGCGGCGATGGAATATGCAGGATATTTATGCAATTTTTTGTGATAAAATTGCGGGAACTTGCAAAAACTGCGGTTTGATGAAAAAGAGAGAAAAAGTGATTCCCCAACACCCTGTTCTCACTGGGCTACTATCTTAATGTAAAGAGCTATTTCTTATTACTTCCTATGATAAGCAAACATACTACATCACAGAAAGTGCTGGAATATTTCATTTTGTTTTATTTCAGACCTTAATAAACACATGGCTCAAACTTACAAAACATTGATGAGTCAAACAAGTTCTGTAGCTTTACAAAAGGAAAATGCTACAACTTCTGTAAAAATGAATAAATAAAATATGAAAAAATGTATATGAATTTATGAATTTCAATGATGTTCATGTCGCGTAATTACGTCACTTCATAACGTTCCCATGGCAACAGGGGGAAATGGCTGCTCTTGTGTGAAGTAAACGCAACATTTTTCTGCTAAGATATGTGACTTTCTTTTTTGCAACAAAAATGCGGGGATTATGAAATCATACAAGCCCCGCATATTTTGCGTGGAAATCGGCAATTTATACGGCAAAAGTGCGGCGTGTTTGAAAAAATGCCCCCGCATAAATATGCAGCCTTAGCTGATTATGCATTGAATCATGCGATCGCATAATCGCGTTTTTCTGGAGGGACTGAAAGGTGATGTTCATAATAATAAATTCTAGATGGAATAGCAATTGGCATTTTACAGCACCCTAGTGCCAATTTTGGGAACCTGCCATGATAGCTTACAGCAACCTATTTTTGTGAAATCATGCTCGAAATAAAAAAAAATATTGCAGGACTTGGGACTTTCAGACAACTGTGGACATCTATACTTTATTTTTATGAAATAAAGATATTTTATGATATTTACAATATTTCAGTTAAACTACACTTGAACAATAACTTTTATCTTAACGTTACTTCTTAACAGTTGGACAAAAAAAGTGTTCAATGAGTAGTAGATTACATCTAGCCTACAGTAATTTTATACAATAGACATTTTATAAAATATATCAATAAAACCTAAATAAAAGGATTCGGTATTGGACATCAATTTAACATTGACATTAGATGTTGAATTTACATTGAATTTTGGTCACCCGACGTCGCAACTAAAATTTAACCAAATATCAACGTCTTATGACATTGTGTGCCTGCTGGGAATAATCTGTTATGTCTCATTTAACAGACGCTTTTATCCAAAGCAACAAGTAGGAGAGCATTTAACACTCACTCGGCACAATCCGGCGCGATCAGGTCCATTCGGGTTCTGTTGTCTTACACGTCTTACTGCGTTACAGTAGGTTAAATCACAACAAGGAAACTTTACGTGTGATTCATGTCATCGCGACATACTGTAACACATTATACTTACAGTGTGTGTCAAAAAAATGATGTAATCGTCCTCTGCTTTTTTCTGGGGTGCATGCATGGAATACATTAGACGGCCAAACTGCAACTAAACGAAGACGAAAATTCGCAAGAGCAACAAGAGATTTGAAGCACATGGCAGACGCGCCCAATAGATGCTTCGCGCTGTGATTGGCTGAATGTTAGTTCACTCAAGTCTAAGTAACAAATCAGAGAACACGGGCGCGTGTAAAAAAATATTGGCGCTGGGTAAAAAAAAAAAAGGAAAAAGAAATCGCTATTCGCTATTCTCGCGACGCGGAATCATGAATTATTCTACTACAAACTGAAAGATTATGATTTGAATTTTTGAGTGACAGACAAGTAGAAGGGTGGGGGCACACTGGGGGGCCAATCAGTTTTCAGGAGGGGCCAGTGCCCCCATGGCCCCTCCCCTGTCTACGCCACTGTAACCAGTTGACTTTATTTCTTTCAAACATGTACGAAAGTTCTTACTGATAAATGTTTTTCATTTGAAGTCACCATGGGATAGTTCACCCAAAAATCTTTCAGTATACTGACTAAGATAATTAATTACTCACCCTCATGTTGTTCCAACCCTGTAAGACTTTCGTTCATCTCCGGAACATAAATTAAAATATTTTTGATTAAATCTGAGAGCTGGATCACTCCTCCATACATAGGCTTGTAAGGGATTGAAACTTGACGGCTGACCCCGTTGCTATGTATGACACAATCTTTTGATTGACTAAAAGGTAAAATAGGCAGCTGAATAAGACGTGGTTAACAGTGTATTTAGTCCATTTTATGTGTTTACGATTTGTCCCGGAACTGTCTCTGTTTGTGTTACCGCTACAATGGTTTTGTCGGCGCACTGTTTTGAGTTCCAGCGGAGCAGATGGCTACGAGACTGTTAAACTGCATTAAAAGTTGCACATGTCGATGTCTGAAGTCAATGCAGACAGTTAAAGGGACTTTAAAGGATTTAATAACCTCTTTTCACAACAAGCGGCCAATGAGGTATTTACCACATCGTCTTTATTAAACTGTTGTTTGTATTTTCATTCGCAAAGCTATACTGTATAATGCATTTGTATTGTGTATTGTGTTCATGTAGTTCTCACGGCGTGAACAAACCGTGGATGTATCAGAGACCAGACGTGCCCACAGCAATAAACGCCCGTTTCAAAGAACGACCTGTGTCTGTGTTGTTGCGAAGAGAGCTAGATGGTGATTTCTTTCATTTCTGGTGCTATGGCATTTCTGCGCTGTCAGAGATGTTAGCGTGTCTCTAATAAGATCAGTCACAAACATGATCCCTGCACGATCTAATCTATAGCGTCTTATTAACTCACTGTCATCCATTGTCTGCAACCCATTTCTTCTCCCTCTTCATCTTTCTGCCCTTTTCTCCTCTGCTAAAGAAACTCTTAAGACTCTTAATAGTCCTCGTCCGTAGGCTACTAACAATTTTGACCTTACGATCTCTTTTAAGGGTTAAGATGCTTTCTGAATGACTTTTTTCTTTACTAGGATTTTGTATTTAATTTTAAGAGTAAACGCCCTCATTTCTAAGAATTTTCTTAGAATTTTGTCACTAGGAGCAACTCTTTGCATTAAGATTTTTTATGAATGGGCCCAGAAGTTGATGTACATTGTAAGAATGTTTATGTGAAGGGTTGGATACAATGTACGTCACACACACACACATATTCAAAATCATCAATTGTCAATAGAGAAAGAATGGAGTTACGGCATCTGGGGCGGCAGTGGCTCAGTGGTTCATGTAGGTTGTCTACAAACCGGAACCGTTGGTGGTTCAATCCCTGGTTCCACCTGACCAAGTGTCGAGGTGTCTATGAGCAAGACACCTAACCCCAGCTGCTCCCGACAAGCTGGATGGCGCCTTGCATGGCTGACACCGCCGTCGGTGTATGAATGAGTGTATGAATGGGTGAATGTGAGGCAAAAATGTAAAGCGCTTTGGTGGCCATTGGGTCTGTGAAAGCGCTATATAAATGCAGTCCATTTACCATCTACCAGAGACAATCTTCTAAAATTAACATGTCAAACCTTCAGTCCTTGGACACACCTATTTTGCCCAGGTCTTAAGAAAACCATTTCTGGAAACACCCAGTGACTGAACACGTTTTGCAGGGAGTGTCTTACTGAAACTTTTAGCTAAAGCGTGTTAGCTGGAATGGTTGATTGTTGAGCTGTTTAGGCTGTTTTTGTTCTGTTGTGTGTATTTGTGTTTGCAGGAAAATGGCAGAAGCCAGTTTTTCATGGGTTGAGGAGGATCAGGTCATCTGTCCAATCTGTCTGGATCTACTGAAGGAACCAGTGACCATTCCTTGTGGACACAGTTACTGTATGAGCTGTATTACAGACTATTGGAATAAAGAAGATCAGAAGAGATTCCACAGCTGCCCTCAGTGTAGACAGACCTTCACTCCAAGACGTTTAGGTAAAAACACCAAGCTGGCTAAAGTGCTGGAGAAACTCAAGACGACAAAACTACAAGCTACTCGTACTGTTTGGTGTGAGTGTGACGTCTGTACTTTGGATAAAAACAAAGCCATCAAGTCTTGTCTGGAGTGTCGGATATCTTTTTGCCAAAATCACCTCAAAGAACATGACAGTTTCTTTCAAGATGAGAGACACTTTATGACAGATGTCACAGGACGACTGCAGGAGATGATCTGTTCTCAACATAATAAACTGCTGGAATATTTCTGTTGGACTGACCAGCAGTATATCTGTTACCTGTGTATAATAGGCAAGCACAAAAACCATGACATTAGATCAGCTGAAGCAGAGAGGAGTGTGCAACTGGTATGATATGACCTGAACACCTGAACATGATGTTTGTCATTATTTTTGATAACTTTTATTATATTAAAACTATGATCTTCTATCATATTTCTAGAAAGTAAAGACCAACTGTAGTCTATGGCTGAATTTTTTTGCTCACTGTCCATAAATTTGGGCGATTTTGTCATAGCTGATTAAAACCTACATTGTTCCACACAGAGACAATTCCATGGCAGAATCCAGGAGAAAAGGATGGGGGTGCTGCGTTTAAGAGGAGCTTGTTCTTCTGACCTGGTGAGTTTTGAAAAGAGCTGAAAGATGAGTTCCAGAACTACTCCAGTCAGTCAGAGGTACTGGAAAGATCTAAGTGAAAGGACTCATTATAAATGTTAATTTATGTTTTATATATGATATTCCAAAATAATTATATGTATTAATGTATCTCTGAAGCAGATTGTTATTGTGAATTATTGTCTTCATGTAGAGTTTCCAGCCTCTCTTTTACCCTTTTGGACCGGACTCACCAAGCATCACTGTCAGTTATCCCCTCTCTTTTGATGCACAAAAATCTGCCTCTCAGCTGAAAGAGAAACAAGATAGATGGCAAAAAGAGAAGATTTATGGAAAGGGTAAAGTTGTTAATTGTTTATTTACATATAGAAAGAAGTTTCGAATTGTACAATACTATGTTAAAACACACAATAAGGCTTCACAGTTCACAAATAACTACATAAATAACTAGTCATGAAAGTGTCAGTTAAAGCGTTTATTTTTTATTTTTGTTGCATCAGATTTTTCTATTTACAAAGTATGTTTAGGATTGTTGCTTGAAAAGGGAGTGTGCAACATATGCACTCAACAACTTCCTTTTACTTATTACGCCTCACGGGTAACAGCTTTTAGCACACCTATTTTCCCTGTTGTATTTTTTTATGTAGATTGGAGCAGCATGAATCTTCAAAACAGGACAACAGTCATTGACAGATACAAGTTTGTGACAGAATATAACCCTCTATCTGATGAACGTGTGGAACTGGCCACCCGTTACACTGAACCAGTGATCATTCAGAGGAGCAAAGAGCAGAATGAGAAATACTATTGTGAACGTGGGAGGTCTCCTCACGCTTCTGGAATAAAAACATCATCTCAAATGTTATCAAATGACAAGAATCACAGCATCAGAATAGACCAGTTGTTCAGTCCCGACAGTGACGGAAACACACCGAAAACTGTGATTCTCAGTGGTGATTCTGGAAGAGGTAAATCCTTCATGTTACAGAAGATCATGTTGGACTGGGCATCTGGAGAACTTTACTCTGAAAACTTTGATGTGGTTTTTCTGTTGAAGAGTGACGAGCTGAAGTGTATTTCTGAGGAGATGAGCTTGAATGAGCTCTTAAGCTGGAGTTGCAGTTTAACATCAGATCATATCTCACAGATACTAGACTTAACACCAGAGAAAGTCCTCTTCCTCATTGATGGAATGGATGAGTATGTATCTTGTTCATTCATTCATTTCATACCACACACTTATCCATCTAAGAGAGCGCCACCTATGGGTGTTCTTAGGAACCTGTTGAGGGGAGTCTTGCTGCCTGAATCATTCATGCTGGTAACTATGAGATCTATAGCTGACGATGCAGTGATGAATCTCCTCAAAGGACCTCAGCGTTTCACTGAGATTGTGGGCTTCTCTGAGAGAGGGGTGCAGGAGTACTTCCACAAGTTCTTTCAGGATGAGCAACTCTTCAGGAAAACACATGAGAGTTTGAAAGCAAATGAAACCCTCTTGACTACTTGCTCTGTGCCTTTGCTGTGTTGGATGGTCTGTTTTTGTCTAAAGAAATACTCAACCGATAGTGAGGTTATATTAAAAAAACTAAAGACAACCACCTCCATATATGTGCACTTTGTATCCACTGTACTGAAGCAACATGGCCAGAGTCAGTCTGTCCTCACCATGCTGAGGAGTCTGGGTCAGCTGGCAAAGAGAGGAATACAAAATCAGCAAGTCTTTTTTGATGAAAAGAGTGTGGCCGAGACTGGCTTAGATGCCGCCAAGTGTTTGTTCTTGAATGAAGATGATCTTAATGGAAAACAGAAACGGGAACCAGTGTTCAAGTTCATGCACTTCAGCCTTCAATGGTTCTTTGCTGCTCTTTATTGCATCTTGCTTGGTGAAGAAGAGTCTTGGTTGAAAGTCTGTGATCTGTTGAACTTGATGTGCTCAACTATAGTTGAATGGCTATCTCTAGAAAGAAGATCAAATCCCATCCCATCAGTTCTGCTGTTCTTCTATGGTCTCTTAAATGAGGAGGTGATCAGCTCACTCTTTAAAAAAAACAAATTAACTGTTTCTCACATCATAAAACTGAGGAAAAGAAAACTGAAGAAAACACTGAAGCAAAGGATTCTTACAATGACAACATGGCATGGATGTGAGCTATATGTTTTCCACTGTCTGTATGAGCTCCAGGATGAGGAGTTTGCCAGGAAAGTGTTGAAAACTCACAGCTTCATGGACTTGTCTTGTATTTCCCTGAGGAGCACAGACTGTTGGGTGCTGCTGTACTGTCTTCAGATCTGTCCACACATCAGAGAACTGAACCTCATGTACTGTGATTTAACAGCCGATAAACTCAAGATTCTTCAGCCAGCACTCTGTATGTGTGAGACTCTGAGGTCAGTGTGATGCATGGAGAAAGGCTTGAAACGTAATTAATGATTGATTGAAACTCTTCTAAAAATACAAATAATTAATATTTTTTACTTAAATAACTTTTACTTGCAAGTGTTTCTGTGGTATAAGGGTCAGTGACATAACAACAACAATAATAAAACAGGAAATATCACGGTTTTTACTTTTTAATTGATTTTTTTTATACATTAAATCAGAAAATTTGCTGAAATGTTCTAACTCATATGAAATCAACAAACAATGAGATCTCTAAAACAGAGATATTTTAAAATACATTTTTAAGAGATTTCTCCTTTATCTTGGACATGCTTATTTGGCATTGACCCAAATATCATATTTATGTCATGGCTTAAATGTTTTATTCAGAAAAACATTTAATTTCTAAATGATTTGTTTTTGACTCAAGTTTGTCAGTGAAAACCCTTCCAGAAGCTGGAGATTTGATCCAGATTCTTGGTGGATCAAAAATCTTGAAAAAGCTGAAGTAATTTTAACAAAAATACCTACTTCCAATACAGCCATATGAAATGTTTAAACAACTAATAAAAATAATAAAAAAAATGAATTTAAATAATTGTTTGAAAAGTTATCTTCTCCTATGACTAGAGTTCAAGAGGATAAATACAGCGCTGAGAGTTCAAGATGGATGCTTGATCCGTCAGTCACTCCTGGAGAAATCTTGTGAGAATTTTTTTTTTTCTAATGCCTCATTTTTTTAAAGCAGATTAAAACCACAAAACAAATGATAAATTACTTAATGAGTACAGAACTTTTATTGCTGAAAATATCTGAAAAATATTGATCTGTTATTTCATTAAGTGGGTATTGAGCTAATTAAGTCTTTTTAAAATTTAGTTTATAAAACAAATCTGACATTCAGTCTCATTTTATCATACAATCTCTGTTCTCTAGGCTGAACGTCTCTGAACCGTCTGCACTGGATCTTCACCCGCTCCCAGTGTGTCAGTCTTGTGTTCACATTGTCGACTGTGATCAGTGGGTTCAGGTGGAGCCGTCAGTCTGTACAGATGAAGGAGGGTCAAAGTTCAGCATCAGCACTCAGGCGGGTCGATTCGAGTGCAGCAGGACCAGAATGCGATGGGTCTGTGTTGGTGACGTCACTCTCCAGTATCGTGCAGTGGATGGACGTTTCCTCAGTGCAGAGCTGGAGAGGCTTCAGTGTGAGCGAATTGGTCCAGTGATCGATGTGACTGTGATCTCAGGGAAACTGGAGGAGGCCCATCTGCCTCATTACGCCTGTTTAGCAGAGTCTGACCCCTCTCTCAAAGATGCTGTGAAGCTCCTCAGCAAAAGAGATGAAGGAATATCTTTACAACCTGTAGAGTTGACCCGTCATCATGCCAAAATACTCCAACCATCTTTCTCTTTTACAACTCTAATTATAAACTGGTTCATGCAGTGGGAAGAACACTGTAACCTTCTTCTCTACATGCGCTGTAAAGTTCCTCTCATTCTTCACGTTTACTTTTTTCCAGTGAATGACACTTGTTCAAAAGAGAAAGTTGAGCAGAATGAAAAATCAAGTCATCCGATCAGCCATCCCAGACCTAACAGGCCATTTCAGATGAAAACGCCACACCTTCTTGAGGTCCCTGGCTCTTCTGTTCATCCTGTTGAGGGGATTTCATTTCGAACAGATATTGATCCAAACTTCTTTGAGATCATGCAACATCAGGATGGTGATGTACAGATGAATCTAGTCAGAGAAAAGGACAAGAAATCTGTGTGGACTGCCACAATATGGAAAGCCAAACTTGCTCAGTTAAATCAAAGGCAAGTCCAAGATGAGCCGCAACTGAATTCTGTGATTGATAAAGCTAATTTTTTTGATAAACACAGATCGGCTCTCATTCAAAGGGTTAAAAACGTGAAGAGCATTGCAGATAAACTGCGTGAGCAGAGAATAATTCATGAGGAACTATATTCTGAAATCACACACTGTAATTTAACCAGTCAGGATAGCATGAGAAAGATCTGTGACACAGTGCATTCAAGTGGTATGATTGCAAAAGTTAAATTCGTTGTGATTCTTCAGGAAGAAGAGCCTTACCTCTCTGAAGAACTGCTGCGCTCTGATTCTTAATGATCTCTATATATTATAGTTTAGTCAAGTTTGGCACCTGCATAAATGGACAGCCGGGATATACTAAATTATAAAATCATGTAACTGTTTAATGGTAGAGTGTAAGATAAATTGATTTTTGCACTGAACTGAAATATTAATTGAAAAATACATGACCAAATAAACTGCAGATGACTCATTTAATAATAGTATATTTGCAAAGACAACACTCAAGATGGTCCACTTAACTATAAAAACTCATAAAGCATCTAGAGTCTAGACTGCTGAAATATATTTTGTTGTCTGATAAGTTTATTGAATAAGTTCAATGAATATTTTTGTACTTTAAAGGTTTTATTTTTATACTATCTTGTTCTAAATTAATTTTGCTGTATCAAAATGCCAATAACCAATAATAAGTTCTTTTGTAAACTGAATTTTTGTAAACTGACATTGCAAATAAATACATAAATAATAATAGCATTATTACTATAGTAGCGTATAGGCTGTTATAAAATAGTAGTAATAATAATAATAACAAAGCTTTTTTTATTTATACGTCTCAAATTATGGCTATCAATGGTTATCAGCTGCAATGAACAGTAAATGGATAGACATTAAAACAGCACATAATCAGCTATTTAGCTGAACCTCTTGAGGCTGACTGTAAATTTACAGACAGTGTGTTGAAAAAATAAATTTGCACCATGTTTATGGAAATTTCTAATACTCTAGATTTTCATCGTGATATTTAATCTGTGATAAAACACACAGCCCTAAATGAACATGGCTGTTCTGTCCTTTACTAACCCTTACAAAAATTAAGTATCAAGTTAATTTTATTTAGTATACTTTATTCTAAAGTTCAAGTATATTTTTTAAGTATAATATACTTAGTATACTAATATCAATGTATTAGTAGTATAGGCTACTTGGTATGAAATTAGCCCACTTTTTAGTATATCAAAATTTACTTTTAAGTATACTTTAAGTGTAAAAGTAGTAAATACAACTAGATGACAATTACATTTTCATTTTTACTATAGATATATAACTATGTAAAAAGTACACTTTTAGTGGTTTTATACTACAAAGTTGTAAGATTTATTTATGTGAATTTAACATCATACATACCATTTATATATTATTTTTGCACTAAGTATACTATATGTTACTATTTAGGTTTGTATTAATTTTTATACTTCAAAAAAGTCAAAGTATCTTTATTTGTCTCCCCGAGGAGAAATTAGTTTTGGATATAAAGAGATTGCTACAAACAGATTACAACAAGACAAACAGAGGTACAGGGTTAAAACAGTCAAAAGGCAAAAAGTACATAAAACATTAAGGCTACACTAAGAGCTGTGCAAATAGCAAATCACCATTTTCTACAATCTGCTTGTGCAAAAGTGATATCATATCATGTCCATATATAATATTCAATCACAGATATACGGTATATACAGAGTTAAAAACAGTTAAAAGACAAAAAGTACATAAAACATTAAGGCTACTCAAAGAGCTGTGCAAATTGCAATTCACCATTTTCTAAAAGTCTGTTTGTACAAAAGTAGTATCACATCATGTCCCTACATAACATTCAATTACAGATACAGTACATTAATAAATTCATGGTCACACGTTCATCGCTGATCATTTATGAGCTTAACTGAAAGACGAACAAATGTGAGAAAAATATATATCTTTTAACTCTTTCCTGGAAAAATGCTGGAAAATTCAAATAATTCTGTCAATGGCTGGGAAAGGGATAAGTAGATTTGAAGTAAATTGTACCAGTGGATACAAAAAAATTCACATACTCAGAATTAGGAAAATGTTTTCTTTATAAATCACTATTTTCAAACAATGTGAATTTATAAGACAATATGTAAAACTGTGAAAAAATATTTAATAGGCTACTCAAAACATTTAACACAACTACAAGCCAACTTTGAATACTTAATTATACTTTTAAGTATATCTCAAAACATTTTGTCAATAGCCAAGTCAAGTATACTTGCGTGCAATTTTACTATATTTCTGAGAATTACATGAAGCAGGGGAGTGCAGGGCACGTACAACCTACCACTTTTTGACTTTCTCAGTTTGTGTAAATTCACTTGGGGTTCAGAGTATTTATTTTTTCCCACATTAATTTCCCACATGTCTAGCCTACAATCCAGACTCTTGTGAAGCCTTCAAATGCCCATGATAGGCCTACCTGTGAAGAGAAGACTTCAGATGAAGCAATCTTTGAATCAACATGCATTTTCTATATATCCTAATCATTTTATTAACAACATGTATTCATTACTTAAATGAGCTCATTGTTTCTGCCTTAAATTAAGACATTGTTTAAGGTGAGACGCTACAAGCAAAAACAGTTTTTTTCATGCACCTGTCAATTTTTGAGATTTTGCACTTTTTGGCTTTTCATAAATTGTTTTTTCATAACTGGTACCGGTAACAGCACATTCAGTGTGATCTGTGGTCTTTTTATTTTTTATCCTCACTTACTGTTGTAGCTTTACAGCAAATATCTTCCTGATTAAAATACAGTATAAATGTATTTCTCAAGTATGAACTGCACCCATGCACATTCTGTTTTAAGGGAAGTTACTGTAAGTCATGATGTTTAGAAAATAGTGACAGTAATTTTTGTTCATTTTAAATGCCCCATAGTCGCCAGATTTTGTCCTGGGAGAAATGTTACTTCTTGTGGTCCTTGTCGAGGTGGGTGATCCTGCTTTTGTACTTGGGTCTTGTACAGTATATTCACATTTAGAAACTCTGGTGGGAACAGACCATTGAACACTCCTTTTTTGCACACTTCTCTCAAAAACAGAACCAGGAAGCTATTTCAATTTCTCAGCAGAGAGAGAAACCGAAACCTGTGTTTTGTACTGTATGTGTATCTCTGTTTTTGAGGCAGGTATGTCTTGAGATCCAGTCTGATACAATAGCTGGTAATATCCAGTAACCACTTCCAGAGGACACACTTTTTATGTGGAGTGTCTTACTAGGAGCTTCACTTTATGTAAAAATGCTGTTGGATGGATTGGTCGACTGTTACACTGAATTTTGGCTGGAGATTTGTATGATTTAGGCTGTTCTACTGTGTGTATTTGTGTTTGCAGGAAAATGGCACAAGCCAGTATTTCTGTGGCTGAGGATCAGGTCATCTGTCCAATCTGTCTGGATCTACTGAAGGAACCAGTGACCATTCCCTGTGGACACAGTTACTGCATGAGCTGTATTACAGACTACTGGAATAAAGAAGATCAGAAGAGAATCTACAGCTGCCCTCAGTGCAGACAGACCTTCACTCCAAGACCTGTTTTAGGGAAAAACACCATGGCTAAAGTGCTGGAGAGACGTGAAAAGACAAAAGTTGATCGTCCTGTCAGCAAAAGTAGTTCGTACGCTGCCTCTAAATATGTGGAGTGTAACGTCTGTACTGAGGACAAGTCCGATCTCGTGTGTCTGAACCCTTACTGTCAAAATTACCGAGATGCATTATCTGATCAACTGGCTGAGAAGTTTAGAAAAACGGGTTTTTGTTGCCAGGTGAGTTTTGAAAAGAGCTGAAAGAACATTTGCAGGCTACTCCAGTCAGTCAGTGAGGAATCCAGTGCTGGGCCACTTTAGTTGCTTTGAACCCCACTTGTAACAGGTTGTCTACTGGAAAGATCTGATTGAAATGACTAATTAAAAGATTAAATGGAAGACAATGCCAGGCCTCGTTCTGCACGTGCTACATCACGTGTGGTTTCTTAGACACTCTACACACTAGAGTCGATGTGTGTGGGTGCAATTTTAATCTTACATTGATCAGTAGTAAATTTTACTAGGTGAATCTGAGCCATGTGGCTCCTGATGATCCTATAACATGAACTAAAATGTCTGTGTACGTCCTTGGGGTGATGCTCAGGAGCAGATGGGAGGAGACCTTTTGACCTTATGGACTGGTCAGTGTTGACCAGTGCATTTCTGTATTAAGTTAAGGCCTGAGAGGGACTGAGGCGCCCTGAGAGGCGCCTGAAAGTTGCAGTCATGCCCTTAAAAGACATAACAGCCCATATCAAAGTGTAAACTTAGAAGGAAAGGTCCTTGAAAATGCTATAAGAACCCCCCTTCTGCTCATGCATGTGTGTCACTCCTTGCACAGATTGAACTCCTGTGTGTTTGGGACTGAACCTATTCTTGCAAGAATAAAATACTTCTTTTTATTGAATTTGACTCTGACTGTCTCTTACGCAGTGATGATGTTTAACAGAAGTTTTGCCACAACATGTGCTTGACTGGCCAGATTTGTCTCTTATTGAAAATATGCCAACATTTATTTCAGAAAAATGTGTATTCTAAGCAATTGTCTTCGTGATTTTTTTTCTTCTTCATGTAGAGTTCACCAAACATCAATATCCATCATCCCTTTTCTTTCTTAAAAAAATCTGTCTCTCAGCTGAAAGACAAAAGGCATACAGAGGAGATATATGGGAGAGGTAAAGTTGTTTATTTACTTTCAGATTTTTTTTCACTGTGTTTATTAGGTTTAATGCAGTCTCTAGAGTCCCTATTTTAGGGTCACCAGTTGCTGATTTTGAAATAGTCACCAAATTGGTGCAAATCTAACAAAAACAAGATGTTTCCTACAAACGATGAAAAGCATAAGGTGATATATTTTGCATCTTTTTATTTATTTGGGTTTTCTCCATGCTTATAAAGGAGAGGCACATTCAGTAAAGATACTGACCAGTGCACAGAACAGGACTGGAGACACAGCTGCAAGTAGAATATCTAGAGTCTTTTCAAATGTTTTGAAAGACCCGAAAAAGTGAGATCAATTTTATTTTCTAAAAGAAATGTTGTGTTGGTAACACTTTACAATACGGGTGCACTAATATGCATTAATTCATGTTTAACTAATGCATAGATAATCATGAGTTAATGTATGATTCATGAAGAACTAAACCATTAATTAATGATTACTGCATCATCAACTAATAAAGAGTCTATATGATTAAGTAATACATGAACTGCTATTAATTCAATGTGTCATTGTGTATTAATTCCTTAATAACATATTTTATTAACTAATAGTGTAAATTAATGTGTTAATTACCACAATTAGTCAAAGCTATGCACTTCAACTTCCAGTTGTCTGCTTTAATTAATCATTAGCTAATGATTTGCAAAGGTATCATTATGTTATGACTTTACTTGTTGAGGCACATCGTTATTAACTAGTCATTTAGTAATTGTAGTAATTTACACATGAATTTGCACTAACAATGAAGTAATTAATCATGTATTAATGCATATTAGTGTACCTGTATTATCTGGAAGTTGAAATACAAGGCTTTGGCTCATTCTGGTAATTAACATATTAATTAACACTATTAGTTAAAAAAATGAGTTATTAGGGAATTAATTCACAATTACATATATAATTAATAACAATTCATGTATGAACTAATACATTAACCATACAGACTCTTAATTAGTTCCTAATGTGGTAATCATTAATGAATAGCTTAGATAATCATTAGTTACACATTAATTCAGTATTATCTGTGCATTAGTTAAGCATGAATTAATGCTTATTAGTGCACCCGTATTGTAAAGTGCTACCGTTGTGTTTATCTTTCATACATAGGTAATTTAATGTATCGTTATCATCTCTGTTCTCTAGGCTGAACGTCTCTGCGCCTGAACCTTCTGAAATGAATCTTCACTGTCAGTCTTGTGTTCACATTGTCGACTGTGATCAGTGGGTTCAGGTGGAGCCGTCAGTCTGTACAGATGAAGGAGGGTCAAAGTTCAGCATCAGCACTCAGGCGGGTCGATTCGAGTGCAGCAGGACCAGAATGCGATGGGTCTGTGTTGGTGACGTCACTCTCCAGTATCGTGCAGTGGATGGACGTTTCCTCAGTGCAGAGCTGGAGAGGCTTCAGTGTGAGCGAATTGGTCCAGTGATCGATGTGACCGTGATCTCAGGGAAACTGGAGGAGGCCCATCTGCCTCATTACGCCTGTTTAGCAGAGTCTGACCCCTCTCTCAAAGATGCTGTGAAGCTCCTCAGTGTTGAAAATGAGGGAATAACCTTGGAATCTGTGGAGTTGACTCGTTTTCATGCCAGAATACTTCAACCATATTTTTCTCCTAAAACAGTACTTATGAAACTAGGGATATCAGTGAAAATGCACTGTGATCTACTTATCTTCATTACAAAAAAGAACCCCATCATTCTCCATGTGTATTTTTTCCCATCATATTCTGTTGTCGCAAAAAAAATTAAAACAGAGGAAAAGCCAAATCATCAAATCAAGTGTTCAAGACCTGAAACCCCACTGCAGATGATGAAAAAACACAGTCTTGAGGTTCCTGGTGCTTCTGTCCAACCGAAAGAGATCAAGCTAAGAGGTGACATCGAGCCAAACTTCTTTCAGGTCAAACAAACTGTGGAAGATGACATCAAAATGACTCTCAGCCGTGTGGATGATCAGAAACCAGTATGGACTGCAACAATTTGGAAAGAATTAACCAACATCAATCCAAACAAAGCTGAGTCTATTTGCTTTCAAAATATACAACAACACAATACACCACAAGTGGCTCTCAACTTTGATAAAGCTCAATTTTTTGATAGAAATTGGAGTGGTCTTATCAAAAGCGTTAAGAATGTGAACACCATTGCAGACAACCTTCTTCAGAGGCAAATCATTCATGAGGCAATATATTCTGAAATCACACTCCCGACTTCAACCGAAGAAAGAAGCATGAGAAAGATCTGCAGCATTGTGCGTAAAGGCAGTGTTGCTGTGAAGGAAAGTTTCATCTCAGTTCTTCTGGAAGAAAATCCCAACCTTTTAAATCATCTGCCTTTATCGGACTCTTAAACTTTTTCTAGATGACTGTACATGTAGTATTTTACATGATTTGTGAAATGACATGAAAACTACAGGTGATGAACTGGAGAAATTACTGCTCTACAGAGTATTTGACTATTTTAGTCAAAACACGTTCATTGTTGGAATTAAAGAAAAGGCAAATGGTCTGCTTGCCTGTAAAAATGAGATAAAAATCAAATTACTAAAACTGCAATATATTTTCTTGTCTGATAAGAACATTGAATAAGGTGAATGAATGCAAATATTTCTGTACAGGTTTTATTTCTATATAGTTGTGTAGTAAATTAATCTTACTGAATCATACTTTACATTTTAGGTACATTTTTAGTTTAACCACTTCTTTAATAAACTAAATGTAACTAAAAAATAATACAGTAATATTTGTGTCATAATTACACATCTCATACTAACTGGAAGGTAACTACTAGTAGAAACAATGTTAATTCAATAAATACAAACAAACCTGCAGTCTTGTATCAAAAGATACATTTGTGTGATTCACTATGGTGATCATAATCAAAGCAATACATCCTAAACTGAAACAAATGAAACTGTACAAAGAGCTTAAATACAGTAAAAAAAATTAAAATGTGTTATTTACAACAAAAGTACTTGTTATCGCCATCCATAATCATTTAGCAGATAGGACACAGTTCAGACAGATGGCATTTTACCTGACCATCATTGTGTATTACCAGCGAGAGGTTTGTAGCACTCGTGCATGAAAATGAGCTCATTTCTGCAAATGAAGTTCAGAAGAGGGATTGCATGTTTGATCAGCGGCAGGAGGGCAGCGTGACTCTCTGCTCGTCCATCCTCTTGGCCTGTGAGCGCATGATGAGGCTGAAGAAGTCTTCATCTGGGACGGTGGGGCCACGGGCGGAGGGCAGAGGAGGGGCACACCGCTGATCATCCAGACGGGACCCCTGAGAGAGACAGAATGAGATGAATGGATTAACTGAACCAATGGACTTCAGCCATTTTTCCCCATTTATTTTCCCCATTTTTATTTTCCGGGTTCGCCCATCTCTGGTTAATACAAACACATCGTCTCACCTGACACTTGACGAGCATGTCAAAGAACTGGTCGTCGGGTTCGGTGGCGTCTGTGCTGGCCATGACCTGGCTGAGGATCATCCGTCTGCTGCTAGTGCTGCTGTGTTCGGATAGGGTGTGCAGGCCGGGCAAACTGTTTCCTGTTCCTGCCCTCTGCTCGTCCAGCCTCCTGCCCTGAGCACTCGCCAGCAGTCGGAGAAACGGCTCCTGACCTGGAGTTGCAGCCGACTCTGAGAATGCTAGAGAGAGACAGAGAAAATGACATTTTTATTGCCACTTGATTGTCAAATTAAAGAAAATAATGTGAAAAGAGAGCGCCTAACATTTCCTGATGGTTGTGGGAGGGGTGGTGGGTGGGGAGGAGGAGCTAGAATTGACAGACAGATGGTTCCTCCCGTCCTGTACGGCACACCGCTGGTCATCCATCCTGTTGCTCTGGAAACGACTCAGTAAGTCAAAGAAACCCTCGTCTCCTAACATGTCTGTACTTCCATGCTGTGGGCAGAAAGGTCAAAGGTTAAAGGAAAAAACAACAACAACCTCTCAGTCCTCTATGAGTTTTGTAACCAGTACTTTCGATTTATGAACTGTTCTCAAGAACAAACTGTTCCCTCATTTTAACACAAAGAAATATTATTAGAGCAACTTACTCTCCAAATGACGCATTTCTTTCTTTATATTACTGTACATATAAAAGGTTACAAAAAATAAAAAATTATAATCTTTTGTTAATTAAAATAAATCTGAAATAAAATATAAATATTAGACTTACACTTGAATGAAACTTGATAACACTTGACTTACACTTGAATATAAATGTTGTATTGGCAACTAACTGAAATAAAATAAACAAGAACTAATAAAAATGACCAAAAAAAATCACTAAAATAAAAAAATAATAATTTGAAATATGAATACAATAATAGTAAATAAATAATACTAAAATAACACTACTAACCAACAAGGCTATGGCTCTGACGATATGACGCAAAAAATGTCTGTAGTTGATTGTATTGTGAAAAGTGGGCGTTACAAACCAGGATGGAGACCTTAACTTGAATGTGAGTTTGTGGTTTACTGTGGTCGACTTTGGTTATTAGTTAACCTGGTCATGTAGTCTATGTGATGGTAATGTCAATTAAGAAATTGAAGTAATTTTGGTAACACTTTACAGTAAGTAAGGTCTCATTTTAGTTAATGCATTTAAGGGATAGTTCACCCAAATATGAAAATTCTGTCATCATTTACTCACTCTCGTGTTGTTCCAAACCTGTATGAGCACAAAGATGATATTTTGAAGAATGTTGGTTACCAGACAGTTGATGGTAGCCATTGACTTCCATAGTATTTTTTCTTTCCTACTATGGAAGTCAATGGCCGCCATCAACTGTCTGGTTACCAATATTCTTCAAAATATCTTCTTTTGTATTCAACAGAATAAAGAAACTCATACAGGTTTGGAACAAATTGAGCGCGAGTAAATTGTGACAAAAGTTTCATTTTTGGGTGAACAATGCCTTTAACTAACATGAACAAACTGTTTTTACAGCATTTGTTAATGTTAATAAAAAATAAAAATCATGTTCATGTTAGTTCAGTGCATTAACCATTAACAGATAGAACTTTTGATCTTAAAAGTATCAGTAAATGCTGAGATTAACATTTACAATGATTAATAAATGCTTTACAAGTATTGTTGCCGTAATTTCAGTATTTGTTTTAGTAAATGTGCTGAAAGTACTTTGTTCTGCGGAGCTTCCCGTGTGTTGCTGGTATCCTGCAGGATTTTACTGGAGCTGCTCTGCAGCTTGTGCTTTTTTCCTCGGAAACGATTGACAAAAGAGAGCTTTGAGGACGACTTGGCCATTGTGGATTTGGACTGCTTGAAGAGGATGTCACTTGTCCACTTCTGACCCTGAAGGACAGAGATTCAATTACTCTATGAATCCTGATGCTGAGATCAGAATACATGGATTTATGCTTGAATTTGACTATACATATAGATTATGAATCAAATAAATACACTACTGATTGAACTAAGGGTACAGCGCAAGAAGGATTTCAACATTCAGCTACACTCACATTCATGTTGATCTTGTCAGGTGTGAGTTTCAGCAGCTCTAGGTTCTCCATACTGTGCCGTCGGCTCATCCTGGGTCTGGCTCCTGGAAAAAACAACAATACTGACTCAAGACAATGGCCAAAAACTTGTTTATTCTTCATTACAACTTCATTATTGATAATAACTACGGTTTACAGAAGAGGCTGAGATGCTACTTCTGAAGGAAGTGCTGTACCGTGCAGGTTGTAGTCGATCTCTTTGTTCTCCGACAGGACTGAATTGTTTGTGCTGTAACTGAGGCCGAGGACCATCTGAAGATCAGAGACGTTCATGCGAGCAGTGAGCTCACCGCTACGATCTCCAGTCTGTATAAAAGACAATAAGGGCATTTCTATTAAAAAACATCACTTTAGCTATCGTTGTATTTGCTTGTAGTTAAAATGACAAAAATCCTAATGTCTAGCTACCACTGAGTCTGTAGCTGTACGTACCTCTTTTGAGATTTCTAAGTGCTTCTCTGCAAAGTGCATGGCCTGGTCATGATTCCCTAGTGCTGTATGTGCGTTTCCCAAACTCCAGCAGGCCCTTCCTTCACCGATCCTGCAGAAAACACATTCTCCATACTTAGTATGCAAATAATTACACCTCAAGAATTGCATACAAGTTTTGTGTGCAATTATCAATTATTAATTCTTCTACTTCTACTACTAATGCGTGAAAGCACCTGTCATTGAGGTCCTGAGCGATGATGAGATGTTTGAGATGGTAGTCGATAGCTCTCTCATAGTCCTGCAGCAGTGTGTACGTGTTACCCAGACTGTAGCAGGCCTGAGCCTCCACCGCCAGATCCTTCAGCAGCCGAGCCAACTGTAGAGCCTTCCTGCACTCAGAACACTATCACTGTCAGAGCTCAGCCACAACCACAGCACAGGGTTTTTGTGTAATGTAATGTAAGACTTTAAGACCTGCACAAATAAAATAATATTGTATGTTCAAACAAAAACCCATACAATCTCAAAATAATTAACATATCTTAAACTTAAATAAACAGGCTGGGGCACACATTCAACTACAAAACCGTGTAACCGCAAGTTTAAAATACTCAAGACATGTTTTATTCAATACAGCATATGCATACCGGTATGTATTGAAATTGGTTTATGTATTGGTATATCAATATATATGAATGAGAGGTTGAATATTGGATTTTGCTAATATGATAAAGCGTTTAAAGAAAGGCAATACAAAGATTATTGTTCTGACGCTAGTACAATCTATGTATATCAAACGTGTTAAATACAGCGGCTGTGGGAGTGATGGTAAAATAGAAATCTTTCTCTCTTCTGATTGCCGTTATCAATCTTTCTCTATTTTTTAATGTAGTCTCTTATTCACCACTATAGAAGGTTATCCAACTATGAAGACTTTCACTTCTGAGAAACATTTCCTTTTCACATTTCCGGGTTTCTCAGAAGCGAAAGTCTTCGTAGCGCAAACACTTGGAGAATGTCAGAAATAGAATGGGGAATCAGTTTACTGTCGGGGAATTTATTGTGTCGCGCCGCATCTCGTGTAGACACTGATTATAATGGCCTGTAATCCGCTCTCTCAAAAAAAAAAGTTAAAAAATATCACCCTCACCTGTAATGTTCTGCAGCCCTCTCAAACTCCCCAAGGAATATGCAAGCGTTTCCAAGGTTGCAGTAAGCTCTCCTCTCAGCAGACCGGTCACCAAACTCTTTAGCGATAAGTAGACGCTGGAAGACAAACGGTTCACACACAGTGCAGTGTGAGTGCTTTAGCACTGCCTTACACAGTTTAATTTATGACACAGAACACTTACCTGTTCATGAGAGGCCACTGCATCCCTGAAGTTTCCTAGCAGGTAGTATGTGTTCCCCAGGTTTCCGTAAGTTCTCCCCTGTGCTGCTCGGTCTCCAAGCTCCTTCACAATACACAGGTCCGCCCTAAACAATCGAAGAGAGGAAAGAGGATGTAAAAACTCTGTACCACTCATGCAAACAATGTCCACTTATGTGAGTGTTGGTTGGACATTTACTCGTAGTATTCAGAGGCTTTTTGAAGTGCTGTCGTGACCTCCTCAGGGAAGTCTCCAGGTTCTGCCCCGCTCCAGCAGACGCTCTTTCCCTTGGCGTGGAACACATTTCCAAAATTATAAAGTGCTCTGGCCTGTCCCACCTGTAGTAAAAAAGCAAATTAAATGAGAGAAACAAACGAAAACACTACGTACTACTAAGCATGTGAACCCTAGATGTTGATCTCCAAGTACCCAGGTGCACTTCACAGAACTTGCTCTCATTAAGCTCATAAAAGTCAATTTCTCATTAACAATTTACTACTTTGACTTTAGGGTAAACCTAGCCTGACTTCGTCATACTCATATTCTAGAAAGAATGTGAGTCTGATACTGCTCCATTGGGCTGTGATTATGGGGCGTGTTTCTACCGAACCAGGAAAGAAAATGCCTCTGCATTCAATTGGATAGACCTGTCCTACAACCAATCAGAGCAACGGAGTAAATGACGCATGTTCTTCATTCATCTTTCCGACCGACAAATGCCTTGATCGCGGTTCTCTGTTCCTCTTTTAAAAGCAATGCGCTGTCGATATCTTCTATAACAGACGCGATGGCGGAATCTACACGATTATTGTTATTTCATAAACAAAGTTCGGGAGGAGCACGTTCAAATAATCAATCCAATCAACTTGTCATCAAACAATACCATGTCTAACGTTACCCTATCAGCACGAGAGGAAGCATATTCACTCTAACTCACTTAACACTCCTCGACAGTTTTTCTGCATCCCTCCACCACCCCGACTCCTCACTCTTGGCTTGTTCTTTCACAGCGAGGAATACGGGGGAGTAGGCCTACTCTGGGTTCGGGCCGAATACCGATCACGGAGCCCTCTACTTCGAACAGCACGTCATATACGCATTTATTCTATCTGACTTATTTGTAAGTGTGAACTCGTGAAATCTCAATTCTCCAGCGGCAGAACTTTGCTGTAAACGAATTCAACCCAAGCGCTCTTTGGTGACGTGAGGATTACGTAACTGCACCTCATCTGTCAATCATCGTATAAAGCCCGCCCTGGCAATTTGATTGGTCCGAACATTTTTTGACTGATCATAATTACTCCTCAATGGATCGAGTCCAGACCGAACTTCCCGACCAAAAATTGTTGTGGGCGGGGTTCGGGCTGGCAGCCAGGCTAGGGTAAACCACAACAAGTCATTTATTCATGAGATTCACACAACTGTATGATTGAAATATTCAGCAATGATTATTTTACATTTACAACGAGTTTTTATATAATTAAAGCATTAAAGGGATAGTTCACCCAAAAATTCTTTCATTAATTACTCACCCTCATGTCGTTCCAAACCCATAAAGCTTTCATCTTCAAAACACAAATGAAGATCTTTTTGATGAAATCTGACAGCTTTCTGTCCCTCCATTGACAGCTACGCAACTACCACTTTGACGTTTCAAAAAGTTCATAAAGATATCGTAAAACAAATCCATATGAATTTAGCAGTTTAGTCCAATTTCTTTTTTTGAAGAGACTCGATCGCTTTATATGATGAACAGATACAATTTAGGGTTTTATTTAGCCTGGTTAAAACCAGACCATTCTCAGTTGTAACTGAGTTATGGTCTGGCAAAGCGTCATAGACAAATCATTTCCAGAGGGGCGTCACCAACGGACGTCGCGTGTAGACCTAAAACCAATCAGAGCGATGAAGGAGATGACGTATGCAGAGCGGCAGCCGGCGAAGAAACATCTCTGAGTGTTGTTCTTTGCTCGGTTTTTAACAAAGGAAACGTTCAAATCGCTTAAAACAGACGCGATAGCTGATTCGAACGAGTGATGTTCGACGGCGGCATCCATCTTTGTAATGTAGGCTACAAAATCTGCTTCAAAATCCCAGCGCTGTCGTCATCGTGTAAAGCCCGCCCCAACGTTTCTGATTGGTGCCTTGATTTCGACAGATTGGAAATGGGCTTCTGGGCAAATCTAAATTTGCCAGAAGTTGTCTGGGTTTTCCCAGGCTAGGTTTTATTCACATTTGGGTGAACTATCCCTTTAACCAGATCCTGTCTGCATCTATTAATTTACTGATTGTTAACGCATTTGATTTGTTTTGTCAGTTTGCAAGGTCATTTTTCCAAACAATTTCGGAGCTTTCTGTTGCAGCACTAATATTATTGCCTCATCAGGAGGAATTGCTAGTCATAGTGTTTTTCATTTGCAGTCGCTTTAGATGAAAGCATCATTGAATAATGCTAAATGAATAAATGTAAAATGTAATATATTCCATTATGGTAAGCTATGGTCTATTGTGTTGATTAAATAGATCACTCACCTTGTCACCCAATTCCCTGGCAATATCTAAATGTCTCTGGCAGCAGACCACTGCCTCATCAAAGCGTCCCAAAACCTTTAATGTGTTCCCAAGGTTACCGCTGGCTTTGGCCTCACCAAGCCGATCCCCGGTGGTCCTGAGAGAACAAATCAGTACTTAGTGCTGTCATTAACATTCAATACAAATATGACACAATTTTCATTAAAAACATTTGAGGGTTGATTCAGAATTCGTGATGTCTGGGGATGCGCACACACAAAACTTCTCACACAGAGTGTACCAAATTGAGTTCTCTTTCGCACCTTCTTGCACTTTAATATTTAAATTGGCAAGGCTTAAAAACACATGCAAAAGACTGTCCTGACGATGCAGCACTGGCCCGATCGGGGCAGTGACGGTTCCGTCAATTGTCCTGAGCATCGTTCACGCTGGCACCGGGCAGTCGAGTATTGTCGAGCCCTGCTATATTTTGTACAGGTTTCATTTTGTTTTGGTAAGTATTTAATTATTTTACCCAGAGAAAAACATTGGTTTATGCAACAGACATTATACAACTCAGTGCCTTGCCGTCACACAGTTAATTAAACAAAACAAAACACAGTAATCTTACTGGCCCCAAACGGTTGAAAGTGTAGTATACTGTAGGTCTCTGGATACAACATTGCTAAAAAGTTGTTTGAGTATACCTAGTTAGTGTAAGATCATGGTGGTGGAACTCCAGAGCTTTACTGTAGTCTTGCAAGTGGAAGTAGGCATTGCCCAGCTGACTGTAGATGGCGCTTAGAACCTGCAGGTCTTCAGTGCCAACCTGCATGGCGGCCTCGAAGAAAGAAACGCCAGCGCCGTAATCCCCGACCTTGCACAGACGCTCCCCCTCCAGAGCCAGGTCCAAACAGGATGCCTCCATCCTGCAGAGGGCAGCACAATTGTTTATTGTTGACAAGCTTTTTAATGTCTCAGCATGAACATCAGTAGAAATAAAATAAGATAGGATGCGGTAGGCTTGGGCGGTATCCAAATTTTGATACCGTCAAACCTCCTCCCTATTTTACCGCGGTATACGGTATTACCGCGTGACTAATTAAAAATTATGACATAAGGCTCAGACGGCATCACCAAACTGTTGGTTTGTGCAGGGATGAGTCACAATTTTCGAATATTCAATTATTTGATTTTATTATAGAATATGGAATAGGTTGTGGGATTATTGTCTATAAAAAATCCCCATGTTTTCCGTTCTGATGCGGTGGTGACACGTTCAACCAGAGGGTGGCAATGCCAATAATGCATCTAAAAGCTGTCAATCAACTCTCAGACAACAGGAGAAGATGCACATTGTCTCACACCAGAGCATGTGAGCGGAGTGGTAATATTTCCTCCAGAGCAGAGAGCGCATTTCTGAAGATCACGCTCCGCGTGCTCAGTCCACTCAGCGTCGCGCGCTCAGAATGCCCGCAGTGACATGCTGGTTAGAAAACATGTGAAGTAGGGCTGCCCGTGCACGACTAAAGTTTTTTTCTTTCTAGCTGACTAGTAGTAGTTGATTTAAGCCATTAGTCTAATCACATATTTATATTGATTAAATTACTTATATATATATAGGAGAGAATGCTAAACCATAATGAGCGTTTTCGTAATATATTGCCTATTCGCCTATATTTTTATATTGCCTATAGAGAGAAATGCACACTTCATATGAATTAGCCTACAGAGAGCAGGCCATTTCTTTTAGTTTCTAATTGTTTTGTTTAAAAGTAGACATTTTAAGCTTACTATATATATACACTTCTCAGATATTTAAGGCATCTATCTTATACGCTGAGTTTGGGGTTTTTTAGGAGACGCGCTCCAGTTCACGCGCCGGTTTATATTGTCTAATATATATGCTTCTTATTTATTAATCCAGGCAATTCGTTGATGAAAAATTGATTAAAATGAAGATACAATTTATACAAAACGAAATTCCCTTTAAGGAAAGGCTTTCTACAAAATAAAACGTAATAAGTGGTCAAAAATCATGTCTGACCCATTCCAATTGTTTTCCGATATTGGGCATCTTATGATCCTATCTTATTCATCTCATGCAGTTTCCTTTTCATATAATCAACATAGATGAAATAAAAAAAATAACAACATTATATTATTAAACATAAATATGAAAAGAAATAACCAAACCGCTCCGCTGTATAGCTGTGTAGCCTACATGCATGTGTGCGTGCATATGGTGGAGGGGTGCGATGTTCGAATAATAATCAAATAATACCAGGCGATCTTCAAATATTATTTTTGCTTGAAATGCCCATCCCTGCCAAACTGCAGAAGTCGTGTTCTTCTTCGAGACCAGGTCACTCGGTGCGCATTTTGCCATCTTTCCCCCTCTCTCCCCCACTCTTTCTCCTCCACACTGTCACGTGATGACAACCACATATACGCATTTTTAGCCATTAAATAAATTATATTTAATATTTAATCCTTGTCTCCTATATAAGTGCATTGGATTTTTTTTATGACGGTATGACGATATTGAAACTGATACCGTTGCTATTTTTAGATCCCGCGGTATACGATATTACCGTATTACCGCCCAAGCCTAGGATGCGGCCATTATGGAAGCATACAAAAACCCCACATAGTGCAAAGGACAACGCTCCATTTATAAATCTTACATATACATTTTCAAACACTGGGAAAATTCAACTAAATAATATGAAATGGCTGCCATGACAAGCTATAATTTCTGGATATAATTTTTTATATTTTAAAAAGTTAATGAGAGACTAATGATTCATTTTATCTCTATTTCTTATGTAAACCAATGAAATATAAAAAGTAAAAAGTATTATTGTGGTCTTAATTTGATACCATTTATAAATCAAAGAATAACAACGGTACGTTCTTTGCACACATTTTTAGGTTGATTTCAGGCTTTTCATATTTCATTAGTGCCACTGATATGTTACGTCAAAATCACACATCCATGGATTATTCTCATGTTAGTATTATTAATCTAATACTGGTCAGCATAGGATCCTTAAAACTCCTTGCAACTTAACTTAATCTAACAAGTTGAATGGTAAAAAGACTCTTCAACAATCAACCTGATACTGCATAATATATGTGGCCTTGCAAATATTTAACCACTAGGCCTATTTCACGGTAGATTATTCCCAACACATTATAATAACTAGTCCGTTAGAGTTTGTAGAGGCCCTACCTGGTGCCTCCCCGTCTCACACAACCAAAGATAACTGGACATGTGAAAGGCATCTAAAATGCTTTGTTGTCTCTTTAAAAAGTCCTCTGATGGGGCTGTAATCTCCAAAACCAACCGTCCCAAACATACATACATCACGATGAGGCTGCCAATCAACTAACTCTTCAGCAGGAATTACACTACTAGACTCAAATGATTTTAAAAAGAATATTCTACACAGCAGTTGTCCATCATACAACGTCACATTGGACGTCTTTGAGGGCAGAGGTTGAAGATGGCTTTGGCAAAAACTGTCATGCTCAGCACTTGAACAGCTAATCTGATTGTGTTTCTGCTTTCCACTGTCGTGTGTGATTAGCACGCACCGAGAGAGGAACAATAGTGAGATTAGACCCGCTGCGTTCGCTTCTGATGTCATGAAACTTGCAATGCAACGATTATTTCCTCACGGGACTGATCAATACACTACACCATAAAAAATGTAATCATTTGCATAAAAAACCCTCAGAAACAGCGAATGCAGTTATAAAATGATCTCTGAAAATTAATGTAAATTAGTTTGATTATTATAAACTTCACGTAACTCAAATCCATTTAGTTTGTACCACAGATTCACAAACTAAATAAGTGTATCTCTATGCTCTTAGAGATGGCCTAGGCTAAAATTGGCTTAATTGCTATGAGTGACAGATGTTTGCCGAGGACTGACGAAAAGATAAAAACCAACACAACTCAAGGGTTGCAGAATAGAATATAGGCAATCATCATAAATTATTCAAACGTTATTAAATATTGAGCAAATTAAGGCACACTTGCTTTCTCTCATACACACAATAAAATTTCACATTTATACCACTTTTATTTTATGTTAAAATGAAAACCTTATTTCAGATGCAACATTTGGTTTTATTTTGCCACTAGATCTCCTTCACAATATCAGATCATTCAAATTCAGTCAAACACCTTCCCAATTAAAACTTAGTTTTCAAAAACAAAGGGGGATGAAGTTATGGGAATAATTACCAATGATTTATTGAATGAATGAAAGGTTTAATTTACTTGTATACTTATTTTCAGTTGGAGACAAAGGACATGTTTGTAGCCTGTTCATTTAATACAGTGCTAAATAAAAACTCTATGATTAAGTGGTATGTAAATACTATTTTGGTCCACTTTTGATACTAAGCATGAAAAAGTCTTAAATGAGTTAATACTGGACTAGCACCAAAGATCTTAAAAGGCGGATTACAACTACAAGAAAATGTAATTCAAGTGTCGCATGCCTACCTGTAGTGGACAAAGGTTCGGTTCTCATTCTGCATGCTAACCACTGCACTGCTCACAGCCATTGAAGAGCATTATGAAGTAGGCCTACTGATCCCAGCCAAGTCCAGAAAGTAATCCATCAGAGAAGAATAGTGAATCGAATTCCAGAAAAAAAAAAGAAAAAAAGAGTTTAAAAACACTTGGAACTTTAGTTTTTGCATACACGTCCGAAGTCTCTGATGTTTTCCAGTGGCGGAGTCCAGTGCGCTATATATGAGCTTATCCAGACTTATATTCACCACAGCAGTGGGTCTGGGAAGTGTGTGTTTGTGTGTGTTTTGTCCTGGATGTTCTTCCGGAGCTCTGTGTGAAGAGAACACAAGATGTCGAGTGTGAACCCTCATTCTGTGCGTAATGCCATGGTAACACCCACTGAGCGGCAGACACATGCAAGGGAGGCAGATATTAAGTGTGTGTGTGTGAGCAGCGATGTGTATGTGAAAGCTAAACCAATGGAGCCCAACAGCAAGAGAGAAAGCAAGAGCAATCAGCCCATAAACACAGCTGATTATCTGCCATGCATGCGGGCCAGTACCAAAGCATGAAAAAACATTTTCTTGTTTTTGACAAGAAAATAGTTTTATTCACCTTTCTCTTACAAATCCACACAGATGTAAAAGAATTATAGTAGAGGAAAAAAGACCATTTTAAACTCTGATGGTGAGTGTCGGTTACTTTCAAACATATTACACCTCTGTGACATTTGGAAAGCTGGTTTGTCATTGCCAAACTAATCCAGAAACAAGATAATCAGCTTGAGGAACCATAGAGACATGTTCCCTAAAACATTCAGTCTATATACTTATATTTATACTTATATATTTATATAATGCACAATGTTGTTGTGGTCTGTCATATTTTCTAGTGCATAAAGTCACAACGAAATGGAACTTGCGACAGATCTTTCTTCAGTAAGGTGACATACTTTTGTTTTGAGTGTAACAGATTATTGTAAATGAAAACAATTAGGGCAAGGACATGGTTATCCATTGGCTGTTGATTAGATATTGAAATGTGGGTGTTGAACTCAATTTAATGCGCACCTGACCTTGCACTTGCAGTAGATTGTGAAGAGGCAAGTAAGCAGATTGAAAGATTGGAGAAGTTCAGCATGCGTCACCGCAGAGAGAAGTCTGTTATTTTCCTCCAAAGTTATGACATCTTAATTAAAAATTAATAACTAGGTCAAATAAAAGAAAACTAAACATTTGAATCATTCACAATAAGATCAACAACTTATAACATACCTAACAACTGTGCGATAACAAAATAGGGTGAATTTACATTTCAAGCTTACTTTAATGTGTATTAAATTTAAAATCAACATGAAACATTTCCGGTTGGGAGTAGCCTAGGTCAGGACTTCTGAAGTAAAAATCCCATTCATTTTCTTCAAAGGGAAATAATGGACTTTTAAAGTTATAAACCATTAAAGACAGATCTACTATAAGCTACAAGGTTGTTTGTCAATGTATATGCTTTTGTTGAAGCCATCTGCCCGCATTATTTCAACTTATTTTAAAATAATTGTGTTTACAGAATTCTGACAAGAAACTAAATTACCCATGATTCTGCAGAGAAATCTCCACCAATCGGAGAATTGAGAACAAGTAGGCTAAATCACACCAAAATATATTTTTAACTCTCACTCACCCATTCCCATTTTCCATGAAGAATTGCAAATGATGTAGCTAGCTAATAGTCAGTCTCCCTATTTTCTCAAACTACTTCAAAATTTGTGTAATGCTTTATGGAATTGTAGTTATTTCCTTCATTTAAGCATTTGTATACAGTCATATTTTCAAGTTTGTAAAGATGAGATTCATCTCATTGTTGGTTGTTCTTCTGGAACAAAGGCTGCCAAAAAAAGTGTGACAGTTGAACTCTCTTTTTATTTTCTAATCAATCAGAAATTGATTAGATCAGAAACACTGGTCTCTATAAAAAAATAAAATAAAATAAAAACTCCCAGACTTAAGTTTAAACAACAAGATAACCCTTGGTAAATGGGCAAGAGCAATAATTTCTTGATGATGATGACAACAACAAAAGAGAAACACATACACTCAGTCTCAATCAAGAGAACTAATAAACTGCCAGCTAAAACATGTTACACAGCATTTGTGCCAAAGAAGACCTTCAAATCCAATGTATTTTCTTTTCTTTTTTTTTCATTCTGAAGAACAAAATGAACACCAAAACACAGAGTCAGTTACAAAACTGGTTTGTGTGTCATCATAATTCTAACAGAAAAACAGCTGTGGTTCTCATAGTACCTCAGATGCAGGTTATCTTGACAAGATGAGGCATGAATAGAGGTTAGAAATACACAAAGCTTGTAGAAAAACACAAGTTGCACCTTCCATGACACACAGGAAGTTATGATGACTTCACTGTCATCACATTATGCATGACTGTCACTTGACAGCTGTTACTGAGGTAGCTTTTAAAGACCCTTTATACAAACTTGTAAGCAGTAAACATTCCTCAAATTCAACATTAGAGTTTTCCATTGCATTGTGCCAGGAGGATAGGTAACGTTATGTTGGCCATGAATAAGAATATTGTCTGAATAAAGATAACTTAGACAGGTAGATGTTTAAAAAGTTAAAAATGAACAGAAACTGTAACTTACTGTATGCCCAATCAAAACCTATAATTCTGAAAAAAACAACAGCAAAAAACAGAAGCCAATAACACGGGGTCACTTCAGTCGTCATTCATAAAGCAGTAAGTTAACGTTAGTCTCACCCATGTCTCACTCCCAAAGCAAATAGTAAAAGAAAGCCCAGGATTAAGCAAGAACAATATTTATACAATCCATACCGAAGGTATAAAGCACGCAAAAACACCAAGCTTGAACATGCGTAACAACACCGACTTCTGTACTGTAAGTTAATTACAAACCTAAACAAAACCAAAGAGGAAAAGCACAAACATTGCAATATTGCTTGTAGAATAATCCAAACGTATTACCATATTATCGCTCTAGGGCACAGGAGAATTTTGTTTTTTAATAAATAAAACAACCCGTGTTCCATTTTAATGAAATCATAATATGCAAGATCTCCGCGCGCCCTGAAGTTTAAATTTCGGCTTTTAAGTTGATATGATCAGTTTGTTGTGACGTGCTGGTCTGTCTTAACGGCCGTTACGGGCCAAACTTCAGTCATACTCACTTAAACTCCTCCGATTCCCACAATCCTTCTCTCGGTTCCTCGTCTTACGACCAACAGAATCAATAAGACAATCAATTAAATCCGAACATGTTGTAAGAACCGATGAACTAAAACTGTTCGCGTTTAAATTTCTTTTGACTTCGAAGCAGTTTAGAGAGAAACCTTTACACACACCCGGACAAAGGGGGCGTGCCGATTCGTGGTTGTAACTCGACTGACCAATCAGAGCACAGAATTCAAATATAACCACTCCCCGTATGAATCACCAATGAAATTTGAATGTTTTATCGTTCTACTTTTTGTCGAAAAACACTTTGTTTTATATAACTCCTCTCCTTCAACAAGAGACTGTTTTTATTCAGCTTTACTTGTGGAGTAAGACAACAGAGGTCATTAAAATTAAACGGCAAGATAAAACATTATCTAGCTATTTTAACTCTTTAAATGAATGAGACAGTTTTTCACCAGGGCTGACTGACAGCTGATATTGAGTCTTCACGACACGTTCCCATATCAACCACTGTTCATCCCACCCCCGTGCGCGTGTAGCACCTGCCCAAAGAATCAGCATCAGATACGGCATTTATTATTTAAAATGCTCAAGATGACCCTGTACTATAGGCTTGAGAAACTAGACAGAGCCTTCATTGTACCTTTCCAATAGGCTGACATGTCATCCATAAGACAGCCGAACACAAGCAAGAGGAGTGCGCAAATACTTGTATGACCCCTAGAAACCCATGGGACAAGCATAAAAAGTAAGTGCAATGTCATATTAGTAGAATTAGCGGTGTAGTGTTATTTTTCTAGTTTCTTGTAATTTATTTAGCCAGCATCATAAAAGTAGCAAATAATTCAGTCATTAACCTACCATTTATTATAATATAAATATAATTACAAGATATATAATTGAAAAAAACACAAATGCACTTGCATTTGTAACAGTTGTAAGAGTTTTGTGTATTCTTGTTGCTAAGAAATGAGTAGAGAAGCGCGGAGCAGGTTTGATGGAGCGTCAGCGGGAGACGCAGAGGATATGGACGGAGAAGAAGAAGACGCTCACAGCAGACATTCATCAGTGCTGTGGGAAAGACACATTGAGCAAAGTATATTTGTGGATATCAGTGATGATGACAGCCTGCATTTCAGCGACATGCAGGGCGCCTTCACTGTCCACCTCTCACAGGACACTGGTGCACCTGAGAGCCCGAAACTCACTGGTAAGAAATGCTTCTGTATGAAATCCCCACAGTTTATTTTATTTTTTAACTACAATGGAACTGCCATGTTTTTTGCAGTAGCCTACCATAATACCACCTGACATGTACTATGGCAATAACAGTTTTTTTTAAAGTAGGCTACCAACAAGTAGTTTTCAGTTGGCTACCATTGCTATACCATGGAGTAGGCTATCATGCAAATACCACAGCCATTTAAACTTAAATTAACAACTTTAAAGAAATTGAAAATTGCTTAACTTATTTTGATGAGTTAAAACAATGTAAAAACATATGTTCTTATGACTTATTAATCATATTATTTTTTTACAGTCTATGATATGCAGAAATACAGCAAAACAGTAATATTGTGAACTATTATTACAACCTAAAATAATTGTTTTCTATTTTAATATATTTTTACTCCAGACCAGTCTTTATTATCACATGATAAAACATTGAATAATGATGTGCGTTTCAAGGCACTTCAGTAGGCCTTTAATATTTTTGTGATGAATAGAAAATTGAAAAGAACAGTATTTAGAAAAGAAATCTTTAGCTATATTATAAATGCCTTTACTGTCACTTTTGACCAAATTAATGCATCTTTGCTGAAAAAATCTACCCCAAACTTCTGAATGGTATTGTATGAGTATGGTAATCATTCAGAATTTATTATTTAAGTTATAAAAACTCCCACTGACTTTGACTGAATGCGTTTAAAACCTGATTGCTAGCAATGGTGTCATAATGACCCAATGCCAGCTATAGGTCTCCAGTTTTGCCAAAAACACTTTAACACTCTTTTGCTTAAAAAGTGAAATCCTGTTTTAGTGTTTCCTAATGGCTTTAAATTATAACATTTTACTATAAGACATGAAAAACTTTAACAAAACCACTGTCTTTTTATTTTGTGTACAGATAATGCAGAGTTGTCAGAGTCATGTGAGACTGAAGAGGGCTCATCAGAGAGTGTCGAATCAGTCAATAGTGAACACACAAAGCATTCAAACACCAGAGACAGGAAGGGAAACGTGATCAAGGCGGCAATGCAGAAACTCAAAACTGCAGTAAAGCCAATCATTGGAACACATGAGGATGATGCTGTCAACACCAGTGACGAAGAACATGAAGAGCTCCCATATGATGGTACGCACACCAACAACAAAACAGAGACGAATTTAAAATCATCTCCATGTGAAATGGTTTCTGTGATGTCCAGTCAGGCTTTCACTACACTTGATAAGTTTAGTAGGCAAATTGGTAATGCAAAAGAAACAGAGGCTTGCCCGTCTAATCTTACTCATGCTCTTCTATCTAATCATAAAGCAATAGAGGACATGGCTCCTCCCTTAGCCACACCTATTCAACCTGCAAACCACATCACTGACTTCCTGCTCAGACACTTCTCCCAGGAGGAGCTGCTTAACTCAAGCAGGATCATTGAAGCAGAGACCCTACCTGAGATGTCTTTGATGGACAGCATTGATGAAACCGTGCTGAGTAGAGCTTCTCGGGCTCCACAGGTCGGCAAAGGAGAGGGAGAGAAGATTCAGGATGTGATGGAGGAACCTGATCCCAGCACTTCTGGAAGTCATGGAGTGGTTGAAATAAACATTCCAGATGAGTCGAGCTCATCTAAGAAACCTGGAACGACTTGTATCATTGATGATGATGATGATGATAAAGAATGTCCTAAGCAGAACAGCAGTGCTAACTCTCTAGATCTATCTAAAGCAGATGCACAGAATCCTAAGTGCTCCTTCAGCAGGACCAGGTCCTACAGTGAGCTGAAATACGGACAGGGAAAGGTGCATTACCCCCTACCTGACTTCTCTAAAGTGGCACCTAAAGTCAAAATACCAAAAGGTAATGGAAGCGTTAAACCCGTCAACCAGTCACCAGCTATGACCCGAGCCCAGTCGTCCCCAGGCATTCTGGGTAAATCCACCTCCTCTTGTAAAGCTACAGCAGATATCATCAGCAGGGTTTTAGAGGACTCCATGCCACCGGAGAAGCACAATGTGTTTACAGACAAGGAAGTAGCGCATCAGTTACAGGTGACTACATTTACAACACTAGTTACACTGCTTAGGAGATCTTTCACATGATTCGAGTCAGGCATCAAGCTGCTTTGACCTTAATATAGAAAGCGCTGAAGTGTGACAGAAAGGCGATCTTACAAGAACGTGAGAAGTGTATAACTGTAAAAACTGTGTAAATAGCAGTGTTGGGAGTAACGCATTACAAGTAACTTGAGTTATATGTAATCAGGTTAGTTTTTTAATGTAACAAGTAAAGTAACACATCATTGTGTTTTTTGTTCATACAATGAAAGTTATTGGGGTCTAATGTTGTTTTGGACCCAATTGACTTTCATTGCAAGAACAAAAATTCGCCAAAAGGTTAAAACTTAAAAAAAAAAAAAAAAAAAGTGACCCTTTCATTTGTTTACAGGCTGAATATGACAGATTGCTCGCTAAATACACAGAAGCTGAAAACCTAATTGGTCAGGTGAGACTCAAGAGGATTTTTTAAAAGTTGGATCTTCCATTAATGTTGAAACATTTAGATTTTTATTCGTATGTCTTTATTATCTCAAACAAAAGAATACCAGACTAAAGTATAAACATTATTATACACAATATACCTGTATAATATCTGCTCTTATATAGTATACAGATATGATCCGCATTTCAACATATCCTCATTTTAATCTGATTTGCAGCCCAATTGAGCGGATTATATTGTTGCTTTCTTTTAAACAGCAGATTCATGCTTCCAGTGAGCCGTCTGTGTCCATCGACTGGAACGATGCAACTAGCAACAATGACAACACCGAAGCCATTGTATTTCTTTCTCCAGCTGAATACTGTGGTACAGTGTAACCCTGGCAGCAGAGAAACCCTGCCAGGGAAATTTGAGCTAGCATTAAACAGACCTCCTCCTAAGAGAGTGAATCAAGAAACATTGTTAAGAGATCATCAGGTGTTTATACTTAAAGGGGCTATGTGTAGCTTTTTACTTAAAAAAAAATCTTTAAGATAGAGTTTTCATTTGTACATTCTGAGCCAACCATAATGTAATAGAAAGAATGACACCTTAATGTCCACCACGGTTGCCTCTATCAGCCTGTAGGCTCAATTGTGTGGGGAGGATTCGGGTTCGAATTGGCGCGAAAATTCACAAAATGTGACGTCATGCGCGTTCTCGTCTACTTGGGCTTACATCCGGCAATCACTAGCAGTAACTTTAGTGTTTCAAATGGACTCTGCGGACGGAAAGAAGCAACCAGCCTCCAGCACAATCCAGACACCCACGGAAACTCCTCGTAAGTAAAAAAAAAAAAAAAAAGCCTTATCTAGTGCGACCAAAATAGAGAGTGACCGACGTCAGGCAAAGACAAGACAAGAGTCAACATCGGAGCGGCATTTGATTCTTGGAGGGAGCACCGGTCAGCACTGGGTATAAAAACAGACCCCGAGCTGGCTTTCTTTTTACTGCAAAGGTAAGACATAGTTACAACTCTCTGGTTGCTGTGGTCATGCTCATACGAGCGTGCGCACCGAGAACGAGCATGAGACTGGCTGCAGTTTCTCTAACGGCCACTGGTGTCAGTAACGGTTAGAAATTTCAGAACCTACGCAATGCTCCTTTAAGTACAAAATGATCAAAAGTGCTATAAGATAAAAGATACATGACTTGTGTTTAGATATTTTACACTTACATTTGCGTCCTCACATCTTGAGTATATGTTCAACAGGTCCAAGTGAGAAGCAGTTTAGTCTTCACAACTCTGTACCTGTGCTGACTGAATCACAGAGCCCGACAGATGGAGAAAGACTAACCTCTGAGCTCAGAGACATCATCAGATCATTTACGCAGAAGGTACAGACAAGTTAGCAAGACCTGCCTTCAAAGATTTGCCCTGTGCCTTATGTTTTTAGTTCTCTTTAACATGCATTTAGCTTTTGCATTGATGGGTGCATGATGCATCTGTATTTTTCTTCTTTTCCAGGTGGATGAATTCAAACCATGTGTCACCACCATGTCAATGAATGTGGAGGAGCAACAGATGGTAACTGTACATACTTAATCATGAATTTCACAAAACCTTTTTTATAATACACTGTTTTATCATAAGATACTAAATTAAATCAAGCAGTTGTAGGTTTATAGTCAAGTCAAGTCATCTTCATTTATATAGCGCTTTTAACAATGGAGATTGTTTCAAAGCAGCTTTACAGAGATAAACATACAATTTACGGTAACAGAGATTGCCCCAAATGGGAAAAAAAGTAAACGTTTCATCTTGTTTGGTGGATATCTCCACAGGTGCTGAAGAGCATGATGGAAGCCCAGGATCAGCTGGAGAGGAATTACCTCACAAAGAGGGAGGAGCATCGTGCTCTGGAGATGCAGAACTACAGGGGTCTAGCCAGAAACACAGGAGAGTTTGACCCTGACAGGTAGACATGTCATGTGTTTGGACAGCATGATCTAAAACCTCACAAAACTAGAATACTCTTGTTATAATCAAGAAAACTGTGCAAGTGATAAGCAAGTGATGGTAAATTCTATTACATTTAAGTCATGGATATTGTACGGTGGCAGAGAGAGTTCAATTGAAGAAAACACATGCAAATAGAAAAAAATACTCACAATGCAGCCAAATACAGAAACGAGCTGCAAAAACTCACAACGCACATACGATCAGGATGTTAAAATAAACAAAAAAACTCACCTTTTAGGTCATCGACAACACCACTGACGAGTAGACATTGAACAATAAGCATGTCTCAGCCAAGTTTGTCACTTGTTGGGGTCCCCTTGTGGTTGTGAGTATTTGCAGCAAATTTGTTTTCAAACTGATGAAGATGCTTTCTTAATTTGTTGGTGTTTCAGTTGCTTTCTTCGGCTCTCTTGGCCACCGTAATATTGGCATGAAATGAAAATTCACCCAATTTTGTAAACGGATGTTATTGTGAAGGATCTGTGTATGTTTTATTATATAAAAAAAAAAAGTTTAGACTTTGTAATGTTTAATCAAATTATAATAACTTGTTGTTCCGCTGAATGTATTTAGTCCACTTAAACCCAGTGGTGGACGAAGTACACATACCATGTACTTGAGTAAAAGTAAAGATACTCAAGGTAAAACATCACTCAAGTAAAAGTAGAAGTGCTGCCTTTAAACATTCACTTGAGTAAAAGTACAAAAGTATTTGCCTTCAAATGGACTTAAGTATCCAAGTACCTTGATTTTTTTATGGCTATAATGTCCTATTATAATTTGTCACAAGACTCTTGCTTAACTCAGTCTAAGTGAAGACTAATGTCACTCTTGGCACAATCTATTAAAGAAATGACATTAATTAGTCTGATATATATATATATATATATTTGAATTGAATTAATTTTTTTGTGTGTTTAATTTTGGAGGGAAGGGGACTGTTCCCATAAGGTATAAAACATTTACAGTATTTACTGTATATATTTTTCTCCAGCGCCTATGGTCATAACTATTAACATCTTAATGTTATGATACATTCACATTAACCTGCACAACGCCATTAAATATATATATATATATATATATACACATACACATACACACACATATATATATATATATATATATATATATATACTGTATATATATATATATATATATATTCTATGTTATGGGAGCAGCCAATTTCCCTCCAAAACTAAACACAAAAACGTGTCTACGAAAGAAAACATCAGTCGCTACTTCAGTTTCAACACGACTTTAAATGTAATGGTTATATCTTTTTGCTTTTGTAAATATAGTTCATAGTGTCTACATGTTGGAGCACTGCCTACAAAGCTATCGACTTTAATTAAAATTTGTTTGTAAAACTAAAAATTCATACTGTACATAGGCACAATTTATATTTGTTCATAAAACTAATTTCAGTCATATACTGTCTGCATTTGCCTTTACATTAAAAGGTTTCAAAAACCTTCAGAAACAAACTCGTTCAAGTGTGTCCAATCATTTGACAGGTAGTGTAATTGTATTTAGACTGATTCCTGTTAATTCTAAAGTCGTTCAAAGCAAGGAAATGAAACTGTCATGGGTCAAAGGGTCAACTTGTGTTGTGTATTCACGTTTGTGTTTAAGGGAGGTCGAGGGGCAGATTTTCAGGATAGGCATGCACCTGGAGGACATAAAAGAGCAGATCGACAGAAACGTCTGCCATGTTTACTATCCTCCTTCGTCATCCTTCACTCCATCTCCTCCTCCTTGTGAAAATATCCCTCTCTCATCATCCCATCCATCACTGCATGAGGTAACACACACAGTGATCTACATTTTAGGGGACATTTGGACAAAAATTCACGGCATTAGACAGTACCTGATTGTCAATGACACTCTCTGAGCACATTATTATCCTTCACTTTTCCCTCCTTCATTCATACACAAACTGTCAAAGTTAGCTTATGCAATTTCTGTTTAAACAACTTCTTCTGTTAAGAGTCAGCAATTATTAATGCTCATGTGGACACGCACAGCGAAGCTGATATTGTTGTGTGCCTCATATCCGTTTGCATGTGTTCGTTTGCTATGTAACGTGAGAACTAAATGACTGGGCCGTGGTAGGTTTTGTGGATGCTGGGTCTGAATGAAAAAACATGTCATGTTACAGGAGTTGGACTTCAGCATCTCCTCGGTCAGACACAACATGGAGGACAATGATGATGAAGAGGCCAGTGAAGATCACAGAGCTGACGAGCCTTTTCCCGGCTGCACAGAAAACCGCTTTTATCTACAGTACTGCCACATTTTCCTCTTTATCTGTTTTTGCCAACATAATGCTTCACATAGGCCGTGTTCACACCTAGGCATGTGACAGTATCTAATTTTCATATCACAATAATTGCTGTAGCTTTTATCATGGTATTGAATTAAGTTACAAAAAGGGTTGAACTCTTAATAATGAGTTTCTTCTCTTCTCAACTCTGAACATTTAAATCCAACAAAAAAATTCCACAAAATGTATAGACTAAACAAATGAAACAGATTAAAGTGCAAAACCTTTGACCAATATCTTTTGTGCCATGTTTTAGTCCAGATTAAAATGTAAAAATGTTTAGGTGTAAACAAATATTGTGAAAATAAATAGCATATTAAGTCAAATAAGTATTGTTTAGTGCTGTGATAAACCACAGCGAATACAAAATTCGCAATGGCTGCTTGAAACAAGTATGGTTTGACTTTCTTTTTCCCCCAAATTATTCAAAGTATTTTGAAGTGCTCACACTGTAAACCCTAATGCTCAAAATAGTTAATTGGTTTGAGTAGGGTAAACTTAAATTAAACAAATTAGTTTAATCAAATGAAGTTTTATGAGTATTTAGAACTTTCTTTTTCTTTTGAGTTCACAAAACTGACATATTTTAAGTAAGCAGAATTGTTTAATTGTTTTGAGTTTTATGGAGGTACTAATAAACCATGTATGTTCATTACCGCGATGTATTTTGTTATACCGGCACATGTTCAGCTATTTTTTAAAAGGTAAACAAAGACTAAGAAATGCATATGGAATGTATCTGGGGTGGTAATCAAAAGTTTGCTGGTTCAAAATCCACAATCATTGACATAAACATTGCAATTAACATAACGCATTAAACAAGTCACAATCCCAGATTGCTTAAAGAACATGTTCCTGTACATTAACTTCACATTATGCCATTATATGGCAAGGTTGCGCAAACGAATTCAGTGAAAAAGATTCTATTTTAATTCTAATGGTTAACGTTAATTAGAAATGTTGTGATCCGGTCCCTTGTTTAGTTCTCTTAAAAGATCACTGATGTAGGTTGTAAGAGGAGGGAGCGTATCGTGATATTTAGCACAGCTCACCCGAGGATGATCGGGTTACAGGTCGGGAGGAGGGACGAGGGAATATCAGTTTCATTATGGAAACACTTCGTTCCCTCTGTCAGTTTTTCTGTACTTCCTCTGAGGTATTCCACCTTCTCCACTGAAACGCCTGGAACTGCCAATGAGGAAGAGGAGGACAGACTAACAACAAGAGAGGAAGACAACATCCTGGCACAACTGTCCAACTCAACTTCATTAAAGAAGCTGACATACGATAGGTCAGTATTTACAGACAGATTTGTATTTTTGTGGCTGTGCATGCACTGCAATCTGGTGTATTCTTAACTGGGATGGTATGTTGTAATTTTAGAAGTTAAATTTGTACAGGAATAGATGGTAAATCAAAGGTGCATGATTCAGGGTTATTATAGTTAACTGAAACTAAAATCATCAAACTTTTTTTGTTACTTGAAATAAAATAAACACTAATGGAAAAAAAGTAAACATAAAAATAATATATATAAATATAAATAAACTTATTTTATTTCAGCTATAGTTGCCAGGGGAACATCTCTCATTTTCAGTTAGGTTAACTTAATGTACTAAAATAAATAAAACTGAAATAAAATAAAAACTATATAAACATATATATAAAAAAATATAATAAAAAAAGACAAAAACAAAATAACTAAATGAAAACAGAAAATTAAAATATAAAAAATTAATTCAAAATATTAATAAAAACTATAATAGTAACACAATTCTACTGAAATAACTAATGATTGTAAAATAGCTTTTAGATGAATATAATTACTTTATACAACTTTTGATGGATGTAAAATGTTTGTCTAGTTTTGTTAGCCCAGAAAATGTATCCAGTGATTTATGTTGCATTCTTGTGGATATATAATTGCTTTATTACATTACACTAACATTACTTTATTACATTACACTAGTTCTAAACACGGTACCATGTTAATACTATGGTATTTTTGAAGTACTGTACTTTGAAGTACTTAAAATCATCATTGTACCATGGTGCTCTCACAGACCTTTTTGTAAGGCTAATGTGAGTCCTTTGTTGAATTAACACTGAACATTCTTAGTTACAATGGTGCAAACATTATCAGTCTTAAAAATCTAAAACTACTGTAAACGTAAAAAGAACCTTGTTTTTCATGACTGCTGTGATCGTCATTCCTCTCTCAGGTACGAAGAGAAGATCAGACCCAGTGAAGCCTCGTTCCCTTCTGTAGGAGCGTCTGCTGGACACTCTCCTCAGCCAGCCACAGACAAAACACAGGTAACAAACACATACACTAACATGGAGAGACAGAGATTAGGTTTGTCTGTGAGAAAACAAACCTATTTTATGGACAAGATAGTATTCTGCAAGAATGTCAATATTGCTAATAGGCCTGTTGAAATTATTGATTAATCATCTGATTGTGGTAATGCTGTGGTTAAGTCTACTTTTATATGAAATAACGGCTTGTAGGTTTATTGTAGACTGCATTGTATTATATAATATAATATTTGTATTATATAATATAATATTATTAATCATAAATAATTATATAAATATTATTAACTTTCACAGCATTAAAGTAAATCATATGGGCCTATTTTATTATATGATTCCAAGTAAAATATATATAAAAAATATGTATAAAGATTACACTGGTAAGTGACATGAATAAACAGAATTATTTATGACAAATCAGAACAAAATTCAGGATCGTGACAGGCCTAGTTGATGTCAATGTTGATTGTTAAGGGAAAAAACCCCATCACATATTATTATTATTTTTTGTTGCAAAAATGTTACCTTTAGGAGTACAACAGCTTGTCACTGGGACAGCACCCCTAAAAGAACACTTATTGCACCTTATCTACTCCTAAAAATGGCACATTAGTATCTTAAAGTAGACAGTAATAAGGTACTAGTAAGGAAGGTAGGTACTATTATGAACATTTTAGGGTAAGATACAAAGTTGTCCCTGCCAGAGTGACAAGCTGTTGTACCCCTAAAGAAACAATTTAATGACAGTGTAAAATAACCAGGGTTACATTTTGTGAGATAAACAGCGTAAATGAGATGTCATTTTTTATGATAGATTAAAAAAAAATCCCCAAATTCCCCAAAGATACTGTGATTTTTTTGTTAGAAGTGTTATTGTTTGAAGGTTTTTGTTGTGTCACTTGCAGAATGTTTGGGCTGTTTCTGCAAAGGACAGAACGACAGATAAAGTGTTTTTGTTCTTTTAGAGATTTTTAAGTCCAGAAACTGACAGCGGCTTTGGCAGTTTTGACCTGAGCCGTCCAAACACAGGACTGTCCAAAACACCTCCTAGTGCTGTGAGGTAAATATCTCTCTCTCTCTCTCTCTCTCTCTCTCTCTCTCTCTCTCTCTCTCTCTCTCTCTCTCTCTCTCTCTCTCTCTCAAACACACACAGACACACACACACTGGGTTTCCATGTTTTATGGGGACTTTATAGACATAATGATTTTTGTTACGGTATATTCTATTCCCTAACCCTATACCCATCACAGAAAACATTCTGCATTTTTACATTTTTCAAAAAACATCACTTTATATGATGTATAAGCTGTTTTCATCATAGGGACTGAAAAATGTTCCCAAAAGGACAAAGTATTGCCATCCTTGTGGGGACATTAAGAATAACGGTGTATATTTACAAAACTGAAATGCCAAAATACAAGACTACAAATGCTAAATGTGTTTTTGTGTTCAGATTATAAACGGTATATTTTCAATGAAAAATGCTCTGTAGCAGAACTGACATTTAAAAAATAAATAAATAAATAAATACTTTATCTGATGTGCTCTTTAGTTCTGCGCTCTCAGATGATGTCATTAGCATGGCGAGTATGAGCGGTCCGGACAGTGAAGCCTCCCACTCCAATGTACGAACAACTATATCAATGGCACCAAGACCCGTGCAGCCCACAGTAAATCACCTGGAATTTGAACAGCTGGTTCCACCAGGCATGGAAGCAAAAACCATTACCCAGAATGCAACTGTTAGAGTTTCAAAAGAGAATGCCGCATCAGTAGGTGGCGCCACTCCCACGCATAACCAGGTGACTGAAGGAAGAAAAGACCTTCGGCTGGGAAAGAGCCATTCTGCAAATGAGATGCACTCAGCATCACACTGTTCATGTCACAAGTAAGTATTAAAGAAAGTAGTTTAAACTTGTAGTTTATACCTGCAATTTGTGAAACCATCACAATTCCATTGTGCTCTTCACAGTAGTGAGGTTATCCTCGCACTGCAGTATGAGGTGTCTCGCCTCAAGAGGGCGCTAGAGGAGAGTCTTGGTCACCTGCCTCATGTGAGCAAGAGGACTGATTATCTGAATGGCAGGTGTCCGTTGGAGAAGAAGCACAAGGGACAGACCCGTGGCCAGAACAGAGCTGCCTCCAGCAGGTACTCCAAATTGGGGTTGAAGAATGGCTACCATCCTATTAGTTTTCTAAAAGAACATTTTAATAAACACTTTAGAGCAATGGAAAGATTTCATGGATGTTAAAGGTTCCATAGATGCCAATAAAGAACCTTTATTTTTAAGACTGTTGGTTCTTCGAAGTTTGCCAAACTAATGTGAATTCTCACTACATCATCAGACGTGCAAAGACAGACTCAAACCCTCAGAAGATTGAGGACTGGATCTCTTCTGATATGGAGCTCAGCAAGAGCAAAGGTGACAGCTTCACAACCTGGTTCATGCTTTCTTCTTTAGCAATACATTTGTTCTAAATGTGGTTTAATGCAGTTCAATATTGGTGTTTGCTAAAGTTGTGTTTAGTCTATATAGTTTTAGTTAAGTGAAATTGAAGAGAAATTGAAAGGGAATTAGTGTATTGTCAGTTACAGATGGTGAAGATTCAGATCACACTATGAGTTTCCAGAGAGCCTTCAGTCCACCGTATGGACAAATACGCACCCGCTTTGGTGCTCCTGCTGAGAAGAGGTCACATGACTCCAAAACATCATCCAGGGGTATGATACCTTTTAGTAAATAGCATTTTTGCTACAGTCCAGCATGTAGTAAGATAAAAGTACCCAAATGTTCTTCTCGCGATGGTCACAGCCTCAGCGGAGAGCTTTCCTTTGGACACATCTCAGTTCAGCCAGTCTGGAAGCCATCGGAGAGTAAGCGTTGGGCCAACGATCCACAGCATCAACACTGAGCCAACCAACAAAAGTGCCAGCTACAGACCTGCAGGTGTGGAATCACTTTAATAATCTAATAATGTGTATTACACACACACACACACACACATACACACATACATATATATTCATTTTAAATGACCCTACAAGTTCGATTAAACCATCAAAATGTATTTTTTACAAATATTATAAATTTGAGGGAAGAACAGAACATTAAACGTTATATATATAGAGCTGTCAAATTAAAGAATTGCATCTAACATAAAGGTTTGTTTATATAATATACGTGTATAAATAAACACACACACACACACACTTTTATGTTAGATGCTATTAATCGTGATTAATCGATTTGTTTATTCTGTATGTCATAGAAAGTGTATGTTTACAGCGGTGGAAAGCCAAGTGAAATAGTGTCCTTTGTTGTTTCAGTGGGAAACTTAAGGAATATCTTCTTAAATAGCACACATCCTGCCCCTTCTATTCCTGCTCATCTATCCCATAAGCCTCTGCTGCAGGTCAACTATGGCTCATCCTGTAGTCTACCTGCTGGGTAAGCAAATAATCAGTTAAAAGGCAAACAATCAATCTACTAATTATGTAACCCAACAATGGGTCATTACTCATTATATGTCAAACACCTCATATTACCAAAGGACATATGCAGTTTGATCTGTCAGTGTCAAGGATAATAGATTATAAACTGTACAGATAAACTTAGTGATATACTACGTGATATATATTGAAAATTGATAATAGTAGGTGGATGTTTTCCCAGGTTCAAAGTGCGAGATCAAGCATCTGAACCAGTGTCCAGTAGGAGGCGCTCTACTCAATCTGACTCAGCACTGCTTCCCAGTAACATCTTCTTTCAACGGACCTCGCCTCGGACTACTGGAAGACGACAACACACCAGCAGAGTCAGTTTAGACTGTCAAACAGCTACCATTCACACAACAGAATGATAGCACACAATTGAATAATGCTAACATTTTGGATTGAAAGGGGAAAGTGTTAAGAACTTTATATTGTTGATTATTTAGAATATAATCCCAACGTATTAACATAACATACCATTCAAAAGTTGAGGTCAGCAAGATTTTTTTTTAAAGAAATTATTTAATTGAGCAAGGATGCATTAAACTAATCAAAAGTGACAGTAAAGACTTCTATTGTAACAAAAAAATATTGGAAATAAATGCTGTTGTGTTGAACTATTTATCAAAGAATCACGGTTTCCAAAAAATTAAGCAGCACAACTTTTTTTCTATGGAGGCTTGTTTCCGACATGGAATAAATCAATAAAAAAGGTCATTGAGACTTTTTATTTCACAATTCTGACCTTTTCTCACAATTATCAGTTTATATCTCACAATTATGACTTTTTTAATCACAATTCTGAGGGGGAAAAAGGTTGCAATTAACTTTTTCTTTTTTATTCCGTGGCAGAAACAAGCTTCCATAGTTTTCAACATTGATAACAATAAGAAATGCTGCTTGAGTACCAAATCAGCATATTAGATTGATTTCTGAAGGAAAACTGTTATTGTAATAATATTTCATAATATTACTGTTTTACTGTCTCAATAAAGCAGCCTTGCTGAGCATAAGAGACTTCTTTCAAAAACATTACAAAAGCGTATTGACCTCAAACTTTTGAAGTGTAGTGTATTATATATTAACATACAATTTGTGTTTAATGCTTATCAGGAGGAATCAATACATAAGACGCTGGACAAGGCCCTGCAGGCAGCTTTTGTAATGAAGCAGACCACGGACAGGATGGCGGACGCTCTCTCTGCTGACCTGGCCAAGGCTCAACTCCAGAAGAAGTTACAGGGCCTGCGTCCTCTCAGCAGCAGAGCGGGCAGCTAGCAGTGCTGGAATTCACTCTTTACAGACAACATTAAATTACAGTATGAATCCTTTCATACATCTGCTTTCACACTTCGGTTTAATAGTGTCCTGGGTTTTGCATTATCATCAAAAATAAAAAAAATTGCTGACCTGAAAAGCTGTATTTTTCTATTTATAATAGTGATCAATAGGGGGCAGAATAGAACTTCTTAATGTAGTCAATACAACACAATACTAACAACAATGTAAGTGTGATGCAACTATAACAACACAATACTAGAATGCCTGTCTCCAGTATAAAATATCATAAAACACCCAAAGATTTCCTCCCTGACTTCCGTTATCACATACCATCATGTTATTAAGGAGAAGGTTTTGTTGAAACTAGGAATTTTTTTGTGTTAAATTCCCATAAACGTCCCTCAGTTTCAAAAGACTATCATTTTGTTAGCCATATCACCCATTGGCAATCACTAGACTGAAAAATGACACCGGAGAAGTTTCTGCCAATATCGTATGCGTGTGGTAAGCCTCTGGACGTTGCTGTTGTTCGTGTAAAGCAGCTTGCACTCTCTTATTGGAGTAGAATAAATGCTCTGTTGAAAACTAACAAACATCTGTCACTGTGTAACATAGAACCGGAGAGCAACTGGGGTAACATATTAGTATTTTTTCATCATACATACCCCCCCAACTCACAGACCACTAAAAGTAACAGTACTAATAATATACGGTATTTACTTTGATAAACACTAGATTATAAATTTGATTTTAATTATATATACACACACACACACGTTCAAAAGTTTGGGGTTGGTACGATTATTTAAATGTTTTTGAAAGAAGTCTCTTATGCTTACCAAGGCTACATTTATTTAATCAAAATACAGTAAAAACAGTAATATTGTGAAATTATTACAATTTAAAATAAGTTTTATTTTAGATATTATAAAAACACACACATGTCTGGAAATTAGAAAAAAAACCTGGACTAATCTTTGCCTGAGGATACAGTAGAAATGTGTTACATTAATCTGTCTGTGTAACCTGATGTAAAATGTTTCTGCAGGGTGACTCTCACTATGACAGCTTAGAGCAACTGAGAAATCTATGACACAGAGGTGTAAACTAAACTTGTCATCAGTCCCAGCAGTATAAGAAAGTTCAATGAAACCTTTGAATGGTCTAAATAGCATTATAGCCCTTAAATATACAGTATGAAGAAGTACAACAGTGCCATTTGTGTCCTTTTTAAGATTGAACTGAATGAAAAAATAATAATAAAATGCTACATACATATTACCAACAAATAAAATGCTACCTATCTATCCATCCAACCATCCATCCATTCATCCAGAGAGACATATTACACATAATCAGTTCTCGTAATCAAAGTGTTGGATGCCGGAGAAATGGGAAGGAATAAAGATCTGAGTGACTTTGACAAGGGTCAGGTTGTTATGGCAAGACAGCTGGGTCAGAGTATCTCTGAAACCACAAGGTTTGTGGGATGCTCCGGTCAGCAGTGGTGAGAATTTAACAACAGTGGTCCGAGGAAGGACAAACCACAAATGGTGACAGAGTGTTGGGCGCCCAAGGCTCATCAATGCACGAGGGCAACGAAGGATCTCCTATCTAGTCTGACCCAACAGAAGGTCTACTGTGGCACAAGTCACACAAAATTTTAATGATGGTTGTGGGAGGAATGTGTCACAACACACAGTGCATCGCACTCTGCTTCGTAGTCGCAGACCAATCAGAGTGCCTATGATGACTCCCGTCCACAATCAAAAGCTCTTACAATGGGCACACGAGCATCAGAACTGGACCTTGGTCTGGTGAGTCCTGTTGCAGACCAGGTACAGCCCTTCATGACAATAGTGTTCCCTGGTGGAAGTGGCCTCATTCAGCAGGATAATGCACCCTGCCACACATTGTTTAGGAATGGTTTGAGGAACATGATAAAGGGTTCAATGTGTTGCTCTGTGGTCATAATGTTTTGGCAGATGTTTCACTTGTTGTAGCATGCAGGTTCTAAGCATGCTTTTATTACATTATGCTTCTCTACAATGGAGAAACATCACAGGTGTGATTCTTGTCTTGTATAATGCCACTTTCAACATCTCACTGGGAGACAGTGTTTACACTTTAAACAATTTCCTGTAGCAATTTCAGTGTAAAATACACTAACTTTAGAGACACTTTAAAAAAGATTTCAGAAATCAGATGTCCTTCTCCCATGACTCCCATGAATATGCTACAACTCTGATGATCCATTCTCTATTGAAAACCTAACAATGCTGAGGCAAACGCAACCTATCAGTGACCCGGATAAGTGTGATTTACAGGCTGGGTTTTTGAGTTGTCTGCCATCAGCCCAAACTAAATGAAATAGATACACTATTCTTTCTTCTTTTCTTTATTGACCATTTGGCCATTTTTTACATATTGAATTTTTTTTTTTTTTGCTATTGTAATGAGGTATGTTATGAGGTATGTTAAGGGAAAACTAAAATACACCACGACACACTTTTGTTTGCTCTGAAAGTTCAATTATGGACACACACACAAACACACACACAGCAACAGGTTTCAGCATCATTACTGTCTTCAGTGTCACATGATCCTTCAGAAATCATTCTAATATGCTGATTTAGTGCTCAAAAAACATTTCTTATTATTATCAATGTTGAAAAACAATAATATTTTTTTGGAAACCATGATTCTTTATTTTTCTTTGATGAATGAAAGGTTCAAAAGAACAGCATGATAGAAATCTTTTGTAACATTATACATATCTTTACTGTCATTTAAATTCATTGCATTTAAATTTAATGCTGTATAAAAATATTAATTTCTTTCAAATGTATTAAAAAAATAAATCAAAAAATCTCACTGACCCCAAACTTGTGAATGGTAGTTTAGTATGGTCTGACATGTTTCTTTCAAATGAGAGATTTGAATGAATTCCCTAAGCACTGGCTATAGTAACAGCAAAGGTGCATAGTCAGTTTTGGAAATGTTTCATGATACATCAGTCATGTTGATGGCTGTATATATAACATAACATAACACCCCTAAGCCGGAGCAACCTAAGCCAACACTAATTTGTTGTGCTATACAAAATTAATTGACAGTTTGGTTTCTGCTTTGGTTTTGAAATTCCCATATATCCCCTAGAAAGGAAAATTAAGCTCCCTGTAATGTATATACTATAGCATGTCATGTTACACTGACACAAATCAACCGCAGATTTATGGCTTTTATATTTCCTCTGGTCATTCAGCTACACAAATCTTGTGAAACTGATATTACACATAAACATTTCATCTGAGTTTGTCACAATAATCTATGTTTGTTAGCCTAGATCTCCTGCTTCTTCTCACATGTTCCTCCAGCACACACACACACACACACACACACACACACACACACACACACACACACACACACACACACACACACACACACACACACACACACACACACACACACACACACACACACACACACACACACACACACACACATTGTGTTTTCATGTTTTATAGGGACTTTCCAAAGACATAATGCTTTTTATACTATACAAACTGAATATTCTATCCCCTTACACTAACCCTACCCTTAAACCTACCCGTCACAGTAAACTTTCTGCATTTTTACGTTTTCAAAAAACCTCACTTAGAATAAATATAAATAATAAATATAAGCTGTTTTCCTGGGGACCAAAAAATTTCACCACAAGGACAAGGATTTCGGATATTGCCATCTTTGTGGGGATCTTTGTCCCCATAATGTAGGGTTCACCAGGACACGGACACACACACACACACACTTGTTGTGTTTTCATGTTTTATGGGGACTTTCCATAGACATAATGATTTTTATACTGTACAGACTGTATATTCTATTCCCTTACACTAACCCTATCCCTAAACCTACCCATCACAGGAAACATTCTGCATTTTTACATTTTCAAACAACATCACTTAGTATGATTTATAAGGTGATTTCCTCATGGGGACCAAAAAATGTCCCCACACGAACAAGGATTTCGGATATTGCCATCCTTGTGGGGACATTTTGTCCCCATAACGTAGGGTTTACCAGGCCACACACACACACACACACACACACACACACACACACACACACACACACACACACACACACACACACACACACACACACACACACACACACACACACACACACACACACACACACACACACACACACACACACACACACACAAACACACACACACACACACACACACACACAGACAGACAGACAGACACACACACACACACAATATTTTTCATAGTTTAGAAGTTCTTCTAAAATCAAATGATCCAATATATTCATTTATAGCTCTATTTCTCCTATATAGGCTACTAAAGCAATTTTAGGTAGAACATCTGAGACAAAGTACTAAAACAAAACATAACCTGAGCTATGAAAGGGCAACCGCTCAGAGTTGTCATATAAGTAGGCCTATGTAATATGATAAATGCCTCTTTTCAATCTGGTAACCTACTTTATTAGTTCATAATAGGGATTAATATAATTGATACTATTTTATTCTTAAGTATTATCTTAAACGAGTGCATAGAACATTTAATGTCTTGTGTATTTGATAACAATAGAACAAGCGATGCTGAACAGCCCATTCACCAGGCAGAGTGCATCTTTGTGTCTATCCTCAAGTGTGTTGATGCGTACCTGTGTGTGTTTTCCTCCAGCGCTGATAGGTCCTCTCTCTCTCTCCCTGACAGAGGGAGGGGGCAAACGTGAACACTCACTACTCGTAGAACAATAAAATACCTGTTGGACGGTAATAGGAAAAAAACCCAGAAAAAAATCCCCAGAACTTAAGCCACAGCCATTACCCTGCAGAAATAGTCAAATCAGGAGAAGAGACTGTGCCCTAAAGGCAGCTGAGCAGAACTAAATTTGAGGCATGGAGTCGAAATATTTACATCTTTCTAACATCATCTTATTGATTATCATCGTGCCACAGGTAAAAATTCTACTTTCTTTATACATAGGCTACAATAAGTTATGGTTTAACTGTGCCTATGCTTGGTGGAAGCAACATAGCACATTAAAAGCACATTGGGATTCTTAATAAATAATTATATATTTTAAAGACAGGTTATTTGTATTGCATAGAACAATAGTCCTCTTTATTATACTTCTGCATGTTTTGTAGTTGTACACACTTTCATGCTGGATAGGAAAAAATAGCTTTGGATCTAAAATCTGTGCTGAGTGATGCTCAAATAAGCTTCCTTGGCCACTAATGGCACATAATACCATATGACAGAGTAATAGTTGCCCCTGAAATAAGCGAGGAAGAATGGATGCTTTCTAACATGTTTTATAGGCTATATTTTAAAAATGATTTGTTGTATTTCTGCTCTTAATTTACAGATATGCACAGCACAAAACGGTAGGAGATCTTCAATATTTGAGGAACTGGATATTTGTAGCATTAAATTATCGTGTTAATACACAATACTAGTAATGGATAGTTAGCCACAAAACTGTCGACATGTCAAATATCAAAATATTAAATTCTCCTTTTCAAAATTGAAAAGGCTACCATTTTGTGGAATGACCGGGTTGTGTCTTGTATTAATAATGCATTTTTAAAAACAGTATTATGGTTATTATGATATCTTTACTGTTTGTCTTCGCGCAGACATCACGTTATCCGTGTTCACCGTCACCTCTAAAAGCATGACGGTGCGCTGGAGCGGACATTCCGGCGCGAGCTCGTACAAAATCACCGCCACGCCGAAAAACTCCCCAGAGCCGTCGGTGTTCGCGCAGTTCAGCGGCAGCACGGTGATGGGCTCCGTCAACTCTTTGTCCCCGAACACTGTGTACAGGATGCGGGTCGAAGCCATGGACAACGCGGTGAACGTGCTCAGCAGCGCTGAAACGGAGGAGATAACAGGTGAGGTGACCTCTGACTTCTGCAAGTCTGTGCCGTTGGACAAGAGCTACCTTGATAAATTACAAATGAAAAATTCTAACTGACACCGATGCAAAAGGCTTTAGCATCAGTGCCCAGTGAGGTGGTCTGATATTTAAGACAGGTGACTTTTTAATTTATCTTTTAAAATAATAAATTAAGTATTCATTTTATTAGATAGCCTACATTTTTCATTTAGTTATATTAAAATCAATCATTTGAATTCCGAATATTATGTTTTAATATTTATATTATTTATTTATTTATTTTTACATAATTTAAGACAAATTAAGTTCTACGTACATTAGAACGTTGAATACGGTCTTGAATATTTATTTATTTATATAAAAGGTGTAACAATATTTACGATTGTGGGAACCACATGTAAAGCCTCAATCTTCATGAAGGGTACTTCACAATTTACTTTATAAATTTTGTATTTCTTTGTTTATTCCATTTATTCATAAAGCACTTTAAGCTGCAAAATATTGTGATAAGTTCTCTCCAAAAAATGTATTAAAATAATTATAATAACAGTGTTTTTTCTACCATCATTATGAACTTAACAATATTTATTTCTAGAAATGAAGCTATTGCTAATTATATATGCTATATATATATATATATATATATATATATATATATTATATATATATATATATATATATATATATATATATATATAATTATTATGTTTTTGTATTGTGTCCCATCAGCTCCCGAGGTTCCCTTTATAGAGCAGGCTTACTCCAAACACAGTGACAGCATCACGGTGGAGTTCGGTCTAGTGATTGGTGCCACCAGCTACATCATCCGGGCAGAGAACGAGGATGGGTTCTTCTCTGAAACCCGGGTGGTAACTTCCCCCGGGACAGTGATCAATCTGCTGCCTTATACCCAATACACCCTCAGCGTGATGTCTGTCAACACTGGGGGAAGGAGTCAGCCTTCTCTATCCATGAACTCTAAGACAGGTAAACTCCAGACTTTAATTAAAACATCTTCTGCTTGATTTAAAAATGCCTTTGATGGCTATCTCATACTTTAAAAAGGGCTAACATCCCTGCTGTTTTGTGGCAGAAACAAAACAGTTTGAACCAGCCTAAGATGGTTGGCTGGTCTTTAAGATGGTAGTCTCTAAACCTGAGGAAACTAGTGTTCAACTGATGACCAGCCAGCTGGTCTCCAAACTGACCAGCTGAAACAATGTAATAGAGACCCGAGCGGTCACAAGGAGAATCACACCAGGCATCCGTTTAAAGGTCATTCCAAAAGAAGTTTAATACTTTAAAGGCAAGGAAGTGCAAAAGGTCCATACAACAGTGGATAAGAGCAAAAATAAAAACAAAGGTTACAAAAACAGGTACTAAAACTAGCACCAGCTTCATGCTCAAGCAACATTAACAACCTTTGCATCAAGCCCCAAACCACTCTCTGTTCCTCCTGCCTCACTTCTGAACACTTAAATGCACAATTTTCCCGCCTTAATTCCCGTTAATTGGAACATACCATTTTCTGTAAAACTAACTCTTGTCTCTCTATACATTTCAGCAAGTTCCCTCAATGATAGTTAAGACAAATAGTTTAAAAACAATCAATAAATACAACATACAGGCAAGAGAAAAACAAATATTGTCATTTGCACAAGTTACAACTGATATTTCCTAAATTAGTTAAAATGAGCATTTCCCGCCACCAACCAGGATGTGCACATCCCTAGAGTTTAGGCCCACTCCTCTAACCACAGGAAATGAAACCGTAAAACTCCACATGAACAATTACAATATATGCATGATCTGAAGAACCATAAGGACACGGTTTTGAGGGATGGAGAAGCAACACTGACTCTTTATCACAAACAACCAGCCCAAAACCCTCGAAACCATTAAACCAGACCAGACATTTTCATTTAAAGTTCATTTACTTAAGATCACACATCGTAGAAAAGAATGAAAACTGAGCCCTACTCCCAGTTTGGTCGACAATGAGTTGGTATTTAAAACCTGTAACAATAACACAGTATTGTTTACTCCAGCTATTGTGCAGAGTTGGTTCCTCTGGCTTCTACCAACTGTTGACAGTAACTGCATCTTTAGATTTATACCCAAAACTGTATGAAAAGATAAACCATGAGAACTAGGCTGTCGCCTTTCCCCAAGGAACGGCTTGACGTAACATAAGAAGGACCGATTTCATAAAGTTTCACATATAACAACAGAACATTCTCTCTATCCCATTTCACCTTACAGACACACTGAAGGTTATTTCCATCTCAACATCACATATCTGTCCCTATCAGACATTTATACTATACTCATTTTAAATGTAATAATATATTTTATCAAAAAAGATTATCATTGGCACATATCAATAAACTAATTTGACTAATGGTTCATAATTTAGTGTATTAATTGGGTCATTTGTTTCCAGCTGTAATGATTGAAACTCACCACCAGAGGCAGTAGCTGCTTAGTCTTCCTGTGCTTATGCTCTCAGACTGTTTCCATTCCTTCGGTCCAGCTGTTAAAAATATTGATTTATTTTTTCTCTCTCTCAGTGGTGGTGGCCCCAGATCTGCATTCCAGCTCCCCCAGCAGTGACACCATTGTGATAAACTGGAATCCAGTGAACAATGCAGTGTTATACACCTTGGTCATGATCAAGGAGGGTTCCGACACGCGGGTCAGACGCAACACGTCTGAGACCAACATGACCTTCAGTGACCTTCAGCCTGGCACCACCTACTCCATCAAGGGCAATGCCTGGGATCCTGATGGTAACCAAGGAGACGACATCACCATCAGCCAAATCACACGTGAGGACTCGTTTATAGTCTTTTGAACAGGGTATATTCCTAATAAGCTGCTTAGATCTTTTAATTGAAAGAAGCCTGTTCACACCAAGGACGATAAAAATAATAATAAATATATAGTTGTAAAAATCGTCAAAAAAAAAAAAAAATAGCACAGACCACAATGGCAACTATAACTGCACGATTCAGTTGGACTCACTTTCAGAACGATTTTTTTTCCAGCTGATAAACAATCAAAATATTGGCAGCCAATCAGAATCCTGCTTAAAAGAGCTTGAGCATTTAACGTGACAGATGACAAAACTGCACCACACGCTTATAATAAACAGAAAGTTATCGTGTGCTGGTGTGGATACTTATAAAGTTATCATTATAGTTATCCTTCTTGGTGTGAACAGGCCTTTAGTTTCCTACAGCCGCCATGTTGAGCATTACAAATTTTCCTATTTAGTTTTTAAAGGGAAAAACAAAGATTTTTAGAAAAAGAATCCATCTCCGTGAATCCATATAATGCAAGTGTATGGATTTCTCAAAGCTGACGCTTCAAAAACAAACATGGCATTAATCCATAAGAACCCAGTTCAATTCGTATGTGTGAGAAAAATTCTAATATTTCAAACTTTTTAAACTCTAAACCATTGCTTTGCATCGCATCGTAATCATCACTTCTCGCGTGTGTTTCACAAATTCACGCTCTACAACATTGTAGTTTACGTGACGTCAAGCGCAAACTCATGAAATACCGCTTGACAGTTGGCCAGAAGCGATGGTTTATAGTAGGAAAAGGTTCAAATATTAGTATTTGTCTCACACAAATTGTTTTCACTTCAGAAGACATTGATTCATCAACTGGGTTGGTATGGATTACCGTCGTGTTCGTTTTGTGTGGCTTTTGAAGCGTCAACTTTTTTAACCCATTCACTTTGATTTTATCTGGGATAGCATGAGTGTGAGTTTTCATTTTTGTGTGAAGAGTGTCCCTTTAACCAAAGTGTTCTGTCTGACTCTATGTACCAGATAAGCTCTGTAAAGTTAATACAATGATGAATCAAACCTTAAATGTACAACTCTTCTTTCTCTGTTCCACTCTCTACAGGTCCTTCTGTCCCAGGAGATGTGGTGGTTCAGCTGACGCCAGGTCGCTCTCTCGATCTGGCGGTGTATTGGCAGTCAGTCCACGGGGCCGACACATACACTGCTGTGAGCTCCACAGGCCAGAACTGCAGCTCCTCATACCTCTACTGCATAATCAGTCCTCTCAACTGCAGCCAGAACCACACCATCACCCTCGTAGCATCCAACCAGGCCGGAAGCAGTGACCCTTCAAACCCAGAGGACCTTCTGACCTGTATATTTTACTCACACATGAATGCACACATGAAAAACCACACATACACATTAATATAGAGTTGTGCGGTTGGTTGTCATCTTCTTTGAATCATTTTCAGTCCCATGTCCTCCTGACTCGGTCTGGATTGAGGAGGTGACCACAGGGAACTGCTCCGTCATGTGGTCTGAGGTTCCGTGGGTGAATTACTACATCGCCTACGTGAAGAGCGATGATGGCTTAGAGGAAAACTGCAACACCACCGGCAGGGCCTGCTACTTCCAGTGCAAGTGCGGATACACGTACCTCTCGACCGTATTCGCTTACAACCAGGCCGGCTCCAGTCCACCAGGACAAATAGTCAACTATACTACAAGTTTGTACTTTACACTGACAGATTTGCATTTATATATATATATATATATATATATACCATTTAAAAGTTTAAGGTCAGCAAGTTTTTTTCTAATGAAATTTATACTTTTTTCAGCAAAGTACAAAAAAAACTTTTATTCTGCATTAAATTTATCAAAAGTGACAGTAAATATATAAAAAATGTTGCAAAAGTTTTCTATTTCAAATGAATGCTGTTCTTTTGAACTTTCTATTCATCAGTGAATGTAGGGCTGGGCGATAAAACGATAACGATAATTATCGCGATATAATTTTTCTCGATAAAACGATATCAAGAGGTCGATAAATGTTCGATAATGTGTATGCGCCAAAAGTGGAACGAAACTCATTTGAACCGCGCGCGCCTCACGGACTGTTTATCCGCTCGGCTCAAAGTCCAAATGGCAGCGCGAGCTCACTAGAGCAGACGAGTTTACTCTGATCGTCTCGCTCACGAGATCCAGTGAGAAGCGCTTAAGTTCAGCTAAGAACACAAATGTCCAGTTTAAATCAGTTCAAAGGCAGATGAAACACCGCTGACAAACAGGAGAAACACTGCGCAGCGAAACAGTCAGAATCTGAATTGATACTGAATCCATTTAGCCTACCATGGATTTACTGTAACGTTAGCCTAGTAATATTAACTGCACCATGAAATGTGGGATATACATATTGAATTGTATAATATTATTAATGTAGACAATGTATTAAATGACTAATGGAATATAATTACAGTATTTAATAATGTATTTAACTGTTAGGCTACTGTTTTTCATACAAATACCATAGAAACCATAGTTACATTTTGCCATGATAGTGAGGTGCTATAGGCTGTACAGTGGTGGGCCACCAAGGCCTTCTCTGCTGGCCTAAACACTATCAGAATCACTGACTTGCACTTTAATGTATTTTATTGTATGAATGAGTATTAAATTATTTCCAATAGTCCATTCTCTTAAATAGCTTTTCTCTTGGTTGCGCTGCTTCCTGTGTATATTTATTTTAGCGCTTTTATCCAATCATATTTCAGCCATCATGTGTTGCCAGGGTCAAATAAATCTGCCTTCAGGCCTTCAGAATCGACAGTGCGGGCGCCTGTAACTTAAAGGGATAGTTCGGCCAAAAATGATATTTAACACATGCATTACTCACCCTCAAGCCGTTCGAGATGCATATGTCAATCTTGTTTCAGACGAACACATTTTCAGTTATTTTAGAAAATGTCTTAGACCCTTCAGTGGATATAATGTGAAGCAATGGGGTCCACCTCCTTCAAGTCCCAAAATGTGCATACATCCTTCACAAAAGTAATCCATCCGGCTCCAGGGGGATAAACGAAGGCCTTCTGAGGGTAATCCGTGCGGTTTTGTCGTAAAAATATACATATTTAAAACTTTATAAATGAAAATATCTGACTTCCGGCAACGATCGACGCGCGTTCACGGGTGAACTGAGTGTAGTTTTGTTTTGCTCTGCACTCTGGCTGCGCAGGCGCATTCGTTCTACGTCACGCCGGTTCCTACGCTACGTCATACTCGTACGCCGACTTCCATCACCCGTGAACGCGCGTCGATCGTTGCCGGAAGTCAGATATTTTCATTTATAAAGTTTTAAATATGTATATTTTTACGACAAAACCGCACGGATTACCCTCAGAAGGCCTTCGTTTATCCCCCTGGAGCCGGATGGATTACTTCTGTGAAGGATGTATGCACATTTTGGGACTTGAAGGAGGTGGACCCCATTGCTTTACATTATATCCACTGAAGGGTCTAAGACATTTTCTAAAATAACTGAAAATGTGTTCGTCTGAAACAAGATTGACATATGCATCTCGAACGGCTTGAGGGTGAGTAATGCATGTGTTAAATATCATTTTTGGCCGAACTATCCCTTTAAAATGAATGGCAATGAAACTGTTGCTTTAACCAATCAGATAATCAGTCAGATTTAATCAGCCAATCAGATTTCGAGTTGACTGCACCGGGGCCATCTAGCATGCGTACAATGACGTCGGCATTCTCACGTCCTTTGATTGGATGGTCAGACCGTGTACTACTATTACTGGTAGTCAGAGCTAGCTAACCACATCTGTAACGAACTAAACTAAAATATATTCCTGTAGATTTAATAGTTTTTCAACCCACAAATGAATGTTTCTTTCATTCCTCGACCACCAGCAGGTTCAAACCTACCGGAAAAAATCCCTTATTCAGCTTTTTAATACGCAGAGTCACGGAACTTTATCGATCTGTCCGGGGTAAGAACAGAACTGACTGTAAATGCCAGGACTGATTTTAAAGGCAAAAGTCCCGCTGATCTCATTGATATCGTTCAAAAATCTGCGTGAGTGCTTGTGTCAGCTGTAACGTCGTCATGTTTTGAGGTGTTTTCCCTGTTTAACTTACTGCTTCTGTCGAGCAGACACTCTCAGCACTAAAGCGAATTAAAACTTATGCCAGAAATACGACGGGACAGATTCGACTTTCAGCACATTAGCCTCGATGGCGATAGAAAAGGTTGTTGGGACTGAAACGCACAGACAACCTGTACAACCAAGTAATTTAAGTCTTTTTGAGGAAAGAAATTAGGATGGATTTGTGTAAAAAAAAAAAAATCAGTAGTTTTGGAGAGTATAATGCATTTTTTGCCCCGGTTTTTGTCCGTGGTGAATATGATTTTCATCCTAATTTTTCTTGTAAATTTATGATCGAAGCAACTTCTTTTTTCAAACATTAATACTATTGTAACCATTTAAGGATAAGAAAAGGGAGGATCCGCAAGAACCATTGTACACTAACACAAAAGCCGAACTCACTCGCTCATTTCTCTCTACCCGGCCTTTCCCGTACTCACCGCAATTAACCCTATAACTGCCGGTGCAAAATAAAAACAGGAATTCACAACAATTATAGAGAGTATGTGCGTGCGCTGCTACACTATTAAAAGTTATTAATTCAGGTTGGACATCACTGAAGGCCTAGGTGTGAAATGCACGGCCCGCCACTGAGGCTGTACCTGGCTTTATCTGTGGTTATCGTGATCTAAATGCATGATACTGGATGACCAATGGTTAATTTTAATAAAGCTCAAACAGTCAGAATATTACATTTTACCAAATAAAAATGTGGTCCTTAAATAATTTTTTTTTAAAAAAACAGATGTTACTGTTTTTGTTAATGAACATAAATTTAACATAGTAGCATTAGCTTGAGTTAGGATGTAGATTTACTGTCAACTCACTGTCAAATATGCATTTCGAGACAAAACATGTCATTTGAATATTGCAGCCTGCACTGCAAACTGTGCTGAAGAAATATTTTTCTTTCAGATATTTATTTTGTTAAGGAAAAATGACAAATGTTTGAATGTTCTACCTCAGATTTTTAAAACCACAACGCTCTGGTTTATACAACTTTCACTTAGGAGCAAAAATCTGCCTTTAAACTTGAAAGAAATAAAGATTTGACATTTATCGTGATAATTATCGATATCGACTGATATAACAAAAAATATCGTGATACATTTTTTTGGCCATATCGCCCAGCCCTAAGTGAATGCTTGAATATCCACAGAAATATTAAGCAGCACAGCTGTTTTCAACATTGATAATTATAAGAAATGTTTCTTGGACATCAAATCAGCATATTAGAATGATTTCTGAAGGATCATGTGACACTGAAGACTGGAGTGACACATGATGCTGAAAATTACGCTTTGCTGTGATAGGAATAAATTACATTTTAAAATATATTGAAATAGAAAACAGTTATATTAAATTGTAATAATATTTCACAATTTATTTTTGATCATATTAATGCAGCCTTGGTGAGCATAAGAGACATCTTTCAAAAACATAAAAAAAACTTACCGACCCCAAACTTACATATTATGTGTATAATATAGATATAAAAGTCATAAGACATACAGTACACACACTAATATTTACATTTTATGTAAAAGTTTTGCTATACAAATAAATTCAAGTATGAGAAACTTCTCTCTCTCTCTGTGTCCTCAGTCCCGTGCTGTCCAGAGGATGTGTCCGTGTCACTGATCTCCACAGAAACTTTAGAGATCTCATGGTCAGCCGTTCGAGGAGCTGAGTTATACGAGACGATCGCTGCAGACGGAAGCGAAAGGATCCACTGCAACGACACGGCTCCTGTGTGCGCGCTCTCTGATCTCACCTGCGACAGTCTGTACAGCGTGGTGGTGCGGCCCTGCAGTGAGATACAAGGATGCAACAACACCTGTAGTGCACATACACGCCGGACAGGTACACACACACACACAAACGCACGCCGGACAGGTACACACACACAAACGCACGTGAGCCCACAAAATACTAGTGTGATATATGCCACATACAGTACAAAACACTACCATGGTAATACCATGTTTTGTTGTGCATTTATACATAGTAGTACCATGGTATTTTTTGGAAATACTTTGAGTATCATGTAAATACAATACAATACAATACAAATATTATTATTATTAAATGAATTATTGTAATTATTGTAATAATTCTACTCAAAGTATTTCCAAAAATACCATGGTATAATAATTATTATTATTGTATTTACATGTTGCTCAAAATATTTCCAAAATACCATGTTGTAAAAATAATATGTATTAGTATTGACATTTATATTAATATTAAGAATATTTGTTTTTTACATATAGTGCCTTTAAAAGTAAATTCTCAATGCACTTTACATAAGTAAAAAATAAAAGATACTAGTGTGCACAATGCCATATTCGAAAAAGTACCATGGTAATAGCTTTGTTTTGTTGTACATTTGCTATAGCAGTACCATGGTATATTTTGAACCATGTATATAAAATAATAATGATAATTATTATTGTTTTTTTTCCTTAATTTTTTTTAATATAATTTTTTATTGTGTTCACACAGTGTACTTTCAAAAATACCATGTTGTAATAATAACTTTTTATTATTTTTATAAATATAAATAATATTTGTTTTTCTATATTAGCTTTTTTAAGCACTTTACATTAGAAAACAAAAGGACAAAAGACTAGATAAGAAATTAAATATAATAAAGAATAATTTTTAAAATTATAAACAATAAATATAAATACATTCAAGTTAAAGGCTTTCCCAGAAAAAAAAAATCATGTAATGAAATTAAAAGCTCTGACAGATAATGTGCAACCAAACCATGCAAAGCCTTATAAAATGGCACATTCATTTCAGTAACATGGTATATTTCAAAGTACCGCCATAATATGTGATACCATCACTGTTACATGTAATGCATTTTTGTCTTTCAGCTCCCTGTGCCCCTGTGATCCTCAATGTGACTCAGGTGAACTCTTCCACTGTGGAGGTGTTCTGGACAGCTACAAACACTCAGGCCAACTACAGCGTGATCGCCACGGGTCACACCGACTCACTCACTTACTCGTCCAGCGGCACTTCCTGTTACATCAGCGTGTCCTGTGGATCCATATATGAGGTCAGCGCCTACGCCACCACTGCAGCAGGACAGAGTCTTCCCAGCTACTCCATTCCCCTGGAAACAGGTGCAGTAATGAAGATGGAAAACATCTGGAGACAGATGTTTATAGTTGAAAATGGTGAAGCGATATAAATATGCACCATCTCTCTCTCTCCAGGACCCTGTTGTCCAGAAACTCTGACTGTTGAACAGGTGACCCAGTCCATGACGAACGTCACTTGGTCGCCTGCCACAGGGGCGCAGTCCTATGTCACGTCTTTGACGTCCCCCAGAGGTCATGCCAAATGTCACAGCATGGACACCCACTGCCTGTTGGGATGCATCACATGTGGCACAAGCTACAATGTGTCGCTGGAGGCCTTCAGCATGACTGGACATAAAACAGAGTGCAGATACCATGGTTTCTCCTCAAGTGAGTTGAGTGCATTTGTTATGTCTGTCATCATGAGAAACTACATGAACGGTTAATGGTCATTAACTTTTGCAGGAGCTTTTGATTCAGCCTGGTGTCCTTTTTTTACTGATTTATATTTTAAAACCCAACAGACTTGAAAAGTTTATTTATATAGCACTTTTCCAAACAAATCAATGCAGTTCAAAGTGCTTTACAGACAAAAAAAAAAGCAATAGATAGTATATAATTTTTTTAATAAAAAAGACCCATTAAAATACAAGAATGAGAATAAAGTTAACAAGGATTAAAATATAAAATAAATAACCAAAAAAGAAAAAAAAAAGAAACATATAATATCAAAATATATAAAAGCATTATAAGACATTACAGGAAGGCCAGACAAAAAAAAAAGTATTTTTAAATAATTATGAATATCATAAATATCAATGATATTTATAAATATATTGATATTTGTTTTTATATATAGCACTATTAAAGGTAGCTTCTCAATGCACTTTACATAAGAAAGTAAAATTTTGAATTAATAATCAGTTTTCCTAATAAATAAAAAAATCTGTTGGGGTATAAAGAATTAAAAGTTCTGGCAGATTATGTGACAGATTATCTAATGTCTGATTTAAAGTGATATTTAAAATTGAAAATACATGACTAGATAAATTAATAAGACTTGCATCTTATGGGTCTCATTCAGGAAACGCAACAAAAATACATAAAAAAAACAAGACAGTAGTGTGCATATACAGTAGTATCCCATATACAAAAAAGTAAATCAATTCTACAAAAAAAACGTCACATTCAATTCAACCTTGTCTTCAACCATACAAGAGATAGTTCACCCAGAAATTTAAATTCTGTCATCATTTCCTCACCCTCAAGTTGTTCTGAACAATCTTGGTGAGTAAATGATGACAGAATCGTTATTTTTGAGTGAACCATTAAATAATGGTTTTATGAATGATTTATGCAGTTCAGAGACTTGGAACAAGTAAGTGCTCTTAATTTCTGCACCTTCCTCTTTCCCATCTCATTTTCTTCAGGTGCGTGTTGTCCATCCAGCGTGAAACTCTACCGCATGGCGAACAACACTCTGCGTGTGTACTGGCGCTCTTCTCCCGGCCTGTACAACTACACAGCCGACCTGTACGGCACCAGCTCGAACTACACCTGCAGCACGACACAAGGGGCTACCGCATGTGACGTCTCCAACATCATGTGTGGACAAGTGTACACCGTCGTGGTCGCTCCCTTAACACAGGAGGGTTCCAAGGTCACGTTCTGCCCCAGAAAACACTACTCAGGTACAAAAAGATGTTGGTTGATTTTCCAAAGACCTAGAAAATCTTTGTAAATGAAAAATATATTTTAATACTGCATAATGCTTATATATAGTTTAAAATATTTTTTGTATAAATTGCGTTTATGCATGTCAGACGCTTTTATCCAAAGCGACTCAAGGAATTATATATTGCATTCAAGGAACACATTTTACCGGTTCTCGAACCCATGACCTTGACTTTGCTAGCGCTTGAGCTACAGTAAGGCACTTCAAATCAGGAAAATGAAGGCTAGAGGCTACAGTATATGGACTGATTTCCATGTTTCCTTGTCTTTCAGTATCCTGCTCTGGAAACACAGTGGGAATGGGTGTGTATTCTCATTTGAAACTTATCTAGGACCATTTTTTTTTTCTTTGTCAAATATTTTTATTTTATTTTAAACACATTTAAATTGAACAAACAAGAACAAAGCTCAGCACAACATAGATCTGGACAATATTCAGGACATATGACACAATACAAATACAAATGGCTAATCTATAGCGATACTATTCAATATAGATGCAATGGTGGAGTTAGTGAAGCGAAGATAAGGAGTCCAAATCTTTAAGAAACGTCCTTTTGTAGAATGGAGAAGGCAAGTTAAGTATTCCAAAGGAAAAAGCTCCATGATGAGTTTATGCCAAGATGTTTTAGAAGGAGGTTTGTCGTTGATCCATGACAGGAAAATGTTCTTGCGTGCAGCATAGGTGAGGATATCATATAGTCTGCCTGAACCAGGACTGATTTTATTCTCTCTATATCCCAAGAGCAGCGAGACAGGATCACAGGCCAAAGCAGTTCCAAATATAGCGCTCATATCTTTCAGAACATCATGCCAGTATAACTGAATTTTAGGACAGTACCAAACACAATGAGTATATGTACCCACCGCTGATTTGCATTTAAGGCAATCAGGAGAGGTTTGAGGATACATTTTATGTCTTTTGCTAGGAGATATTTGCAGTCTGTGAATGATTTTAAACTGTAACAACCTGGCGCGATTACAGATAGATATCCGTTTTGTTTGATTACAAATGACATCCCACTTCTCCTTATCAATAACTACACCCAATTCAGTTTGCCATGTTAGTGCTACGTCTGAGACTGCCAGTATGACAGATGTCTGATTAAGCACATTATAAAAGGAGGTAATCACCTTCTTAACTGGACATTTGAGCAATAATTTCTCTATTGGAGATAAAGAGGCTTCAGAAACAAATGTAGTTTTTTTAAATATAAAATCTCGAACTTGGAGATATCTAAAGAAATTAGAGCCAGGGAGGCTATATTTAGCCTGAATTTGTTCAAATGAGGATAAGGAGGGCCCCACAAACAAATCACACATCTTTTTAATTCCTTGACGTGTCCAAATATCATAACCTATATCTGTCATGCCTGGCTCGAAGTCAGGGTTTCCTTGTATTGGGGAAAGCAAAGGAGTCAGTAAAGATCTCCCCTCCAACTTGCGCACTGCAAACCATGCTTTAACAGTATTAACAACTATAGGATTGTTATTGCACAAAGTCCTTACAGATTTTATATTCTTACACGACAAAAGACCGAGCAATGAACAGTGAGTATGTAACTTTTCTAGACATAACCAGACAGAGGTGGGATCCTCCTTCACCCATTCGGCTACAAAGGACCATATATTTTTATAAAAAATTAACAAAATGTATTAACATTTTTTTTAAATATACGCAAGCTCTCCTAAGCATGTTCCTTATGACTCAGTGCTACATAACTGCTCTTATGTGTATCTGCAGTGATCTATCGAGGCCGGAGGAGTGTGGACTAGAACCCCATTGTGAGTGATCGCACATTAATTATGACTGAACGTTTACATTTACTGTCATCACTAGTAAACACACACACACACACACAGATGCAGAGCCTCATGGGACAGATTTACCCAGGGCACTTGAAACTGGAGGCCTTTGTGTCCACCGTAAGATAAAGCATATCATGTCAACGTGGACATCTCAGAAAGGTTTATTGCTGTACAGTTGGTGACAATAAAATATGACACTTGCACTCTTGAGAATCCAGATGTGCATCTTAGTTGAAACATTTTCAGATACGACAGAGGACTTGTTACTTCACTTGAAACATTTAAGAAGCTAATTAAAAAAAGATATATATATATACATAAATAAATATATATACATACAGATATATGCATATACTTAAGTATATTTTTTAAAAGTAAAAGTATATGAAAAAAGTTTTTATACTACCTTTAATTGATGGTGATTTGAAAATTATATGAATCATATTTGTATCCACATAGGATCACTCTCAATACTGTATAGTAATGAGAAAATTTTTAAATATGAGAATGATCGAGAATGAGAATTATATATATATACACAGTATACTGTACATAACTGTTATATATACTGTTTGTGTGTGTGGTTAAATGAAACAAAAGAGTTATGGGAATGTTGCAGGATTATGTACTTGACATGAATGATGTTTAGGCCATATACATTTCAGTGTGTTTATGATCAAAGTTGGACCGCCCACAAATGTCCGGTTCTCATGTCTTTTTGTCTTCTGTTAAAGAGCACAGATGAAAGCAGATGGAGCTCTGACGTCATCAACGCTTTCTCTTCTCACCGCATTCATCTGGCCACATTTGCCAGAAATAGCTAACAATTGGCTCAATGTGAAAATGTAATTGCATCTTTAAGAACTTTCAAAAGTGAATACAAAAATATAGATTTCAATCAAATTGTTAACCATTTCTAAATGTCATATTTTATATACAGTATACACTTTCTTTTTTATTTTGATGTTTTGCATTTATACTGTAATTTCCTAATATCCATGGCATGCCATGAAGCCCAAATGATTATATGTCCAGAAAAAAGTAATATCATAATGTCACAAGAAAAATCGATGGCACAAGTTAAAAATGTCTAAATGTTTGTTAATGTTTATGTTTGCTAAATGTATGTTAAAGAGATGATTCAAACAACACATTAAGCATTTGTAGGAAGTCCCCTAAGCAGCAAGCCTCCAAAGGAGTGGACCAGTGTCATGTGTGTTATATACAGGGCGGACCTCTTCTGAAGAAGGTTATTGAGAAATATGAACAGCACAAGTTTCAGGTTCAGTGTCCGCCCCAGGTCATATGTCTCCTTTGGATGATATATTACATTGAATTTGCATAATAAACAGCATGAAGCATTACGTATTGAGAATATTTTTTTTATTAACATTAAAAATGTTATTTTTAATAACATTTAAAATAATGTTATTATTTTAACATTAAAATAATGTTATTATTTTAACATTAAAATAATGTTAAAATAATAACATTATATCCCCCCCCCCCCCCCCCCGGAAATAGCCTAATTTTACAACTATTTATATATTTACTTTATGTACGTTTTAGGGCTGCTAACCTAACGCGTTAATTCTTTAGACTGACTAAATATGTTTAACAAAATTACATTTATTAAACACAGTTAATGCATGAAAAATTTGACAATACAGCAGTGTTGTTCCGTTCTGTTCTGTTTCTAAAGACTAGTCTGAACAGTCAGAACTTTTCAAGAACACCACAAAAGATTTCCACACATACAACACATTTATCAGTTGATGATGCAGAAACTTTTCTGTGTTTGTGATGAAGATAGACATGAGAGACTGTATATCTTTGTATATATCTAATAGCACATCTATTTATAAATGAAATCCAGATGGGAAACTTTATCATTTAGGCAGCAAAATCGCTCAAAGACATGGCATCACACACAAAACACAGCTACGTCACGAACATATTGTTCTTGAGTTGTCATCATCTCCATCATGAAAACCAACACACCAGAAGAAGATATTATATTCTCTTGCATAACACCATATTTAGTGGCACTTGCTAAGATCCGCATCACTAGTTGATTTGAACACACCCCAAACCATAAATGTTAAACTTCAGTAAACTTTCATCCTGCACCAGCTGGAAATCTATTAATGATCAAATAAAACCAGATATTTCCAAGAAAACAAGATCTTGACCAAAATGTATGCACCTCTTGATGGAAATAACATCACAACATTTATTTCCATCAAGAGGTGCACCAAATTTTGGTCGAGATCTTGTATTGACAATGCAAGAGTCCATCTCCTCCAGCACATCCCAAAGACTTTCACTGAATTTAAAGTAACACTGTGTAGTTTTTCAACCTTCATAATATATTTCCAAGACCCTTGTGATGGTACATCGACTTACAATAGGTTCAATGACACGTCTGCCATAGCCTGACGTGGTCTGTATCGCTTTTACTTGCACTATGTAACTTTGGGTTTCGGGTTGGTACCGGAGCACAAAAAGAACTACAAAATTCGACTGCTTTACGGCATACGTCACTTCCCCCACCACTTCCTCAAATTGTCTGTGGCCATTGCAGACATCCCAAGTCTCCCGGGATAGCGTCTCCCTGATGCCCGCAAATTAGTTCATTGGGATGTCTGCCATTGTTGATTCCAAATCCGGTGCTGGATAAACAGCGTGCGTGCGCGTGTGACAGTAGGCTGCGGTAGGCTACATTATTTACGAAAGCGGTAATGGACAATTCCGCTTCCAACCTGTAGGGCGACCGCAGAGGAAAAGTTCCTTGGTGTTGCTTTAAGGTCTGGATTCAGAGGTGCCAATTCATGTGTGAAAATGATTCTTCATGCTCCCTCCCAGTCCCAACCATTCTTTCACAATTTGAGCCTGATGAATCTTGACATTGTTATCCTGGAATATGGCCATGATGCATTTCTACATGGTTAAGAAATGAAAAGCTACACACTCCATCAATTAAGGTTAGACAAACTGGTGCCAAACATATAACAGGCTAGAAACATAATTATCACTGCAATAATGATCCAGTAACAGACTCATTTGCCTATTTTAACCCAAGCATTTGCCTATTTTAACCCAAAAAGAGACTATTTTTTTGGCAGGGGAGTGTAGATTTTTACATTTTCTGAAGAAATTTTAAGTGGAGCTGCATGAAAAATTCCATCCTATAGCATATTGTTTTGGCTGTTATAGTCCACCAGGAGGAAAGTTTAATTTTAAAAGCACACATCTGTGCAAGAAGTCACCTGATTTGAGGCATCAAATCATCACAAACATGCTGCACATCCTCAGTTTAATACTTTTTGGGTTAGTTAAATGATGTGAACAACAGTAGAAAATTGTCAAAACAACATATTCGGATAAACTAATGAAATAGTGAAATATTGGATAAAAGTGTCAGCCAAATGCATAAATATATCAAATTCCTGCAGCATTTGGGCAGAATTAGACCTGTCATGTCTTACATGAACACAAAAACATGTTTTAAACGTGAGCAAAGTATCACTTCTGATAGAAAAGATTTGTCAAACACGTGTAATACAATGATGACACCGATAATCCCATGGGAAAGAATCTTGATAACGCCTACAATAGCAGGTAAATAAATACTTTTAGATTTTGTTTCTCCGAGAAAGCAAAGACATTAAATAGAGAACATTTATGCCTCCTGTTTATGTTTTTCTTCTGAGCAAATGGCCCCACTTATCTCACGTGTCTCTTAAATGAATCTCAACAATGTTCCAAACTGTCTCAAAAGTTCTGTCATGACAACTCTCTGAGAGATTGGCATGGTAATGGTAATGGATTTGGCGATGTTAATGTTTTTGGACTTGGCGGAATAGATCTGCTACACTGCTGCAGAGCAAGTATTGTGACTTGCTATACTGCCAATGCATTCACTGGCATTGCTGTGAGCACGTAAGACATGCTCAGTTGGAGATCTACACAGGTGGAGCTGGGGAAGGTGGAGGGTTTCTTAAGTGCGCTGCATGCTAACAGCAACACTACCGGTATTTGAATATTGAGCCGTAGCTTATTGGCCGCTGATGCAACAGCAACCAATCAGCTGCGCTATGTAGATGACGATGTGATCGCTACCAAATGAGTTAAAGACCTATATCAGCCTGCGCCATCTAGAGTTTCATGCCAGAACTTGGTATATGTTTTCAATTTTTAACATTTCTCATATATCTCTTCTATGACCAAAAGACATTAATAATAGCAATTAAATGATATCCCTATACTCTATGTCTACACATGTCTTGTTCTTTTCAATTCTTTCTCCCAACGAATTTCGGTCAATAATCTATACAGTCATCGAGTCAATACTTCAGACATACCTGAAAACTTCAAGTTTCCCAAACAAGAAGCGGGCCTGTGTAATAAAGCTTCTTCTGCAATGTTCTGAAGGACAACGAAAGTATGATGGGTGAGGTTTGTTCAAAGTTAAATGTTTTATTGATATGCAACATATTCAACATTACTTAGATCCAGCCTAACCTTTCCTTATAATCATGAAGGAGTATTTCCTATACTTCCTGTTTAACTCTGAATCAAGTTCCTTCTCCGATGTGCTTCCACAGAAGACCTTAAAGGGATACTCCACCCAAAAATGAAAATTCTGTCATCATTTACTCACCCTCAGTTGTTGCAAACCTGTATGAGTTTCTTTCTTCTGCTGAACACAAAGGAAGATATTTTGAAGAACGATTGGAACCAAACAGTTGTTTGGCACCATTGACTTCCATAGTAGAAAAAAAAAATACTATGGAAGTCAATGGTGCCAAAGTTCCAATCGTTCTTCAAAATATCTTCCTTTGTGTTCAACAGAAGAAAGAAACTCATACAGGTTTGCAACAACTTGAGGGTGAGTAAATGATGACAGAATTTTCATTTTTGGGTGGAGTATCCCTTTAAAGAAACAAATGATTCTCTTTCACATTTCAGGCTCCACCTTTGTTACAGCAAAGAAAGCTTTAACATTAAGACACTGACCTTAACCACCATACAAAACAATCTGAGCTGGCTGGACACAGAGTTAGGAGTATGTTTCAGGCTCTGAATTGAAGAGGCAGATTCACTTTCCCTCATAGCTTCTTGCTTCTGGGTTCAGAGAGACCCAGACAAAGACACTCTAATCCTTCATTATCTTTCTCAGCACATTCTGTTTTAGACGCAATGATAAAAGCGAAACATTCTGTTGCTTTCGTTATTCTCAATGCAGATCAGTAAACACTTGGAAGATCTCTTACATTTTGAAGGAAAAAAGGCATACTCCGGCTCTAGACATAATACCTTATATAACATGATAAGAAAAGATTTACCCAGATGTGAACCTACAGGCAATTGTAAGTTAAAGTCTCTAGATGGAAAAGAAAAGATAAAAAATTAGAACAAAAAGAACTGCTCCGATCCTGAAACAAGAATGACCGAACGAATTATGTATATAAAAAAAAAAAATTCTATAAAAATACAAAAAGCAGCATTTTAATGATTTACAGAGTATTCTTTCAACATCTATAACTATATGATGTGGTAAAAAAAAGATACATGTTTATTTAGTTATAGATAAGATGCATAAAATGCAATGTTTTCAATTAAGTTACATTTATTAGGGTGTTAATTATAGGCTAAAGTCATGTAAAAATAGATATTATTTTGCAGCTACTCCCACAGACCATACACATAAGTGATATAAATGCACATATTGCTTTTATAAGCAAATTTGCCTACTTTAGAAAAAAAAGGTGTGATTTTTGTCTTTGGCTTCTAGTTTAGTATCATTAATATTAGCAATTACACAGCTTGCTTAACAGGGTTAAAAGTTAATAAAAAAAATAGCCTTACAAATAAGTAAAAAAAGAAGACAAAAAAGAAAAAAAAAAAGGCAAAAATCTCTCACGTAGCTGTGAAAGTTTGTCTAGTTTATAAAGAAATGCTTACTCGTATTTGATATTAAAACATTGCAGTAAAAAAGAATAACTACACTAGCTACGCTAAAACATATCTCCATTTACAGTATCAACATCTTTTCAGTTAATGTAACGTTGTGAATCCAGTGAGCGGTAACTGAATAACTATAGTACCGGTAAACGATTCACTGAAAACAGACATTCAGTTCAATTGCAGCTGTACATGTGAATCAAATATGCACATTTGATTTCAATCAGGTTCCATGTCATTTACTGAAAACATATTGGAAAGACCAACAAATTCAACATCATCATTAGAAAGGATAATATTAAACGAGAATTAAGGTGAAATGAGAGGGAAAAATGTGTGTTTGATATCCAGTAATGTAATCGTTCTTTAACATTACACCAGATTGCTTCAGGCAGGCCAGTACAAGGATGGGAATTTCATTCTCTCCATTATACTGAGCCTGTTTTCCTGAAACCTAATGACCAACAACCTATCCTATATCATTTCCCACTCAAAAATAATCCTAACACGCCAGTATGTTCTTCATTTGCGCACATGATGTTTTTCAAATAAAGTACATTTTAAAATATAAGGCTGATCATCTTAGAGAGAACTTCGAAAGAACTTTAGTTTCAAAGTTTGTGGTCTTAATGAGTCTAACAACAACCCTTAGACCCCCAGCCTTGCCCTTACTCGTTAAAACACACACCACACACACACACAGATACTTGGATGATGTCTTCAGCCCAGAGGCCTAATGTTAGTCATTAGGTTTCATCCACCTGTCCTCATTTTGGATGCACTGATTGGTTCTCACAGAGCAGGTATACTTGCCCATGCCACAAAAGATTTCAGATTTCTCCCCTTATTTGCAAGTGTATGAACCTTAACTTATTATTGGCACCTTACACATCAATCAGAGATGCATCTTCCAGGGACACTGTGCTTCTTTGTAACACTGTTTTCATTGACACAGGTATTTATTATATAATCTGTTAATGATTTATCATTCATATCATTTGAAGACCTTGTGCTTAAGTTGACTATCATATGTTTATTTGTTCTAAGGTAAAAGAAGCTTCAGCAGGCAAGTATTTAATATTAATTTCTATGTATTTATTTGAGTAATTTTACAATATTAAGTAAATTACATATTACTATGTCTAATTATGTATCATAAATTGTCTATTATAAGACAAAACATTTTTAATTTAATAATTAAACATAGCAAAAATAATGAATAGAAACTTTATAAATGCATTTACCTAAAAATATAGCATTAATATACTATGATATTTTGAAAGTGACTCATAAGATACTAATTATTGTAATTTTTTGTCTCCTCCAGGCTGTGACATAACATCAATATCATCACCCACTGCATCGTCTCTCCTTGTAAAATGGAGCACTTTTCCTGGAGCGACAAACTATGTTCTGGATGTCAGGGCTGTGAATTCAAGCAACACAGCACCTGTTTCTATTCCACCACTCGCTTCGTCCACTTTGGAGAAACTGGTCCAAGGCTTAAGACCGGGACAAATTTATCAAGTGACTTTTAAAGTGTTTCTGTTGAGTTATGTGACATGCATCAGCTCCCAGATGGCACAGACAAGTAAGTTATCGACCCACACATATATGGCAAGCCGTTTTATCATAAAATGTACCCAGTGTTACTCGCCGTAATTAAATTTTTACCAGTAAGAATTCAGTTAGAGAGCACTACAATTCAATTCTTACTAACAATTATGATTAAAGAGCTCTCCAATTCAATGCTTACTAGTAACAATTGTGATTAGAGAGCTCTCCAATTCAATTATTTCTGGTAACAATCACAGAGCTCTCTAATTGTAAAAGTTACTAGTAAGAATTGAATTGTAGAGCTCTCTAATTGTAAAAGTTACTAGTAAGAATTGAATTGTAGAGCTCTCTAATTGAATTCTTACTAGTAAAATTGCAGTTAAATTGCAGAGTAATGCTGGGAACATTTTAAGCTAAAACGGCTTGCCATACACACATCTTGACAAACTTGTTTTTATTTTGAACCCATGTAATTTCATTTTTTTTTTACTTGCAGTTCCCGCCACCTCGCAAATATCATTTTCGAAAGCAATATCGAGCACCTCGATCAGGTTTGAGTGGTCCAGTGCGCAAGGAGCCGATAAATACTTTTTGATGGTGGAGGGAACTTTCCACAATGAGACTCATAACCTCACATTAACCACGCTAAATGGACAGGTAGACAACCTCCGCAACAATACCGCATACAACTGTTACGTTTATTCCTCTAATGCCGCAGGAATCGGCGCCAAGAGTCTTGTTAAAACCATCAGAACATGTAAGTCTCCTCGGTTCTTCCCAGTTTTGTGCTATTTAAATACTGCAGCTTTGTTAGCCCGTCAATGCAATCTTAACTTTCGCATCATTTTCTTGTTTTACAGTGGTGCAGCCTCCAGATGGCGTGAGTGTGAGGGAGTTAACTCAAAGTATGGCTCGCGTATCATGGTTCAGCGTCCCAGGCGTCCTGCTCTACCAGGTTTCAGTCACGGCCAGTAATAAGCTGGGACTTGCTCCTGTTCTTAGGAACGTCACCGGTACCGCTGTGAATATCTCAAGCCTGGAGCCATGTTTAACATACACAATAGGGGTTGCATCAATCAACATGTTCCTAGAACCAGGAGAGCCTACAAACATCAACTACACAACTCCCAGTGAGTCGCACCTACATAAGGATGAAGCAGAGTGAAACCTTTGAATGAAACCATAAAGATAAAGCAATAGATTTCTGCATTGGTGTGTTTTGAATGCTTCTAGTCTAGCCTTTCTACAAGAAAGAGGACATTTTCTAGACCAGAACCAAGACTAAACATAAACCAGCCTAGAGATCAGTGCTGGTCTTTTCAGCATCTGGATTTGCCGAACTCTAACATGTCACTTCTTGTTCTTCTCAGCCATTTCAACAGTTTCCTCCATCTCTGTGGAGTACAGCTGCGTTACCGCTATGGCATCGGTTAGTTGGGTTGCAGTGTTTGGTGCCATGTCGTACCGTGCAGTCATAACAGATGGCCAAGGCCGGTCGCTTAACTGCACATCCACGGGCACAGCCTGCCAGATCCCAATGCTGCATTGTGGAGAACTATACTCTGTACGGATTACAGCCATTGCTAACTGTGAAAGCTCCTCCGATGGCAGCTACATCTTTGAGACAGGTAAAGATGCCCTCTCTCTCTCAAAGGTCACGCTCACACCTGATTCAGTCCTCTGGGAGATGAGCAGGAAATCCTCTCACGGTGTAAGAAGTCTGAGAAGGAACACACCCAGGAATTACTGTCATGTAGATTAAGTGAGCTCTAGAGTCTATTGAGGCCGAGATTTAATGGAAGGTTGTGTGGTATCAGGTGGCAGGATTGTTCTAGTTCCTGTATCAGTCTAAGCCCCTAAGTTAGTAAATCTACCTGCCTTCTCTAAGGTTGTCTTTCTCAGGTTGTATTTTAATCTGCTCTCTGGCCCTGTTTACACCTGGTATTGAAATGCGTTTTGGTCGATCGGATCACAAGTGGACGATGCTAAATAAAGGTGTAAACGGGTTCTAAAACGTCCACTTGTGATCTGATCGACCAAAACACATCTTAATACCAGGTGTAAACAGGGCCTCAGTCTCTCTCCAAAAGCTTCACTCAAAATGATTATTCTGTCATCATTTACTCACCTTGATGTCATTCTAAACTTGCATGACTTACTTTCTTCTGCAAAACACAAAAGAAGATATTTCGAAATGTCTCAGTGTGTTTTGTCCATTCAATTAAAGTCAATGGGGTCCAATGTTGTTTGTTTTGGATCCCACTGAGTTTCATTGTATGAAAAAAAAAATATTCTTTTAAATATCTTCTTCTGTGCTTCAGTGCAATCAGTAGAAAGTTGTACAGGTTTTGGACGAACTGAGGGTGTGTAATTGGTAATGATTCAAATTTTTTGGGTTGACTATCCTTTTAAACTAAAAAGGAATTGGATGTTTTATCAGCAAATTGATTTCTCTCCCCATCTCTCAAACAAACACACAGCACCCTGCCCACCCAAAGCACCACAACTGTACCGTGAGTGTTCCAGTAATGTCATCTTGTTTTCGTGGAGTCCCACCAACAGCACGGCTTATTACCACGCCCTGGCTATTGACTCGGACGACCATGTAACTAATTGCGTCACTGTTGGCACCTCCTGTTACTTCACTGACACTGTCTGTGGCAAAAGCTACAGATTCTACGTCAGCTCCATCTACTCCGGAGGACTAGACTGCAACAGCGGAAACACAGAAGAAGTGGTGGTCAAAACAGGTGAGTTATTGGCAAAAATCTGTATATATTCATTTTTTTCCTGATACGAAACTGTTAATGTCAAGGCCTAACATGTAATATGAATATTGTAATGAAAGTGCTAAAGGTACTTCACAATCATTAGAATGAGAGAAGCATAATTCTGCAGTTGTTTCTGTTTGTCTGTTTATTTTGGGGTTTTAAAGACAATTACTATTTAACCCTTACACTGTGTGTTAAAAATCCTGTAACACCTTTGGTGTTCCCAGTCAATTGACCAGCCTTTTAAAAATTGCTTGTAAATCTCTTGTTATTCTATATCATCAGCAAATGTTTTATTCAGTCGTTTGTCAACTTGTTTTCTTTTAATTAGGACAGGTTTGAATTTCTTTTTTTCAGAAAAAGTCATTGATTGTAGGCCCTATTGATCTGAGCTTATTCACCTCGGCTTTTGAGTGAAGAAAAGCATTATTTGTGGATAATTTTGTTAATATTCAACAAAATATGGGAAAAGATTGCACTGTTTATCACATTAGTGTGCTTTAATGTTTAAACGGGAACTTTTCTTTGAAATGCTTTTATTTTGTACAAAATGGAACAAAGTAGTTGTGGTGTTCCCAGTCAAAAAGTACCCGCCTACAAAAAAATAGCTTATAAATATTTTTTGTCTACTTTTTTTACTTTCAATTAGGACACATTTTGTTTTTATTTTTTAAACTGACTGATCGTAGGCCTCATTGATCCGAGGATAAAGTTCATCTCTGTGAAAAAAAAGCCTGAAATACTCAAAAGTGTTTGTTTGTGTACATGAACATGTGTGTGTGCATGTATCTACGCAAGCACAGGTCCGAGGTCTTTATCTTTGCAAGCTCACATGTAAATATGTGAACATGAACGTGCTCCTGAACTCTAAATGTTTCTCTTATTTTCGATCTCTCCCATTCATTTTTAACGGATGGTTATTTTTGACCAATATAAGCTCAGATCAATGAGGCCTACAATCAATCAGTTTGACAAAAATAAATACAAAACCTGCCTTAATTGAAAGAAAACAAGTTGATAAAAAGATTGAATATAAAATTCGTTGATAGTATAGCATAACAAGAGATTTATAAGCTTTTTTTGTAGGCTGGTCATTTTTGACTGGGAACAACACAAGTGTGACAAGGTGGGGGGAAAAATCCCCAAAAAGTACAAAAATTATCCCCAAAAAGTTGGGAAGTAGGCTAGTTATACCCATTAACTAACATTTTCGGGGGAAAAGAAAATACTCTCCGGGTTAAAATGACCTGAACACAACATAAGGGTTAAAAGACAATTCATATTCAGTTCTATTATCGATACTATTGGATGAGAACAAAATTTGAACTGATAATGACACTAACTTTGTAACATTGATACTGTCATTGGACTGAATTGAATCAACATTGAATTTGAGCTGAATAATGACACTAATATCTTCTGTAGAGCTGCCTTTAGCTGAACTGGACTAGTTGATCATAATTGATGAATTTTTACAAGACTTATTTTCCTGTTTATTACTGTGAAGCTGCTTTGACACAATCTACATTGTATAAAGTGCTATGTAAATAAATGTAACTTCAGTTGTTTTAAATATAATTTTTAATTTTGGCCCTCTCTGTCACCTTACACCTTTAGCCCCATGTTTGCCACAGAACGTCCACACAAATACAAACTGTAATAGCATCAGCACTGCGGTCACTTCTTGGGACGGGCCTGAAGGAGCCCACACCTACACTGTGGAGGCCCGCGGTAATCGTAGAGATTTCTACAACTGTACGTCTCTAAACACGAGCTGCACACTAACAGATCTGGAATGTGGAGAGAGCCTGAGCGTGTGGATTGTTGCGACTGACGGTGACTGTACTACTGATCTTGTGCTGGGAGAGGTGGCAGATACAGGTACAAATACACATTTTGGGTACTGTGAATTATTGCAATGTAATATCACAATGGTATATGAACATGCCCTTACAAAAAAATATCATGGCATGGTATGGGATGTTAATAATTTTTATCTTCCACGTAGTTCCCTGCATACCTCAGAATGTGTCCGCTGTGGAGACTTGTAGTTCAGACACTGCCTCTTTCACGTGGCTCTCTAGCAACGGTGCCATCTTCTACATCGGAATGGCGACACATGCGGATGGAACGGTTCACACCTGCACCGCCATGGCGACAGAGTGCTCATTCCAAAACCTGAAATGCGGCGAGACGTATGATGCGTTTGTCATAGCAACTAACCTGCAATGCAACAGCTCTGAGAGTCAACATGTCCTCCTACAGACAGGTAGGTGCAAAAATGACCAAAAACAGACAAATAAAAGGTACCTGATTATTAAAATGTCAAATAAATTATAAAGTCAATTTTTTTATATATAAAATAAAATAAAGGAAATGAAGGACAGAGTGAATAAATACATTTAAATGAAAAAATTACAAGGTGTCATATTTAAAATGTAAAATAAACTTAAATTAAATAAGAGGATGAAGACAAAGGCCCATATATTTAAAATGTAAACTAAAACAAATATGTAAAACAGAAAATAAAATGGGGTGAAAAAAGAGAACAGATTTTTTTATATTTAAAGTAAAAAAAATAATGTAAAACAAAAAAGGGGATGAATAAAAATGCCAAGATATTTAATATGTAAAATAAAAAATAAAAAATAAATTAATAAAAGGGCTCAGATATTAAAAATACATTTATGTATTTATCTGGTTTATTTATAAATGAATGTAAAAGCTAGTTAAGGTTCCATATATGTACAAATATACCAAAATTAAAAGGGGCCAAATATTTAAAAACGTAAAATAAACCTAAATAAAATAAAAGGGTGAAAAAGGGCCAAATATTTTAAATGTAAATAATAATGAGAAATAAAACATAAAAGGTGATGAATAAAAGGGTCAAGATATTTAAAATGTAAAATAAAAAAAAATATATAACCATTAAAAATAAAAATGGATTAAATAAAAGCGACCAGATATTTAAAATGTAAAAACAAATAATGCAAAATAATAACAAAAAAGTAAAATAAAAGGAGATTATTAAAAGAGTTTTTTAAATGTAAAAAAAAAACGGTATGCTGTGTTTTCATAAAAAAGCTGTCCTTGTGAAGGTAAAGCAAATGAATTTCTGGTGCACACAGTAAATCTCCTACATTCTGCTTTGTAGCCCCATGTGCTCCAGTCAGCGTGGCGGTCTCTAGAGACTGTACAGGGAATCGTGCGACAGTGAGCTGGCAGAGCCTTCAGGCTGGGGGTCTGTACACAGCAGTACTGCAGGGTGAACATGGAGTCACGGGTAACTGCAGCACCAGCTTTAACAACTGCACAGCAGACCTGCTCTGCGGAGTCAACTACAACGTCACAGTCTCAAGGATTGATGGTCACTGCAGGAGTCAGCCGTCCACACCCATTCAGATACAGTCAGGTAACAGTAATCTGAGCATGCACACATTTTCAAACAGTAACAGATCTTTGAAGCTGACTATGTATCTCCTTTAGCTCCCTGTGACCCTCAAAATGTCACAACTGTGCTCCAGTGTGACACCAACGCGGCTAACGTGACATGGGCTGCCAGCGCAGGAGCAAATGGGTACACGGCAATGGCAACAGACGGGCAGCAGCAACGCTTGGCTTCTTGTCACACTATGGGGACTTCCTGTCAGCTGACCTCTCTGCCATGTGGGATGAGACTGAATGTGACTGTCCAAGCTGATGGAGCCTCCTGCAATAGCAGCTCTCAACCTAGATCTGCAGTGGTAACAGGTGTCCGCCCATGCTAACTTTCAATGATTCAAATTAGTCATAACAACATTGTGTAGAGAAAATTATAATGTGAAGTGGCCCTAAAATGTATATGAATTTCAATGCATTATATTCAAGAAGCATTTTCTCAAAACTATCTTCACTTTTCACCTTTTTTAAAACAAATATTAAATATATAATGTTCATCACATTAACAATGAACATAACCCACTAAACAATGTTTGATAACCACAAAGAAATACTTGATAATTACTGTTATTTCATGACATTCATTCATTTTACCAATTACTTTTTGGGGCCACATGTGTTTCAAACAAACAAACAAACATAAATACCATTCAAAAGTTTGGGGCGAGTTTGTTTTTAAAGAAATTTATATTTTTATTCAGCAAGGACGCATTAAATTGATCAAAAATATAAATATTTATAATGTTACAAAATGTTTTTTTATTTATTTATTTTAATTTCAAATAAATTATGTTCTTTTGAGCTTTCTATCTATCAAATAATCCTGTTTTTTTTTATTATGGTTTCTACAAAAAATATTAAGCAGCCCAAATGTTTTCAACATTGATAATAAGAAATGTTTCTTGAGCATCAAATCGGCATATTTGAATGATTTCTGAAGGATCATGTGACACTGAAGACTGGAGTAATGATGCTGAAAATTCACAGGAATAAATTACAAATTATAAAAAAACATGTATTTTAAATTGTAACAATATTTCACAATGTTATAGTTTTTACGGTATTTTTGATCAAATAAATGCAGCCTTGGTAAGCAATGCATGAGAGATATATTTCTAAAACATTTTTACAAATCTTACCAACCCCAAACTTTTCAACAGTAAGAACTTTTTTTTAAAATTTTAATTAAAATCTTTATATGTAGCCTAATTATTTTAATACAGCTTCCTCCTCTTCCTTATCTAGCACCCTGCATTCCCACCCATGTCACTGCTGCTCTAAACTGTACCTCCAACATTGCTTCCATCACCTGGTACAGTGCACTTGGTGCCACTTGGTACTCGGTAAAGGCGGAAGGCAGCCAAGGGTACAAAGCATCCTGCAACAACACTATCACACGCTGTGATATCCCAAACCTGCAATGTGGCCAGCAATATTCCATCACAGTCATGGGCAGGAATGGTGACTGCATGGGCCCGGCTAGCCAGCCTATCACTCTTGTCTCAGGTACTTGAACTCAGCTCATAAGGGTTGGTAACCACAACCCAGCTGAGCCATTAAGAAGCTCCCTAGCAATCTCCCAGAACACCCAGCAAACATATAGCAAGATCCTAACAGTTTTTTCATGACAAGCACCATACTGCAGTTTGATGGATTAACCTTTTTTATATGTTGCAGCACCATGTCCTAATACTGGCATTCAAGCTAGACTGGATTGCCGCACCAACTCAGCACTCATTTCTTGGACACCGGGCAATGGTACACTAAGTTCCAATGCAACACTGCAGTCTTTCCAGGACGCCCAAAAGCACAGCTGCTTCACCAACGGCTCCTCATGCAACATCAGCTCACTTCAGTGTGGTCAGCACTACAACATCAGTGTTTCAGGATACGGCCAGAACTGTTCAACCTGTTCTAAACCCCTGGTCACTCTAGACACAGGTATAACATTAAACAATAATTCAAAGTGCAAATAGCGTAGACCCTAATTTAAACCCTTTCTTATGGCATCCGATAATCTATTGCGCTAAAATGTTGTGCATCACATCATTTGAATCTTTTCTTTCCAGCTCCATGTGTTCCCACTCAAGTCAATGTGTCATTATCCTGTGGGTCTGACACTGCGTCTGTTTCCTGGGCAGCATCTAGTGGCTTTGTTTCCAACTATATAGTAACAGCTGAAGGTGATAATGGAATTACGCAAACATGCAACTCCAGCAGCACTTCCTGTAACATCAGCGGCCTAGCGTGTGGTCAGGCGTACAACGTCTCAGTCACAGCTCTGAGCGTCGACTGCACTGGGCAACGTAGCGAAGTGCGTCGTGTCAATACTGGTAAGTATTTTAATTACAGTATAATCTTATAATCATTTAGCTATATTCATCATCCATCTAACTAGTGGAGATGTTGCACACTACAAGTTTGTCTAGTGTTTACACGCAGAACTTTTAAACTATAGTATATAGTTGTCTCCAGTACTTGAAGTTTGAAATGTTTCTTAAAGTCCCCCTGTAGTCAATCATTTTATCCCTTAAAACTCATCTTTGATCACAAAAATTACATATAAAAAATTTAAAAAATTTCTTCATGCCTTAAAATAGCTTAATATTTAGCTCCACACACTTGCCTCATTTAGTATACACGGATCTATGAATATGTAAATCAGCCCCGCCTCCACTCACTCGAACCAGCTCAACCACTCATTGACGATCACACCTTGATGTGATTGGTTACATGCTAGTTTGTGACGTCAGAAACACCAGCGATTTCAAACCGCGTTTTTGAGACTGTCTTTGGTTCACTGCAGTTTCAAGGAGAAAAAACTCAGCAATGGTGTTGACTGATGAATTTCCTCATGATTTGTCTTAAAGCATATTAAAAAAAAACACCACATTAACATATAAACAATATTAAAAGCTTGATATTCACCACAGGGGGAGTTTAAAAGTATTACACATTAAAAGGAACACTTTCAAAACTTGCGATGGATGTGTAGCATTCAAGTAAACAGTACAGCCTTGACAAAAATAATAAACTTGACATTTAATCCCTACAGCATACTTGTCTGCTACCCAGCAAAAAATTCTTTGTTCCATTAACATTCCCTACAGTGTTTTGGTTCCCAAAAAATAACCGAAAGGAAACCATATACTAACATTAGGGGAACGTTAGGGGAATGTGTTTTCTGACATCAAATGTATGTGGGTGATTTTTATAAACACTGTTTTCTGAGGAAACACTGTTTTCTATTAAGAAAACTTGATGTTTGTATCCAGAATATTCCTTTAAAAACATGCTAAAGTAATACTTTGTTTAACTTTTGTCTCCCAGCACCCTGTGCTCCTCAGTCTGTGGTCAGTCAGCTCTTAGACTGCCAAACAGGGGATGTTCAAGTTAGCTGGCAGTCGAGTAACGGGGCGCAGATCTACTATGCTCAAGCTAAATCTACTGACAAGGTTCTGGGGTGTAACTCCACCTCCACATCCTGCGTAATCGCTGCAATTGGCTGTGGGCAGACGTACAATATCACTGTGGCTGCAGAGGGCAACGGCTGTAGCTCCAACAGTGTGACCAGTCAGGTCACGGCAGGTGCAGTAGCATTTTGACAAAGTTGATGGCTACCATTCTAAATAATGAGTCCTACCAATTCAATATCTATATATTTAAAGTCAACATGAAATCAAAATCAACTGTATTTACTTTCTAATACACGGTCCTGATCTTACTGTGTGAGATTCTTTAGTGCATGTTAGAAAAAGTCTATTCTTTCATCACAGTTAAACAGCAGTCCGTTGAAACCCATTTCAAACACATAGAAGCCATAGCAACATCCTAGCACTACATTACATACTTCACCTTTAAATAATATTCTTTTCTTTTCTCTTCAGCCCCATGCCCTCCACTGAATATCCAGTCCAGAATAAACTGTGGCAACAACACAGCGAGTGTGTCCTGGTCCCGTGGCAATGGAGCACAGTCCTTTTTGACAACACTTGAATGCTCTAATGGACAGACGTATATGTGCAGGACCAATGAAACAGGATGTGACATCACTAACATGATGTGTGGACAAACTTGCTCGGTTAAAGTAGCGGCAGAGGGACGTTCATGCAACAGCTCTGTAGGCTCTGGATCACCTATCATAACAGGTAAGAGAAATAGCTGGTTAATTCAAACCTTGTTATATTGAATTTATGATATACGCAGTAACGATCAATTTTTTTTTAGCAAGGATGCATTATTTAAAAGTGACAGTAAATACATTTATAATGTTACAAAATATTTATTTTTAAAACAAATGCTCTTTTGAACTTTCTCATCCTGATTTATTGTTAACATTGATAATAATAAGAAATGTTTTTTGAGCACTAAAATAGAAATCAGTTATTTTGAATTATTTCACAAAATTACATTTTTACAGTATTTCTGATCCAATAAATGCAGCCTTGGTGAGCATAATAAACTTCTTCCAAAAACCTAAAAAAACTATTACCGACCGTAAACTTTTGAATGGTAGTATAGATATTGAGATATGATTTGCGGATTAGTGGGTAGTTAAAGGGATAATTCACTTTTACTATAACAGCCAATTATATAGTTATTTTGTTTTATATAATTTACCCAACTCCATGTGTACCACCAAACCACATAAATATGCCGTAGAAGCCACTTAGAACATCTTAGCAACCATGTGGCAACACCCTGACAACCATCCACCATGTAAAAATACAGTTTTGCAACAGCATTTTGATGTGTTATCAATTTGTCATGTTGCAGCACCATGTCCTAATACTGGCATTCAAGCTAGACTGGATTGCCGCACCAACTCAGCACTCATTTCTTGGACACCGGGCAATGGTACACTAAGTTCCAATGCAACACTGCAGTCTTTCCAGGACGCCCAAAAGCACAGCTGCTTCACCAACGGCTCCTCATGCAACATCAGCTCACTTCAGTGTGGTCAGCACTACAACATCAGTGTTACAGGATACGGCCAGAACTGTTCAACCTGTTCTAAACCCCTGGTCACTCTAGACACAGGTATAACATTAAACAATAATTCAAAGAGCAATTAGCGTAGAGCCTAATTTAAACCCTTTCTTATGGCATCCGATAATCTATTGCGCTAAAATGTTGTGCATCACATCATTTGAATCTTTTCTTTCCAGCTCCATGTGTTCCCACTCAAGTCAATGTGTCATTATCCTGTGGGTCTGACACTGCGTCTGTTTCCTGGGCAGCATCTAGTGGCTTTGTTTCCAACTATATAGTAACAGCTGAAGGTGATAATGGAATTACGCAAACATGCAACTCCAGCAGCACTTCCTGTAACATCAGCGGCCTAGCGTGTGGTCAGGCGTACAACGTCTCAGTCACAGCTCTGAGCGTCGACTGCACTGGGCAACGTAGCGAAGTGCGTCGTGTCAATACTGGTAAGTATTTTAATTACAGTATAATCTTATAATCATTTAGCTATATTCATCATCCATCTAACTAGTGGAGATGTTGCACACTACAAGTTTGTCTAGTGTTTATATGCAGAACTTTTAAACTATAGTATATAGTTGTCTCCAGTACTTGAAGTTTGAAATGTTTCTTAAAGTCCCCCTGTAGTCAATCATTTTATCCCTTAAAACTCATCTTTGATCACCAAAATTACATATTAAAAAAAAAATTATTGAAAAAAATTTCCTCATGCCTTAAAATAGCTTAAAATTTAGCTCTACACCCTTGCCTCATTTAGTATACGCGGATCTATGAATATGTAAATCAGCCCCGCCTCCACTCACTCGAACCAGCTCAACCACTCATTGACGATCACACCTTGATGTGATTGGTTACATGCTAGTTTGTGACGTCAGAAACACCAGCGATTTCAAACCGCGTTTTTGAGACTGTCTTTGGTTCACTGCAGTTTTAAGGAGAAAATACTCAGCAATGGTGTTGACTGATGAATTTCCTCATGATTTGTCTTAAAGCATATCGACCACAGGGGGAGTTTAAAAGAAATACACATTAAAAGGAACACTTTCAAAACTTGCAATGGATGTGTAGCATTCAAGTAAACAGTACAGCCTTGACAAAAATAATAAACTTGACATTTAATCCCTCCAGCTTACTTGTCTGCTACCCAGCAAAAAATTCTTTGTTCCATTAACATTCCCTACAGTGTTTTGGTTCCCAAAAAATAACCGAAAGGAAATCATATACTAACATTAGGGGAACGTTAGGGGAATGTGTTTTCTGACATCAAATGTACGTGGGTTAACGGCAAATGTGTTTCTCATTGATTTTTATAAACACTGTTTTCTGAGGAAACACTGTTTTCTATTAAGAAAACTTGATGTTTGTATCCAGAATATTCCTTTAAAAACATGCTAAAGTAATACTTTGTTTAACTTTTGTCTCCCAGCACCCTGTGCTCCTCAGTCTGTGGTCAGTCAGCTCTTAGACTGCCAAACAGGGGATGTTCAAGTTAGCTGGCAGTCGAGTAACGGGGCGCAGATCTACTATGCTCAAGCTAAATCTACTGACAAGGTTCTGGGGTGTAACTCCACCTCCACATCCTGCGTAATCGCTGCAATTGGCTGTGGGCAGACGTACAATATCACTGTGGCTGCAGAGGGCAACGGCTGTAGCTCCAACAGTGTGACCAGTCAGGTCACGGCAGGTGCAGTAGCATTTTGACAAAGTTGATGGCTACCATTCTAAATAATGAGTCCTACCAATTCAATATCTATATATTTAAAGTCAACATGAAATCAAAATCAACTGTATTTACTTTCTAATACACGGTCCTGATCTTACTGTGCGAGATTCTTTAGTGCATGTTAGAAAAAGTCTATTCTTTCATCACAGTTAAACAGCAGTCCGTTGAAACCCATTTCAAACACATAGAAGCCATAGCAACATCCTAGCACTACATTACATACTTCACCTTTAAATAATATTATTTTCTTTTCTCTTCAGCCCCATGCCCTCCACTGAATATCCAGTCCAGAATAAACTGTGGCAACAACACAGCGAGTGTGTCCTGGTCCCGTGGCAATGGAGCACTGTCCTTTTTGACAACACTTGAATGCTCTAATGGACAGACGTATATGTGCAGGACCAATGAAACAGGATGTGACATCACTAACATGATGTGTGGACAAACTTGCTCGGTTAAAGTAGCGGCAGAGGGACGTTCATGCAACAGCTCTGTAGGCTCTGGATCACCTATCATAACAGGTAAGAGAAATAGCTGGTTAATTCAAACCTTGTTATATTGAATTTATGATATACGCAGTAACGATCAATTTTTTTTAGCAAGGATGCATTATTTAAAAGTGACAGTAAATACATTTATAATGTTACAAAATATTTATTTTTAAAACAAATGCTCTTTTGAACTTTCTCATCCTGATTTATTGTTAACATTGATAATAATAAGGTATTTTTTTTGAGCACTAAAATAGAAATCAGTTATTTTGAATTATTTCACAAAATTACATTTTTACAGTATTTCTGATCCAATAAATGCAGCCTTGGTGAGCATAATAAACTTCTTCCAAAAACCTAAAAAAACTATTACCGACCCTAAACTTTTGAATGGTAGTATAGATATTGAGATATGATTTGCGGATTAGTGGGTAGTTAAAGGGATAATTCACTTTTAATATAACAGCCAACCATATACTAATTTTGTTTTATATAATTTACCCAACTCCATGTGTACCACCAAACCACATAAATATGCCGTAGAAGCCACTTAGAACATCTTAGCAACCATGTGGCAACACCCTGACAACCATCCACCATGTAAAAATACAGTTTTATTACAGTATAACCTTATAATCATTTAGCTATACTCATCATCCATCTAACTAGTGGAGATGTTGCACACTACAAGTTTGTCTAGTGTTTACATGCAGAAATTGTAAACTATAGTGCACAGTATATAATAAGCTCCATTACCACATTGTTTTTTTGTAGAAACAACACAAAACACAATACTGAATTTATCTAACATTTAAGTGCAGGACTCTGAATATTACTTTAAAATAATGTCAACCATGTACTTATTTTGTTTTCTGTAATTTACCCAGCTCCTTGTGTGCCACAAAACGTGTCGGCCAATGTCACCTGTAGTAGCAACATAGCAAAGGTAACCTGGGGGAGCAGCCAAGGGGCGGAGCTTTACTCAGTGACAGCCAGCAGTGTCAATGGCCTCTCAGCTAACTGCACCTCAGCCTCCACCTCCTGTGACCTTTTAACTTTGACCTGTGGAGAGTCTTATACGATCACAGTGAAGGCCAAAGGCAGCAACTGTAGCAGTGGGAACAGTGCACCAGTTCAGGTCCAAACAGGTAATGAAATATAACCTATAACTGAGTAACACAATCAAAACCCAACCAGTTTATTTTAAGAATCATGATTCTTTTAAAAGCTGAAGAATGCCATTGCTCAATTAGAAAATGTAATCAAATTCAATCTAGGCTACTAAAACCTACAATATAAAAGGGATTGAATCAAGAGCTAACGGTTTTTCTTGCTTTGTGTATTGTAGTCCCTTGCACCCCAAGGAATGTCGTGCCCACCGTGGATTGTTTCACAGCTGCTTTAGTTGTATCATGGACATCCAGTGCAGGAGGACAGCAGTACACAGCCACCGTGCAGGACAGCAATGGACTCTCCACCACCTGCCAGTCTACGGGCTCCCAGTGTAACGTAACAGGGCTCAGGTGTGGTCAGCTGTACTACGTTAATGTGACGGCATCAGATAATCTGTGCAGCAGCCCTCCAAGTGCTACAGTGAACACTAACTCAGGTACATCTAAACATATACAAGCATACCTTTTTCTATATACTCTCTAAACTAAATTAATTACTATGTTCGGAGCTGCTTTCCGCATATTGTGCAGTAAACACTGTATACACGGCCAAAAATTGTGGAACACATTATGGAACATTTTCAAACAATTGTATGTTACTTTCTTGTCACATGACCTGATTCCTTTGCAGTGCACATTTAATTCAGTGAGTGGAATTTGGTTGGAAAGATGCGTAAAATCTCTTTTTGTGTGAAAAATATCTTTGCACTAAATGAATGAGTCAAGAGTTTGTCTGGATGAAGTGGAGCGCTTTGCATTGTAGGACACAGCACCCAGACTACTATGTTTTGTACATGCTCATTTTGCTATTCTATGCATATAGACAATTTTCATGATAAACTAATGTTCAAAGTTTTGGGGTCAGTGAGATTATTTTTTGCTAAATAAATGAATGCTTTTATTAAGCAAGGATGCATTCAATTGATCAAAAGTGACAGTAAAAACATTCAAAATGTTACAAATGATTTTGTAACGTATCTCATTTTCCACAAAAAAATTAAGCAGCAAAACTGTTCAACATTGATTATAATTAGAAATGTTTCTTGAGCAGCAAATCAGCATTTTAGAATGATTTCTGAAGGATCATGTGACACCGAAGACTGGAGTAATGATGCTAAAAATTCAGCTTTGCATCACAGGAATAAATTACATTTTAAAATGAAATAATATTTCATAATAATACTGTATTTTTGATCAAATAAATGCAGCCCTGGTGAGCATAAGAGACTACTTTCAGGAACATAAAAAAATCATACCAACGCCGAACCTCTGAACATTTCAATCTTTGTTCGCCATGTTTGCATATGAAGAACACTGTGCTCCAATTAGATGTTATCATTCTCAGTGTCTCTTCTGCTTTTACCCATAGTTCCCTGCGCAGCCAGCTCCATCAGGGCAGTGTTGGATTGTCAGCTGGGAACAGCTACTGTGTCATGGCAGTACGGTGCAGGTGCTCAGGGATACGTTGTCTCTGCCTTGGCACCGCTGGGCAACAGGACTAGCTGTACATCCAACAGCTCCATCACGCACTGTGAGCTGAGCAACCTGCAGTGTGGCAATGAGTATATGGTGAACGTACAGACTTTGGGATCCACATGCAATTCCAGTGCACAGATGACTGGCTCCCTGATCACAGGTGAGGTTTACTAAATCTGATTTGCTTGCGTTTGCCAGTTTTGTAAGAGATTTGGTTTTGCTAACTTCCGCTGAAGTAGAGGGTTCCGCTTCAGCTCCATTCAACTATTTTATTAATATATATACAGTCAAACCAAAAATAATTCAGTTTAAATGCATTAGATAAAAATATTCATTTGACATTTGGTTACATTTTGAATGAAAATTCTAACAATGCAAGTCAAGTTTTAATTGTCAAACTTTTTTCTTTGCAGTGCCATGTGTACCTGGTCATGTGCAGGGCAGAGTAAACTGTACGACTGGAGATGTGTCTGTATCCTGGGATCGAAGCGTGGGTGCCGTTTCCTACACTGCAGTTGCTTGGAGTAGCGGTGGCTATGCTTCAGTGTGTAACAGCACTGGAACAGCATGTGTCTTCTCAGACCTGCTCTGTGGGATGAACTATAGTTTGGCTGTCAGCGCGAGTGACAGGAGCTGCCGCACTGCACCGAGCCAACCAGTTGTGCTGAATACAGGTACCTAAGAAAAAAACAACAATAAAAAAGTGAGTTACACTTTATAGGTGTCCATATTACAGTGTAATTATATATTTAAGTAATAATTAAACTTACTATAGGGTTGCGGTTCAGGATTAGGTTTTGGTATAGGGTTAGTTGCATGTAATTATGCATACTTTATAGCTACTACTGCAGTAATTACATGTAACATGTGTAACAAGGACACTGTAAAATAAAGTGTTACCAAAAAGTGCTTCCCAAAATAACTGAAAGATTCTCACAGTTACTGGTGTAAGTATTATTTAGTTAATTATGGTAATTGTTAATATTTCATTTCACTTCAGTGTCCTGTAAGCCACAGAATGCTAGCGCCCTGCTCAACTGCGACACCAACTCTGCTGTTGTAACTTGGGAGCTCACTGATAACCTCACGCATCACACGGTCCAGGCTGCTGGTTCTGACGGACATCGCATCAACTGCACGAGCTCTGACCACAGTTGCACATTATCCGGAATCCACTGTGGCCAGAGATATAACCTAACCGTCACTGCCATGGATGGAGTATGTGACAACAGCAACACATACTTCACTCTGCAGTCAGGTGAGTCCACTGCTTCTGTTGTGCACCTGATGACAGAGCTCAGATTTAATAAAGTTTCTGATGTGGGATATTCTAATCTGTTGTCATATGTTCAAAATACACATAAAGAAACAAAATGGCCATGCAGGTATATGCTTATCAACATTGCAAGACCAATAATGAATGTCCTTTAAAATGGTCCATGTTCTCTCTCTATTTAGCTCCATGTGCACCTAGCAATGTTCAGACATCTTTGCTTTGCGACATCCACAATGGTAGTGTTGTGTCTGTGTCGTGGGTAAAAACCAACGGGGCGGAGGCTTTCATGGCTGTGGCCGTGTCTAATGATGGCCATTCCTACTCTTGTAACACCACCACTGCCTCCTGTAATCTGCAAGAACTGCAGTGTGGTCAGAATTATAATGTTTCTGTCTACTCAATGGCCAGTGGCTGCGGGGGCGTGAAGAGTACTATGTCTCAAGTGCAAACAGGTGCGTGTGTGAGGATTTTACTTGATCAAGTAAAGACAACTGTATGTCAACTTAATAAGCAACCAAATATACAGGAATATAAAGGCCTAACAAGTATGTCATGAAAATTGTCATGAAAATAATGCCACATTGCAAAAACTTTTACAAGCTACTGTAACTTCAAGACTTCTCTACATTGTGTTATGACTTTGCATGTGAAATGAGTAGGTATGCTAACCTGCTGTAACATTGCTGTATAGCATGTGCAGTGCGGCAAGGAGTATACCTTCATTGATTTATTGGTTTACCTTTTATCGTTTCCTGCTGAAATATTTGGTATTGCCCCACCCTTCAATAACAGATTGGTTCCTTTTCTCTTTTCTCAGCTCCATGTCCACCTCACAACGTATCTGCAAATGTGCAGTGTGATTCAGGGTCTGTGCTGGTGAGCTGGAGCCCAGCAGTGGATGCCAGCCAGTTCAGAGTGGAAATGAAGTCCCAGAGCACTGGTGTGATTTCCTCCTGTAACAGCACAAACACGCAGTGCTCCATCGCACATCTGCCCTGTGGAGAGAGCTTCAACATCAGTGTGGTGGCACTGAGGGGCAGCTGTCAGAGTCAAGCAAGCAGTGGCTTCAACATCGCCTCAGGTTGGATACTAACACAAGAATGCTCTCTTTTACAAATGGATAGATAGATACATTTCAATATCCATACTTTCCTTATGCACTTTATGTCTTACCTCTTCTCTCTACAGCTCCATGTACCCCACAGGGGGTTAATGGTACCGTGGACTGTGTCACTAACTCCGCATGGGTATCATGGGAAGTGGATATGGGTGCAGAGTCTTACACGGTGCTGGCTGTTGGGGACGACGGTCAAAATACCACGTGTTCCAGCGCAAACTCCACCTGTAATGTGCCTGACTTGGGTTGTGGAAAGAGCTACACCTTCCAAGTCACTGCTTCAAACGCTGCCTGCCGGAGCCCACCCAGCAACAGCTTTCAGCTGGAGACAGGCAAGTACATCTGAGAGCTTCAGCCCTCTCATTTGAGACCCTGGGTCTCTTAGGGCCTGTCCCAATACCTCCCCTTTCCCTAGATTTTTGCCCTAACCCTCATTTTGCGCGTTCTCGTGTAGGGGTAGGGTGTCCCAAAACTTTTGGGAGCAAGGGGGAGTGCTTTTCTTCCCTTAAAATCAACCCTCAAAACATAGTGAGGTCCGATGCAGGCTTAAAACGAAGTGGGAGATGAAATTACCCAGGATACCTTGCGAACTCAGTGAGTTTTTTTCAACCAAGATGGCGGACAATACTGAAAAGGAACAATTGGATTAAGTATATTTTCGCAAATAAGCATGTTAAAATTTCGAAATATGTTGGAATATGTTAGTTTGATGCACATCCAATGGACTGTTGAGTTTTGAACACTAATGTTTCAAAATATTTCACAAAGCTATCTGACGATGTTCATGATATCTGCCGAGTGCTGATATCTGATCAGGGTAGTTAATTTAATTTTATTTCGATTTTGGCTTCCAAGGATTATAAAAAGATGATAAATGAGGTAAAACTATTAAACACTAGCCGCGTTCGTCTAGCGCATCATCTTTCCCTTCCGAGCTCTGTCATCTCAAAAGAGCTATTAAAAGCACAATGATCCGCGTAAGAGACGTTGCCCCTGTTCCCATCGGCGCGCCCTCGGAAACGGACTGAAACAAGACTAGCAAACCATACTTTGGGTTTCGTGTGTGTCTCAACTATCAAATACACACAAAAATATGGCAAAATGACTGAATGAAAATAGTAGTAGGCTACTACTGGTAGACACGTCGACACTGCGCGTGACGTAGGTGAGCACGTTTGTTACGCTAATTTGCATATAGTGGTGTCCCATTTCATAGGGAAAGATCTTCACCCCCACTTACCTCGTTGAGGGGACTTCACTGCCAAGGGCACTCAAAACCAAGTGGAAGGGGGGAGAAATGGGACAGGGCCTTAGTCTTAATGTATGTTATCTCTCTCTCCAGCACCTTGTGCCTTGTCATCCATCGTGGTGGTGGCTGAATGCCAAAGTTCTGTTATCATGGTACAGTGGCAGAGGGCACGCAGAGGAAATTCCCTCTACATTGTCACAGCAGAGGATCAAGACCGTGCCTTCATTTCCTGCAATAGCTCCACCTCTTCCTGCAACCTTACCAATGTGCAGTGCGGCAAAGAGTACACCATCATTGTGGCTGCTTCGGCCAACCAATGCAGCAGCCTTCGCAGCCCACCCTACAAGATCAGAACCGGTACAACCATCAATATTGTTATACCTACCTAGTAAAACAAAGAGTTTAAAAAGCAAGCCATTAGTAATCAATAGCTGTTCATTAGCAAATTGCATTGTATATAGGCCACCCTCACTATTATTATTGCTCCAACTTGGAGGTTAGGGATTTGAGCCTTAAAGCTGCTATGTCATTCCTAGGTGACTTACAGTTAAAAAACAAACAAAAAAAACTTAGAATTGCATTAAAGAAGAGATCTGAGACACATCTAGGGACCAGAATATCATAGAAATCTGGGTATGGGCTCTTGACCTAACCAGTGAACAACCACCCAGAACAGAAGTCACAAAATAAAGTGCTTACAACCACTTGATACACCATAACTTCTGCATTGTGGGACTTTTCTAGTTAAATAATTGCAACTGCACTTTATAAACCAGGGGTTTCTAATCCTGCTCCAGGAGAACAACCTTCTTGTAGAGTTGACCTTTATTGGCTGGTTAAAGTTGAAGCTAAACTCTGCAGGAAGGTAGTCCTCCCAGAGAATAATTGACACCTTTGATCTATCTATCTATTTATATATATATTTATATATGCTTTCATTGCACCATATTCAGGTTGTTCTCATTTCTTCCTTTGATCCTCTACAGCACCCTGTCAGCCCTCACAAGTACAGGCCTATACAGACTGTCAGTCAAAGGCTGTGTTTGTGTCATGGGAGCCATCTTACGTGGCACAGTCATACCTGCTTACTGCAGTCAGCAGAGATGGAGACTTAAAGACATGCAATACTTCGTACAATAACTGCACACTAACTGACCTGCACTGCAGCAACACCTACAATGTGTCCGTTTTAGCCAGTAATGAGAACTGCACCAGTCTGCCAAGTACTAATGTCACATTCAAAACAGGTAAGTGTGACAAACTCTTTTCCTTGAAATTATGTGACCAAGATTTTTACATTGTACAAACTTTCATTGCGATCTCTTTATTCTGCAGTGCCATGTGAGCCAACCAATGTAACTGCAAACATACAATGCGGGAACAGTAGTGCCTCCTTGTCATGGGTGGGGAGTACAGGGGCAGTGGCCTACGTGGGAATTGCCCAGTCAGAAAATGCCACAAAGGTCTACTGCCAGAACACGGAGACTTCCTGTACTTTGATGGGCTTAGTGTGCGGCACCGTGTACAACTTTACAGTGCAGGCAACAGATGGTACCTGCAACAGTTCCTTGAGTAAACCTCAAATTGGTGGAGCAGGTATAACAATTATCTGCTTTCTTTGAACTGACCTGCAAGTATTTGAGTTGTCCCCAAGGGTGTTTCATACTAGTGCTTTTAGAGTAGACTTGAATCTGTTTGACATCAACGTTCGGTTCTTTTGGTTGGAATGTTTTCTGTACTTCTTGCGTGTCCACCAAAAGAACCACACCCAAATTTGCTTGAAAAGGGAGGTCTGGAGTACAGCTAAAATCCACTATAGTACAGTTGTTAATTAGTATGAAAGCAATTTTGCCAAATTTGCAATGTGAATTGCTTCTGATGATGGATTACAATATATTCAAAGATCTACAAGAAGAGCGGCAAAACTAAATTTAGTCACCTAGTCGTTATCTTAAATGGTTAGCAGCTACTTATGTTGAAGATGTGTCTACAAATCGGATATAACATAAAAAGGACCTCTAGGTTCAGACCAAATGTGAAAGCGTAACAGCTGCAACTTACACAAACTTTGAGTGTAGTACAGACAAATCCATTGTAAAGGCAGATACTAACATTTTGGTTCTGTTTCTTTGTGATCCCCATTGGGAAAACAGGTTTTAAGTCTTGTTGTCCATCTCTTTCCCTCAGCTCCCTGTCCTCCAGCTGGGTTGAGGGTTATCCCTCGTACAGTAGTGAATGACACTCAGATCTTGAGGGCGTCCTGGTCCACTGTGAGTTGCCCTAATTCTGAATACCTCTTTGGACTCAAGGGCAGCATTCAAGGCAACAGCCAGGCACTCTTTGACCTCGCCTCCTATTGGACAATTCGCACGTTCTTTGAGATGCCTCTCCCTTGTGGCTCCTCCTACAGCGCAACCATCAGGGCGAGAAACTCTGCCGCCTCAAGCGCCGAGTCTGTTGCGGTCACTGGAACCACAGGTGCACAATGTTTAATCATCATAGCACTACCTTCCTACATTCGTAAATGAAGATGCTTAAAGTGCAAATACATACATAACTCATCTGTTCATTTGATTCTTTCCCCCAGTACCTTGTGCCCCTCTAAATGTGACATTCTCTGCATCAGCGGCAGTAGTGGCATGGCATGAGTCTTTATTTGCTACGAACTACACCGCGTATGGGGTCACTTCCTCTGGTAGGATGAAACTCTGCATGACCTCACAGCTCCTCTGCTCCATCACCAGTTTCAGTAGCGGTCACATTGTCGTAACTGCCCACAATGCTGCTGGACAAAGTGAAGACTCAGTGCCTGTTTTAGGTAAGTAGTACAAGTAACAAATAATTTAACATCAGAACAGTAGAAACATGGGTTGTCAAAATGTATTTTGTTTTGGTGAAAGTCCTGTAACCTTTGACCATGTTCATCAATTGGCAGTGACAGCCGTTCGCAGGAGGTAAAACCTGGCTCGAAGTCAGAAAGGTGAGTTGATGCTCAATATAAACAGAAAGTTAAGAACAATTTAATAGTGATGGGAAGTTCGGTTCTTTTCCGCGAACCGGTTCTTTCGGACAGTTCGTTTCAATGAACCGGTTCAAAAAACCGGTTCACCAGTTCTTTTACGTCCTCGCGTAATGACGTCAATTATATCATCCCGGCGGATAAAAATACTTTAAATTAAAGGCATTTGCATTCATAACTTCACTTAAATAATAGTACTCATCGTCATAATCCTCTTGGATAAGTTTCTTACATTTACATCTTGCAAACGAACCCTGTAGCCTACAGGCGATGTGCAAACGCGGATGTTTAACATGTCTTAAAAAAAGTGCATAAGTGGTCTTCATCATTTTATTTGTAATAAACTTACATTTCGCCGAATACGGCCCCTCATTTAAGTCCTCGGTTCACCCGTGCTGCGTTCTCATCAGCACATCATCAGTTGGCCGAAAGAAAGTTCTGTTTAGAGACGGTGCTATCACGCATGCGCAGTATCTCCAGCTCATCGGTTCTCTGTATCGAACGTGTCCGAAAGAAACAGTTCTCGGTTCTGTACTGGTGATTCAAGAACTGCAACAATCAGTTCTTGACTCGAGAACCGTAGCATAGGCCTGTGTGCTGAGCTGAGAACTGCTGAAACCAATATACAGTCGACAAAACTAAAAAAATCGATGCATGTTTCTTCTCCAATATGTTTAATACGTTATGTTTTAACACATTATAAACATTTACTAAGCAGTACTGTGCAGTGTGCACCATTAAAACTTTGGCAAGAGTTTACATCAACTATTTATATCAACTTACTTAGAAATTAAATGAGCTGTTCCTGAAAATATTATTTTAATAAATGTTTAGTTTGACAGTTTTACAATCCATTCATTGTGTTTCCAAACTTTAAAATAATACAGTGATAATACAGTAATTATGTGATAAACATGTTCCCAACATGTTTTTTTTGTATTACACTTAGGCCTACTGATGTTCAACTAAATAAATACTTAAGAAAGGTACATTTCGTCCCTCAGAAAAAAATTGCACGCATGCTCAGCTCATCGATCAGTTGTTCTCATTATGTCGAACGTGTCCGAAAGAAACAGTTCTCGGTTCTGTACTGGTGATCCGATGACCGCTGTACATGTGCGTTCGGTAGTACGCGCATGCGCAGTATCAGCTGCTCGTGCTCATCACTTCTCTCAAAAACAACACGTTTCAAACTGTTGGATTTACTGGAGTGAAATATACTCCGGGATATTGGTTTATTTCGAGTCAGAGGGACTGTCAGGCATGTCTGAAAGTGAGTAACTTTAGTAACTTGTGTATCAACACTGACGCAAGACGCGAACTGTTTCGAACGATTCAGTCCGATTTAGTGTACTGGTTCGACCGGTTCACTAAAAAGAACCGGTTCAAAAGAACGATTCGTTCACGAACCGGCCATCACTACAATTTAATGGAAATTGTATGATTTTTCAAAATGGAGTAATAGGGTGAGTTAGGGAAAATGGCATATTCAACTTAACTAAAGAAAATGAGACCATGAGGGAGGAAATACAGTCTGGTGTGCTACTTTGGTGTTGTTTATTAAGTTGATAAAACATGGAAAATCTCTTCCAGTGGAAAAACAATGTACTTCCTAAAAAAAAAAAAAAAAAAACACCACCACCTGTTGTACATCTATCCCTCACAGCCTCCTTTCACATGCAGTTGAGTGATTCCACTTACAACTGTTTACGTTTAAAGATTCATCCACAACAGCTTTGCTTAACACTTTAAAATGTTTTTAAGAAAAGTTTTAAACAAATTGAAAAGCCTGCTAGTATTAACCACCTTCTCTCCACACCAGGCCTGCCCCGCCCTGAGTGAATGCATCTCGTCGCACTCAAACTCTTCCCTTTGACAATTCTCAAAATTCTTTGATACTTTTGCATGTTACATATATTCCAGTGCAAGGTTAATTTTTTCCCCACAATATTTATGGGTGGAATAGATTGACAGGGTAAAAGATTAACATGGTTTCTTTTTAAATGTTTTCCAAAATCTTTTTTTTCTTCTCTGGCTGAAGGATTTACTTTTATGCAATGCCAAATATTTAAAGCCTATATATACACATTCCTGTTTTTGTATATGAGTCAAGTTATTAAACACAGAGCATTTCTACATGTATTCAGTCTTATAAATTATGACATGTAAAGCACATGTAAAATAAATTAACCATACACAAAACATCTGCTGTTCCAATAACATGAATGTTCTTATTATGAGATGACAAGGACACAACAGTGACCTATTCTGAGAGGAAAAAAAATACTGTTAACTACTGTATTAAACATCTCTGAAGTAACTACTCATCCCATTAGCCAATGTAACAGACATAACTGATTCAGAAATAGTGGTTCAATAAAAAACTTAATACATGCTCAAGTAATTTCAAGAGTAGGACTGACTAGATTACATCATTCACAATGCTTCATGGGAATAGGTAGCCACTAGTCTTACTGATTTTCTCTCTTCCATAGTAATAGCAACTTTTCAGATCTCACTCTAGGATTATGGGTAGTACAGTACAGTACAGGTCCTTCTCAAAAAATTAGCATATTGTGATAAAGTTCATTATTTTCCATAATGTAATGATAAAAATTAAACTTTCATATATTTTAGATTCATTGCACACCAACTGAAATATTTCAGGTCTTTTATTGTTTTAATACTGATGATTTTGGCATACAGCTCATGAAAACCCAAAATTCCTGTCTCAAAAAATTAGCATATTTCATCCGACCAATAAATAATTATGTTCAGTTATGCACTCAATAGTCAATACTTGGTCGGGAATCCTTTTGCAGAAATGACTGCTTCAATGCGGCGTGGCATGGAGGCAATCAGCCTGTGGCACTGCTGAGGTGTTATGGAGGCCCAGGATGCTTCGATAGCGGCCTTAAGCTCATCCAGAGTGTTGGGTCTTGCGTCTCTCAACTTTCTCTTCACAATATCCCACAGATTCTCTATAGGGTTCAGGTCAGGAGAGCTGGCAGGCCAATTGAGCACAGTAATACCATGGTCACTAAACCATTTACCAGTGGTTTTGGCACTGTGAGCAGGTGCCAGGTCGTGCTGAAAAATGAAATCTTCATCTCCATAAAGCTTTTCAGCAGATGGAAGCATGAAGTGCTCCAAAATCTCCTGATAGGTAGCTGCATTGACCCTGCCCTTGATAAAACACAGTGCACCAACACCAGCAGCTGACATGGCACCCCAGACCAACACTGACTGTGGGTACTTGACACTGGACTTCAGGCATTTTGGCATTTCCTTCTCCCCAGTATTCCTGATTTCCGAATGACATGCAAAACTGAGCAACAGTCTAGTGTTGCTTCTCTGTAGCCCAGGTCAGGCGCTTCTGCCGCTATTTCTGATTCAAAAGTGGCTTGACCTGGGGAATGCGGCACCTGTAGCCCATTTCCTGCACACGCCTGTGCACGGTGGCTCTGGATGTTTCTACTCCAGACTCAGTCCACTGCTTCCGCAGGTCCCCCAACCTCTGGAATCGGTCCTTCTCCACAATCTTCCTCAGGGTCCGGTCACCTCTTCTCGTTGTGCAGTGTTTTTTGCCACACTTTTTCCTTCCCACAGACTTCCCACTGCGGTGCCTTGATACAGCACTCTGGGAACAGCCTATTTGTTCAGAAATTTCTTTCTGTCTTACCCTCTTGCTTGATGGTGTCAATGATGGCCTTCTGGACAGCAGTCAGGTCAGCAGTCTTACCCATGATTGCGGTTTTGAGTAATGAAACAGGCTGGGAGCTTTTAAAAGCCTCAGGAATCTTTTGCAGGTGTTTAGAGTTAATTAGTTGATTAAGATGATTAGGTTAATAGCTCGTTTAGAGACCCTTTTCATGATATGCTAATTTTTTGAGACAGGAATTTGGGGTTTTCATGAGCTGTATGCCAAAATCATCAGTATTAAAACAATAAAAGACCTGAAATATTTCAGTTGGTGTGCAATGAATCTAAAATATATGAAAGTTTAATTTTTATCATTACATTATGGAAAATAATGAACTTTATCACAATATGCTAATTTTTTTAGAAGGACCTGTACATAGAAATCAACAATTACCTTTTTTAAAAATAAAGTTGAAATCACAGCAAAGCACGTCTTAATTAGCGCAAACTATCAAAATAAGAACATTTTTACTTGCAGAACCCCAACTGTTACTCTTTTGCTTAATTACATTAAAAATAAACACAACTGAGCAATTCTGTTTCATACAAGAATTTTTATTAGAAAATGAGATGCAACAGAGCAATGAATCAAACAGCAATGTCAGCACAGCTTTCAGCAGCCTGTGCACAAACTTAACTCTGTGGTCAACTGTGTTGAAATTTAAAACATTCTCTGAGCTCTATGTACAAAGCCATTTGTGAGAATCCTGAAAACAAATTGGGGGAGAAAATGGACTAAAAAAAGGATTTTAAAATGCCATTTTCAGTCCAGAGACCAGTAACAAGAAACTGAGAGAAAATTACTTTTTTAATATCTACACAATTGGCGGATAATAGTGCAGGAAAAAAAAATCAAAAAAAATCCAGGCTTTTCCAATTGTTTACTTGAACACAAGTGGTGCACAGAGGATTATAGATAAGGACATGAAGTAATAAGAGAGGGACCGGAATAAAGGTGCAGAGGGAATCTGAGAGAGGAGATGGAGACAGACTTGGATCAGGGAGACTCCGCTCGAACACTGTTTGTTCTTTCACCTGGTTCGGGACTGTGGCGTTCTTGTTTTACATGTTCTCGTCCATTGCTGGATTCTCGACGGTGCGAGCGCTCTTTGCTGCGACTGCGCTTGTGTGACCGTTCCTTACTATGGCTGTGATCCCGCTTCCTGTTCTTCTCCTCCCCTACTTCCTGCCTGCTCTTGCTGCCTGAGCGAGAGCGTTTCTTGCTAGATCGCTCGGTTTTGTGTTTCCTGTCTCTGCTTCTGCTCCTTGAGCGCTTGCTCTTCTTTTCTTCCCTGTGCTTTCTATCCTCCTTATCTTCCTTGTGCCTCCGCTCTTCTCCCTCTCCCTTACTTCTCTTGTCTTTTGACCTCTCCTGATCTTTATGATGCTCTCTGTCTTTCCTGCGACTACGCTCTCTCTCGCTCTCTGCCTCCCTCTCTTTATCTCTGTCTTTCCTCTCATTCCGCTTCTCCCGGCTCGCACTGAGACTCCGACGTCGTTCCTTGCTACGGCTGTGTCGACGTTCTGTGGTTCGGTCTGGTGTTCTGGAACGCCGTCTATCTCGATCTCTCTCCCGGTCCCTGTCTCTATCCCGGTCCTTTCCCTCCCTTTCTTTGCGTTGACGATCTCGTTCTCTTTCCAGTTCACGGTCGAAGCTGGCACCATGTTTTTCTTTGTGATGGCTGCGACTCCGGGAACGATTTTGGGATCTCTTGGGACTCTGACTTTTCCTAGGTGTCCTTAACACATACATAAGAACACAAATCATTGAACAGAGCACATACACAAGACACCTTGTCAAATAGGAGAGAGTGGGGTAATTTTGTAATAGCAATAATATTTCTTACATTATAACATTACAAGATATGAAAGACAGTATCTGCTGTAGCTAAGTAACATAGTAGAAATTTATTTATGCATGTCAAAAGGAACTACAATCTAAAATGGTGAACAAAAATTTGGGCTACTGTTTAAATTATGTAAACTTAAATGAGATTGAAGACTCGTCATAATCTACAATATTTCTACATTCTACATGATATTGGGTGTAAATTCATGACCAAAAAAAAAAAGAAAAAAGAGGAAATACTGCTAAACACATGACAGTCAGAGTAGCTACACCATAAAACTTCACATGAACAGACGTCAATTGTTACAATACAATGCAGCTGCCAGACATTTACCACCGTTAATCAACAACACAACAGAATTATTTAGACTTGAATCCAAGAATGTCCATTATGTGTAGTATGATATAGAGAAAATGGGTGGAAAATTAACAAAACAAAAAATAATTAAAAAGCATCAGAGGTAAAAAAGTATCTTCAAGCATTTGTGCCAAAATTACTGGTATTATTGAGACAAATTTCTTCTGTTTACAAAGACGTTTATCCTATCCCAAGGCTTGTCTTGAAACTTTAAAATATTAAAAATGGTAGCTGATCTTTCAAACACCACAACAAACACTGATCATGGCTGATCTGGTTAGCAAAATAATCTCAGCCCACCCACACACAAAGACTGTACCTGGAACGGCGCTTATCTCCATGCCTTGCTGAATCGGTTGCCACCACCTCCTCCTCCTCCTGCTCATCTTTTTGCAGGGGTTTACGTGGTCGGCTCTTCATGTGCTGGTCAATTGCCTTCTGCACAGGAACAGGTATTCGTGGGAACAATGTTGAGAACCATTCCAGCTTGGTCAGGAAGGAGCGGAGCATCTCTCCGACCGTCATTACACATCCTCCTCCAGCCTTCACGTCCAACTCCTGATCACAGAGACAAGGAAGAGGAAGGAAAACCATTAACACCACAAACTTAAGACATGCACTTATCGCATGGCCTCTGGTAACACAACGCTAATGATTAGACCCCTAAAGCCATTACACTGTAAACTGTCCTATATAAAATGCCTTATTTGTGATGACCAAATACTGAGTCTTCACCTCTGCTCTCACCGGACTTAATATTCAGTATTTAAAATAATTTTGTTGTTTTTGTTTCACTGTCATTTTGGACTTTATGATAGAAAATAAACAGCATTAACACAAAAGTAATGCCATTGTATGAATAACTTATTCACGAGTATATAAATCTGGTCATGTAATGGCCAATCCTCGTTATATAGAATAAAAAGGCATTTTCTAGCCTGCTGGTCTCATGTCAACATTTAAATACATATGATTTTAAATGGAACTGCCTGTCTGTATTACTTTTTTTTTAAAGAAAATAGTTTATTATATCA